TATATAAATTGGGTGGCTGGGTTAAAAGTGAGGTGGCCGGTCTGTGGGGGTGGCCAGTCTTTGGGTGACGGACGTTAGTGCCAGGTGCTCTCGGGCAGGGACTTGCGAGTTATGTCTGGTTTTGCCGTTATGGGTTCCTTTTGGCGTTTTCCCGGAGTTTTTGTTTTGCATAACTTCTTTCTTGATCTTCTATATATCCTTGAGCAAGAGCGGAAGCTCGTATTGATACAAGATGGCGGGTTCCATCTATTCCTTGAACGGTGGGTTTACCATACGTTTTATGATATCAGCTATTTTCTTCCATATCTTCTCAACTTGATTACTTGGTTCATCGTACGTGCCGCTGGTCTATCTATACTGTGGTGACACATCTGCCACTTTCGCTTTGAAAGCAACCTTTACAGTTTGGCCGTCCATTGTACCCTTTCTTTTGCACTCATGTATGGATATGATTCAATTCAGAGCTTTTGGTTTACTTGCTGCGCTTGTAGATCTTGGCAAGGAAGGCCTCGAAAACAGTCTTCTTGAGGCCCTCGTTCTCATCGATGTTGGCAATGCGCTCACGAATCTGGCCGACAACTTTCTCCTCATAGTCGAGATAACGCTGCTCAAGATTGAGGTCATCGTAAAGCTTCTTGACGACCTTCTCCTTCTCGTCGTCCTTGCGGCCATAGTTTTCCTCAAGAATCTTTCGCTGCTCAGGGGTTGCCACGGCCAGGGCCTGGTTGACGAGCCAAGAGCACTTGTTATCCTTAATATCGGTGCCGATCTTGCCTATATGCTCAGGCTTGCCGAAGTTGTCGAGGTAGTCATCTTGAATTTGGAAGTACTCCCCGAGAGGAATGAGGATGTCCTCAGCTTGCTTGAGGTTGCTGGGAGTGGCGAGGTTGAGCTGGTGAAGGGCGAGGGCGACGGGGAGGTAGAATGAGTAATAGGCGGTCTTGTAAATGACGATGAAACTATACTTCTCAAGGGAGAAGTTGTCGAGGTTGACGTTGTCTTCAGGGGCGGTGAGTAGGTCGCACAGCTGGCCGAGCTCGGTCTGGAAGGTGGTCTCGTGGAAAAGCTCGATAAGATCGACGTAGGCGGGGTGAGAGCGGAAGTACTTCTTGAGAAGTGTGTAAATGGCGGATTCAAGCATGAAGGCGTCGTTGATAGCTATCATGCCAACACCCTCCTGGCGGTACCAACAGGGCTGGCCACGGCGGGTAATGCTCGAGTCCATGATGTCGTCGGAAACGAGAAAGAAGGCCTGGAGAAGCTCTGTCATCCAGCCAAGAGTAGCAGCCTGGAAGTACTGCTCCTCGGTAAGAGGCTTCTCGAGGAGGAGGGAGACCGAGTCGGGGACGGACATGCCGCGGTTGCATTTTCCGCCGAGAGGGTTGACCTCGAGAGACTATGAAGCAGTGTGTCAGTTTATATTGGAACTCGATCTATACTGATGAACAGCTTTCATTTTATACTTACTCTTTTGTACCAGTCGAGCTGCTCTTGAGGGAGCTTGTAGGAGCGGGCATGGTCGAGAAGAGCCTCCTCAAGCTTGGGGTAAACGGAGTTGAACTCCTGAAGAGTGGTTTGTTGAGCCATCTTTGCTGAATTGTGTAAAGTGAGTTACGTGTGCGCGCTGGAAAGGAAAAGAACCTGGAGAGTCCGTCTTTGGGAAGAAGACGAAGAAGGAAAATGAGACTCAGAAGTGAGAATGACAGACTGATCTTCGGAACATGTACGATAATTACCGGACAATTATCAACTAATCTCAATAGACTGGGGTGTCTTTTCTAAGAGGGGCTTTGCTCAGTGCCCCTCTTCCCTTATTTGCGAATTGGAGCAGGAGGGGCTGTGGACGCTTTGATTTGCTCGGTGAGGCCAAACAAAGGAGGTCCCCGGTTCAAGGGACCAGTGAAGTGGAGGGGCACTAGAGCAGTATCTTCTAAGGTAGGTGGGGGCGCTGGGCGGTGAGAGCAGCCTGATTAGGTACTATTACCTTACCGGGCTACTACCAATCTTAGGTAGTGCCTAGCTTTCATAGCTAGGTAGGTAGGTGGTTGACGAAGGAAGCAAACACCGAACTCAAGATTTATGATCTGGCGTGCAACTAGCGAGTCCGATGTATTTAATCTTAAAGGATACGCATTTATTAAAGTCGTCAGTGTCACCTGAAGGGCTCAATCGTGAGAACCTGAACCAAACCTCAATCGTAAAGGATCCGTTGAAGTTATTGATAGTACCCTATCTGGCAGAAATCCAATAGCTGCACAAGAGACGACAGACTAGTACTAAGTTATTGGTTGTCTGAAGTTGGAAGTTGTTATTATTGGAGGGTCAGAGTTTTGACTAGAGGTATCTGCTTCTGACACTATCCTTCCTACAAACAAAGTCCATTGTTCCTACATTCGAAGCGTTATCTAAATCCTTAAACTCCGAACGCCATGTCCTTCCATCGATGCCTATATCAAGCCCAGCCGTTGGCTTCTTCCTTATATTGACTGATCCCTTGTGGCACAACATACTTGATCCGATCATACCACTCCGTATCATTCTCTTGAATCACGGCTAATGCGTCCAGCAGCGCTCTCTCTGATGCACCGTCCCTCATCATCACCACGATGCACGCAGCGTTGAGCTCTGCATTGCGAAACCCTTGGACAAAGGTTTCCACATCGTACATATGCGCGAGTCGAGTATGCGTCGGCGTACTGTCCAGTTCTCTACACTTCTGGATTGGCGGGTAGATTATCAATAACGTCTCATCGATGACGGCTGCTGACATGCATCGGATAGAGGAATCTGCACATGTACATACCTGGCAGTCCTGGCACCTCGCTCCCACGGACTTGACATAGTTGTTACACTTCCTACTACCCCAACGATGGCTGCAAGGCCAATGCATGTTGCTTTGTGAAGTCTCTTTCTTTCGTATCTCAGCCGGAATATTTGATATGGAGGTGTTGTTAACGAGTTCACTGTTCTCTTGATGTATGCTCAGCCAGAAATTCGGTTCACTTCTCGAATACATGCCGTGTGCACTCGCTCTTATACTATGTTTCGCTCGGTGACGAAGCTTGACACGGTAATGATTCGGTTCGCACGTGCTGCAAAGGATTGTGCGAGGTTGTATCGGACACTCATTTTGTGAGACGTCGCTGATATTCACAGCCGTTCGAATGCTGTGATACATGTCCGTTGACTGAGAAAGCAAGCTAATGCACCTGTGCAAGAGAGTCAAGTGCTGGATCTGTGGCTCTTGACGAAGGCAAAGATGTACAGAAACACCGCAAGGGCCCTGCGCTCTCTTTAAAGGGCAGAATGTGAGCAATAGTGAGCTGTGAACTGTTCAACACTCACTCGATTATCAAGGCACTACCGGGTCTGGCTGCCGAAGTCTAGTCAGAGGAGATGGGTGGCAGAGGTCGGCCATCATGACTCGATGAGGCCCGGAATAGAGTTGACAGTTCAAACGTTACTCACTGGAGCGCATGTTTGAAGTATAACGGTGCCGGAGCCCATCTTATAGACTGTTTTAGAGCATTTAATACAAACTTAGCGCTCCCATAAGCTCGAACCGGCCTCCTTAGCAATATATACAGTGTTCAACTCTGAAGTCTTGGATGCCCCTTCAACTTGGCATGCCACACTAAGCTCAGTACAACAGTCTACATGGTTATTTCATCCTTGGCTCCCAGTTTTTGTCCAACTTTTCTTCTCTCAGTCTCTCAAGTCGTTCCGTCAAATTATTGTGCGTCCAATGCATAGGTCCCCTATCCCGCGCCGCCTCAAGTGCGTCGCAAACCGCGTGGTAGACTTCGCTGAAATTACGAAAAATGTAGTCAAGTGCGGCAGTAAGAAGATTATCCACGTTGTACCTTTTCTTTGCCTTCTCGATGTACTTGTTGACCCGTTCGTACGTGATGCCATCCACATCACGGTATTTGTCAAGCAGGTATTGCGCGAAGTCGATATGGAGATCTGATGCCTTCACCTCATTGTCTCCAAACTGTCTACCCACTCTCTTGAGAGTCAATTAGAGGGTGAAACTCTGGTAGTGGCACCGTGGGGTGAGTGCCCATGGATGGATTGTCCTTACCTCGCAGTCAACGCATATGCTTTTCTTGAGGAACACATAGTTGGGGCACTTGACTTCCGGTGTCCAACACAAGATGCACGGAAATATCCGAACAGCTCTGTTGATATTCATTGTACTCCTCCGAGTGACCCTAGAAGATTGATCTCAAGTTTGATTAATTCTCAGGAAATCGTTGCCAAAGGTACAAAAGATGCGAGACAAGATGCTCATGTGGATAAATATTGAACAGTTCTTATGGAAGCTAAAGTATGCCTTGGTTTGAGGGATTCGATTGGTTTAAGTAACGAAAATCTGATAATATAAACGGCGATAAAGCCTGGTTTTATTCTTCAACTTCACCCATGTCTTCTAGTATCTCTCCACCGGTTAAGCTAACAAACAATTTCGCACTGATATGAATAAAACTCTGTATCCATAAAGGTCTTGATGAAAAATTAGAGTGGTTTCACCAAGATTTCGGAGTATTGACTGATCTTACTTTCTACTGGCGCTGCTGTCGTACAACATCCAACGTTTAAAATGAGTGTAAGTGGATGGAAGGGAGGTGGCTGCAATATTGGTTCAATGGTCCATGTCCAAAATAAATTCTCGCACATAGTAAGATACGGCCATGCCCTTGACAGTTGAGGATTTAAATTGTGTGCAACAGGTGACGGTTCAAGTTCAACGGTTCTGATTCACACCTGACGATATTCCTTTGTGTTACCGTTGTTGTACCTATCATGTATAGTGCGAATATACAGTGTTCTTTCGTAGAAGCACTGTCTATGATGCGCGCCCCAAGTTGTTGACATGATGGGTTGTCAATGCTTCGCGGTCATGCTCATGACACCTCCAAACTTCGCATTGGGGACCGCCAACAACGCCCGAAGCCTGACTATAGCTCACTAGGTAGTAACCTTCAAAAATCTCAATCCAGTATTCACTGGTAGAGCACAAGAGGCACGGCGCACAGGCGCTCTCAACTTCGTGCTGTGACTCCCTTCTGCCAATAGCTACCCCACCAACCAACAAAACAGCAAAAGATGGCACTCAGCGTCCACGAGATCTCCCAGTTGCGTGCTGCCTTGCAAGATGCCGTCGTCAAGTGCTCAGAAAGATGCTTGTATCAGTCATCAAAATGGTAATCAGTTTCACGAAACTATTTCTAACCCTGGCACATAAACTAACGTTGTCAGGGCTGCCGAACTGCTCAATGCGCTCCCCGAGATCGAAGAAGACGAAGAGAACATCAACCCTGCAGATCCCAGACACGCCTCTCCGATATTCGCTGCGAACAGCGATCCAGAAGAAGCAATTCTTGAAGCCAAAGAACTTAGCAAATATCTCTTAGCCAAATCTCTCTTCGACTGTCGAGAATATGATCGTTGCGCTGCCGTGTTTCTGCCCGACTCCCTCCTTTCAAGTGTTCTTGCCTCGCGTGTAGACAGCACTTCAGCATCCACCACCACTGGAAAGGGAAAGGGGAAGGCATCCAGCGCTTCAGCTGTGACGCCACTGCCAAAACTCAGTCAGAAGAGCTTGTTCTTAGCACTATATGCCAAGTTCATGTCCGGGGAGAAGCGCAGGAATGAAGACTCCGAGATGGTTATGGGCCCTCAAGATCTTGGTACAGTGGCCAATAAGCAATTACTTGTGATAGGTCGATTCTTAGCAACTTGGTTCGAGGAGAGGACAACGGAAGACGATGAAGTATTGGGAAGCCAGGGATGGCTTGAATATTTGTGAGTGCTATTCTTGTTGATTTAGTGTTAACCGACTAATCACAACGTACAGGTATGGCATGGTGCTAGCCAAAGAGAAGAACGATGACAAGGCACTGGAATATTTTATCCGAAGCGTGCACAAGTACACCATGAATTGGGGCTGTTGGTTGGAAATGACGTCGTTGATATCTCGAGTTGAAGATGTGAGTCCCCCATGTAATATCCTCGCTTCTTTTCAATCGCTAACACCTTCCAAGCTGAATCGGATATCCAGACATTGTCCTCAGAATATTGTCTCTTACATGTTCCACCTGCACACCTCTCTAGAACTCTACCAACAAGGGCCCGGTCTCGCCAATTCTCTTGAACAACTTCTCTCGATATTCCCAACATCCTCTTTCCTTCTCACATGCAATGCACTCCTGGCATATCACGCCAAGGATTTGATGGCTGCTGAACAGCACTTTACTCGACTGCTGGCACTCCATCCACATCGGCTAGATTCTCTCGACCATTATTCTAACATTCTCTACGTTCTCAATCTTCGCCCAAAATTGGCTTTCCTGGCACACCTATGTTCCAGCGTGGACAAATTCAGGCCCGAGTCTTGCGTGGTGATTGGAAACTATTACTCTTTACTATCGATGCATGAGAAGGCTGTCCAATATTTCCGTCGTGCGTTAACGCTAGACCGGTCATGCTTGTCAGCATGGACGCTAATGGGCCACGAATATGTTGAGCTTAAAAACACCCATGCGGCAATCGAGTCGTACCGCCGTGCAGTTGACGTGAACCGCCGGGACTATCGGGCCTGGTATGGTCTTGGTCAAACATACGAGATGTTGGAGATGCATACATACTCATTATGGTACTACAAGAAGGCTGCTGGTCTACGACCATGGGACGGAAAGATGTGGATGGCTGTAGGCTCATGTCTACAGAAAATGGGCCGAGAACGAGATGGTATCAAAGCCTTAAAGCGAGCTTTACTAGCTGATGCTTATTATGACGTGGGGAGCAGTTTTGGTAGCGGGGATCTCCTTGGCAGCCGGAGCGCCACAGGTCATATGGACCCCGACATCCTTCTGCAAATTGCGGTTATGTACGATCAGCTTGGTGAGGAGGAAGAAGCCAGGTCATACATGGAATTATGCGTGGCCCAGGAAGACGGTGGTGGAGCTGCAGAAGCTGATCCGGCTGAGTCGATTGCTATTCACAACGACTCTCCACCGGGCTCAGATAATGGTGCCGAGGGCAACGAGAACCCAGGGAATGAGGGAACCGGAGTCACGGCGGCGACAAGCAAAGCGCGTATGTGGCTGGCAAAGTTCTCAATGCGCACTGGAGATTACATAACGGCCTCTCGACTTGCGGGAGAGTTGTGTCAGGACGGTGTTGAAGTGGAGGAAGCCAAAGCACTTGTGAGAGAAGTTCGATCTCGAATGGAAGCGACGGGAATGCTCGACCCGCTGAGTTAGCAATATCAGCAAGGACAAGTAGATGCCTAATCGTGTATTCAGAGGTGTGCAGCCAAGGATGTCTTTGGTTGATGAGAATATGCATCACGTTGCTCATGAAATGTTCAAATAAAGATGGCTAGTAAATAATGTTATTGCAGAGAATACATTCACCACGAGTGGCTAAGCCACTCGGGGATACGCTAGCAGTTGCATGATCTACTATGTACCTATTTAAAGCTTCCCCGGATCTACCGCCGATTGCATCATCGATCATTCTCCTGACAGCTGCACTCGTAAATGGTACATATTCCCGTGAGGAGAGTTGAGGTCGGCCCGATGATCGAAGCTATGCATGCACCATTGACACTGACGTATATTTACATAGGTAGTCAGTACCCAAGAAATACACGTTTCAGTAGTTGAAGTCAATGAACGATAATCGTAGGGATCGTGACAATTATGAAAGCAAGTCAAGAACTAACATTACTCTGTCTAGCCACAATACAAAGACCTCCATGCAAGATGGCATCCCAAAGTCTTCATATTGTCCTTCTATTGCGATCTATCCAGATACCGTATGCTTTCGTGAGTGATCTCCCACCATCGTTGGTATCAGTAGTACAGATTGGTTTAACATTACTTTCCCCAGGAGTGATCACATGGCCAAAGCTGCAACACCAGCAAACACGAAAGCCCCAAAGCTTCCAGACACCTTGTTAGCAGCGGCTGAAGACACAGAAGCTTCGATAGTACCAGTAGGGTTGGCCGGAGGTGAGGCAGCCTGAGATGGAGGAACAGCTGGTCGTTCGAGATTAGAGGGGGGAGGAGGAGGAGGCAACTCTGGGGCAGGAACCGAAACCTCAGGGGGTGGAGGAGGTGGCAGGGTACCAGCAGCTGGAACTGTAGCTTTTGGTGGAGAGGGTTCAGGTGCAGGAGCAGGAGCTGTAGCATGAGGAGGAGGAGGAGGAGGAGGAGGAGGAGGAGCTTCTGGGATAGGAACCGTACCAGACTTGGGGATTGCTGGTGGAAGTGAAGGCTCAGAGTACGGAGCTGTAGCCTTGGGAGGAGGTGGCGGTGGTCCGGAAATCAGAGCCGAATACTCAGAGGGAGGTGGAGCCGGCTTGTCAGGAGGTAGTGGTGGTGCAGGAGCAGATGATGACATCGCCGGGGGCGTGGGGGGCATTGGCTGGCCAGGGGGAGCCGTGGGATAGACAGCTGTCCCAGGAGACTTTATGTTCTGCGTGTAAGTGACAGTACACGGGCAGTCTGTCTCATATGTCAACTGCAATCCAGGATAAAGCAGGTAGTCATCATCACTCACTCGTGATAGTCAAATAAGTTGGCTCCGTGGCCGTGTAAGTGACGTTTTTATGGTGAAACGTGCTAGGTTCCTGCTATAGTCTTAGTCAAGCTGAACTCGGCTCATTTTGTAATTCAACTCACAGGGCAATAAAATGAATAGTCAGAAGTGATAGTGGTCACGAAGGTCTTGGCCGTGGCGTGCTCCGTTTCATTTTTGAACGGTGGCTTCGGGACGGGCGACATCATCGGAAAAGAGCCAGCAGCAACACCCCTAATGAGCACAATCGCTGAGAACGCCTGAAAGATCTTCATCTTTGTTGGCAAATTTATGTCTGAGTGTGGAGGCCAAGGATATTATTCGGGGGAGAATATGAGAATGTCAAGAGAATGTTAAAACACTTGATTGTTCAAGACAACCACGCAGCTTTTATACTTCGCAAACTGACATGTGAGCGCATATGGAAGCCACCGAATAACCTTTCAAATCAAGAGACTAGGGGATTTCCGGATATACGTGAATGGCGGGAGACTCCGATGTGAGTGTAGGGCTGAAGATGGCTCTCTATGGGTGCAGAGGATGCAGCAACTACCTATGTGGAAGACACTCACCAAATCGACATTTTCCGTCACAGAGCTTGCTTAGCTTTTACAGATACAAGATGAAGAATCACATAACCAAATCATTAATAAAACCACGCTCAGGGTAACTCAAATGAAGTTCGATCCTGCACCAGATTTGATGCAAATGTTTTGTGGGCAAGCAAAGTCTCATTGAGTTGGTGACAAAGTAGACGCGATTTGAAGTCATGATATCATTTCTCGCTATTGAGCGATGTCAGTACCTTAGGTATCGGTGTGCTCCTCTTGTAACTACATAACATTGCAATGGGCGGCGAGTCCGTTCGTTCAGATATCCCTCTGGATTTCGGGTGCTTGTTTGAGTTGCAGCTTTGTACTGTTATAACCGCAATACTCTCAGTGTTACAAGCTAGGAGACTGGAATTGGTAAAGGGCATAGCAGCCACTGACACAGAATGCATTATACACAACAATCAAAAACTGTTCAATCGACGTACATCTACGATTTTATACAGTCAAGTCGTGCTGTGTGATGATTGTGTTAGAAGGAAGGCTAAAAGCAATAGGGTAAACGACCATGGGTGAGATACCTAGGTAGGTAGTCAAGGAAACGGGTCGTTTATACTGACATTGACATCAGTAGACCTCTATCAATAATCACTTAACCTTTTTGTTTTCGTGAGTTTGAGTCCCCAAGTAATTACTTTGGGGAAGCTTGATGGCGTCGTGTGTTCAAGAATCTCTAATCACAAGACTCAGGCACAATTGCCTTACGGACATAGCCACAGAAATCAAGACAAACTATTCAAACATGCGAGAATAGTCTAAAAGTATAAAGAATTTATCAAAAAAACATCATCACACAGATAAACCTATCAATACCTGTCAACAACATTCAAGGAGCCTAGCCGTAGAACGGAGTTCTTTGGTCAAGGTCACGTGTTGGTGAATGAAGCAACGGAAGTCGTCACACGATTCACCCCGCCTCGAGTACTTCATCGTCATATCCACGACCTCATGGTAAACTCTTCGCAAATTCTTATTCTTGATAAACATGTAGATCATGGGCAGCTTCTCTTCTACGCTTCAACGAACGCCGAGTATGAATGTATGGAAGATGCATGCCGTAACTTCTTCACTATATACTCAGCACGCCCTCCTACCTCGACTCAGAAAGTGTTAACAAGTCAAGCTGATCGTCTGACATGGCCCATAACTCTTTCTCGATTCCTTCAAACGGAATTTGGACTAGCTTAAGGGTGTCAGAACGGAAAGATGAGAGAGTCTTCTGCTGTTTAAACTCGCAAGTTACTGTGCTCCCACCATCCTCAGCGGGTGATTATAGCCTAGCGTAGGGCGACAAGACCGCGCAATGAACTTTCCTGGCACGTTGAAACTGACCAGCAAAGCACAAGGCTATGTGTGGTCTCCTCTCCAGCCAAGTTCGGACGTGAGGGAAAACCCCAGGCTTGATATCTTCACCTGACCCAGCAGAGGTTAAGCCGCAGAGGTCGACTCCTTGATCCTGAGCTGCCAAAATCCCATGAGCTCAACCAGGGAGTCTACAAACCTCCACGACCATCATCGGGCGCTATTGAGATGAGCCCAAACATCATCACAAGCCCTTCTCATCACTTGGGACTTGAACATTCCAGTGTTTTCAATTTTTCTCAAGGACGACCGCGCCTCAGATGAGGCATTTCTTACCCACTCTGCTACTTTCTTGGCCATGAACCTTGTTCTGGACCTCAAGACCAACACGACAAAAGGGAAACTTGTCGGCCGATGTGTGCGGACAGACTTGAGCTCGGAGTGGAGATCTGCTCTTCGGTAACGGATCAGATCAAGTACCTTCGGCCTCACTTCAAAGATCACCGTGTTGCCGGCCGGTCTCCGAAATTGTGGACCTTTCCACTTGCTGCTTGATGTTTTCCCAACATCTGAACTTCGCACATCAGCTCAAGCAAAGTAGCGCACGCAAGTTCGTGCATCTGATCAACCGAGTTTTCATGTGTGGAACTTGTTGACAGAATTGAAGTTCTGAACCGCGTTATTGAGGATGATTCACCAGTCACCGAAAGAACACTTATGTTTCTACAATCCGCCACACGGGACTAAGAAATACATGTGTGTGTGCATGAGAGAGAGGACTTCTGACAACTAGTGTTGAAAGAAAGATCAAGTGGTAGTGACATGAAGCCTAGCCTCTTCTACATGCAGCAAGAATTGGTCTGGCAGCTACGATGACTCGCAACGACGGACTTTCTGCCGACATCGCTGGCTAGAAACTAGATTTGGTTCGAATTTGGCGGGAAGAGTACATGTCATCGACGATGTAGCATGAGGCAAGATACAGTCGATCGTGTCTGATCGGGAACCAAAAGCTCGTTCAGCCCCAGACTTTGCTTTTACAAAATCCTTCACATACATAGTCGAACCTGGCCAAGGGCAGTGGGATCGACAATCAACAAAACAAATTTGGTGATGTGAACGTCAGACCTCAAAATGGAACTCCACGGGCCTATAACAGCCAGTCTTACACACTTGCACACCGTGACACACTCGCTTCTTGGCTGCAGAACGTGCAGAACGGAACCTTCTCGGGCTAGGCCAACAATTTGAGAGGGAAGCCAAAAACCGCGCGGCGCAAAACCTTTCATGACAGTTTCGTACTGTGGGCAACGGCCTAGACCACCAAGACGGAAGAAAGTCCGCGACGTTTTGAACGCACCAAGAAAGCGATTTTTTCTTTTGTTCCCACTCCGTTTACACAAATCCGTTAAGTTCCATGCTTGTCTAGTGTAAGGGCCTCAGGCACAAAACCCTGACCCATAATCCTATTTTGCTCGTCTCCTCGGCCAACGCAACCTAGCATCACGGCGCAGCTATCAACAAATCACTCTCGCGAATACCCAGCAAGTATTGGAGGCCTTGGGACGCCAGTATGTACTATCATCGGGTCGACTCCCACCTTACCATCTCGTGCCGATAGAACCCCATAGTTCCAGCAGTATCTCCCTCGGGCAATGTGACGAATCATTGTCCCAGCACCCTAATCGCAAATGGCAAGGATGCAGGCTTCTTCAAAGCTACCTTGAGTTGATCATTGGTGACGCGGCAGCCCTACCCTGACCCCCATTGAGATTTTATCGGTCTGTGGGTTACTCTAAACAGGGCCAGAAGCGTGGCAGACTCGGGGCAATTGATCGCCAGGCACAGCAAACGGTCAGAAAAATCTTGATTTGCTTTGTTGTCGTCGCGACGTGGCAACATATACCGGCTTTTTCTTATTCATCAAAACCGGACCATCGTCAAGAACTGAATCATGATCTTTTGGGGGTCTCGACTCTGCGACTAGGTCCGGGAGAACCAACTGATGGTAACCGAGTGAACACAACATGGCTGTCGCGTGCACTTTTTTACTTCCTGACATCCTTCAACGGGGCATTGGCTAGGAATGTCGAGTCGTTAGTGTCCGCACCGCGAAAAGTCTGTTCCCCTTTGCAGACTCAGAAAAGCCGCAGTGGCTACGATTATTGATTCAGTCTCCACGTGTCGGTAATGGATACGTAAGTTTGAGGTCGCGGAAGGGAAAGCCACATTGGCGTCAGTGGCCCAGCCAGCCGCACCAGGATCTCAGAATTTTCATTGAAGTCTCAGGTCGTTAATGATGCCAGCAAGCGAAGCTAAGTGCTTGCATGGGACCAGACTATTCCCGGCAGAGTACCAGCAGAGTCCATATTTTTAACCGTAAGAAAATTGTGTTCTGGTCCTGCAGGTTTTGCTGACGTGCACACCGGTCAGCTTGCAAAGTTGCAAACCCTGCCCAACTGTTGGACCCCTGTACGCTGCGTTTGCTCCCGCTATCCGACAGCCTGAAAGAGAAAGGCTCCTCACACCCTCCTTGCGCAGAGCAGATTTCGAAACAAGCCTCTCAAGTCTAACCACATGGACGCCTGTCAGGTACCAGGCACCGGTGGCAAACGGCTAGCCAATGGGAGACCAGAAGCAGCTAGTCGAATCAAGCCAAGATGCAGCTAGAAGAAAAAATAGAGCGATATTATGGGACTTGGCCCCTCCCTTGCAGGCTTAAAGGTACAGTACAGTACCGGTAGTGTAGCCGCGGAACTGGGTGGGAGCGGCTACGCTGAATCGCTGACAGACGCCTCTTGTCTCTTGTCTGCCGGCTTCTTGGCCCAAACTGGTAGGGACAGCATTGCCCTAGTCCCATGTGAAAGAGGACCCAGAAGCTTGTCTTTCGAACCGGAGTTCCTCTAGATGGCTGGGGCGACCTCTAGCTCCGGATTTGTTGTACTGTACAATACTGTATGTTTCTATCTTTTGGATGCTTCCTTTGTTGTCGCGCGCTTACTGTGCAGTGAAACACTACCCCCAAGTCACAAAATAACAATTGAGATGGAGTCATGATTGACACAAATTGTTTCATTTCGAGACAACGAATGAGCGAACAGAAGCGATTGTTTTCTAAAGGCGAAGACAAGATGAAAAAAGCCACAAAGGAAAGCGTTGAAACAACGGCCTGGCCTCCCTTTGTTCTGAAAGCTTAAACATAGAAACGGCCCGCATTCAACAAGCATCCCCCGGACCAGTCAGGAGCAGCCAAATGAGCCCACACCCGCACCACCACCAGGACACGCAATTCACCGTACTATGATACATACTGTATGTACGTACATATGTGCTTGTGCTGGGGCAGATGAAAGGTGCAATGGAATCACTGCAGAAGTGCTGGTGCGGGGGAAAGAAGAGACTTTGTTGGTATCACAGGGCCTAACCTATGCATAAGTTGGGTTGCTCTGAGTAGAGTACGGAGTACAGTGCAGTTCAGTTCAGCTTTGTGTTGTGAACTGTTGGCCGATAAAGTGGTTCCGCTCACATCGAAGTCACATCCACACTTATAGCTCACCCCCACAACACCGCCGGGAAGGCTTTTGCAAAGCCCGTCGGGACAAGTCAAGTCAAGACAAGACAAGACAAGACAACACATCCTAGCCTCACCCTCCTCCTCGTGTGTTGACTCCACTGAGGCGCTTGAGCGTTTTCCTTGACAAATCTGATCTCGGCAACCCTAGTCTCCTCCGTCTAGTATGCCAGGCCCTTGGGTTCTGTCGTGTCCAGATATTGTTTATAAAACGGGCCTTCCTCTCTCCTTTCTCCAGATATTTGTCCTGATCAACACACACAGTCCTTCGGTTTCAGATTACACTTTTGTCTTCGGACGATCATTCCTTTGACTCAAAGCTTCTCATTCCTTTTGGAAGCACAGTCTATCACGATCCTTGATCAACTTTGAACGAGCTAGTTCTCGACCACCAACTTGCTCCATCACTTCGGAGTATCACAAGTTCTGATTCAGTCCTTTATCAGACGCTGCATAAAATCAATACTCTTGTCTTGACGACAATCGAGAATTCTCCAAACAAACCCAATCCCCCTTACAGTCCCCAAACAACACCGCCAACATGAAGTTCGCTACTGCTCTCGTCGGCCTCGTCGCCTCTGCTACCTATGCCGCCGCTGCCTCGGTCACCTTTGTCACTCTTGACGACAAGGAGCGCACCATCATCTTCACCCCTGACCCTGGTTACGAGGGCCCCGAATCTGTTACTGTCAGCTCGGCCAAGGAGGTTACTGTTGACTTCCCTGACAAGTACATCGGCAACTTCTACGCTGTCCAGAAGGGCAAGCCTGACCAGCCCGGCATGCTTGGTGAGGTCACCTTCGGCGGCTGGAACGGCAAGACTTATTTCGATGTCTCTGCCATCGTGGACCCCAACGACAAGAACAACGTCAAGCAGATGTGGCCCAAGTCTGCTGCCACCCCCATGTCTGGCTGCGAGACCTTCCCCTGCGACAACTGCTACTGGCTCCCTGATGATGTCCAGACCAAGGTCACTGACGAGGTTGACCTCATCACCACCCTTGGAGACGGCCCCAGCCCCTACAAGGCCAAGTCCAACTAAACGTCCATGTCGCCAATTGTCCGGACGGCCCTTGACTTCACTTCTTCACCCCCCTTTTACACTTTCACGCTGCGGCGTTGACACCGCGTTGACGATGATATGAATCCCTTTCTACATTACACTACACGATTCTCGTTTTACATACCCCGAAAGATACCCCTCGTGTGTTGCAAAAACCGAGGCCTTTCTTTATAGACCTTTGGGCTGGAGCAGGTGGCGCTTATGGATGGATCACACAGGCAAGACAGGACAAAGACAAAACAGTACTTGAGTCACATTCTTTGGGACTCTTGAATACGGAGCAGCGTCATTCTTTCCGTGCTCTCGTAGCATCACAGGCTTGATGTCTCTTGTATCAGCAAGAGAGTTGAGGCTGGCACTCGTTCTACATTCTATGAACATCTTCTTACACTCGTTGGAATCTAGACCATGTCTGGAGAGACTTTTTACATACACTTCTCTGTACATACTTCACTCAGGGCGCAAAAGCTCCTTTACAAAAAGATGAGGTTCTCCCTTTGGAACAACAAATTTTAGACTTTAGACCTGGACATATAGACTTGAGAACATAGAGTTTTGACCTGTGCGCATCCAATATTGTTTGATCCCCGCCATGTGAAAAAGGATTGAGGTTGTGTTGTGTGCCTAATGGGGTGACGAAGCAGCAGCCACATGCAGACTTGAAACAAATTGCTGCCCCTGACCTTTTCCTTGTCTGGCGGAACACTGACTACTACGCAGTAGCTCTATTTCTGGGCTGACCCGATTATTTGGAAGTCCACTGAGTGTCAATCACACTCAGTTCTTTGTTTTCTCCCCGACAAGAGAGGAGAGGGACACGTCAGTTACGCATCATGACCTGATGTTGTGCCTGCAGGTTGTGCCTGGCCCTGGCCGGAATGTAACGTGGCCTGCATGCGAGTCTCTGACCTAACGTAGGTACAGTACAGTAACCAGCACTAGGTAACTGTCAGCGAGTTGCGCTATGTTGTCCAGGTTGGCGCTGACTGGACACCGTGGTTAATAAGGTTGAATTAAAGGGGCAATTGCAAGAATGAGGTTGCGCTGCTTGATGTTTCTTCTTGGGAAAGCAAGAAATAAACACTACTGAATTGAGTTTTGACTGATCGCGGTGCTGTTGATCACCCTGATTGCAGATCATGCACCCCCTGCGAAGTATGATTCTCCCAACATTGAACCCGCGCTTCAGCCAAAACTTTCCGTGTACGAGAAAACCGCACAAGCCCGGTCTCGGGAGTGTCACTGCTATTTCCGCGCCTGTGCTTGTGCGACTTCGGGAGACTCTGTTCAACAAACATGTGAGTCTCATATAAAAGCTAACTAACTATAGTGTAATAAGCTACACCTGTTGGGTCTGTGCCTTCGGGGAGTGGCGGTATTGATGTGGACAAGGAATAATAGTACTACGGGGAGTTGTCACTGACAAGAAAACCTCAGAGTAACCTAGCTTCGAGAATTGAAACAGAAAAAAATTTACCGACCTTTCAAGCTGTAAGGAGAAGCTAAGCATAACCATCAGGTGTACTGAACGCTGAGATGCCAACTTCTGCTGGACCGAGAGGTGTAGTGCCATTAAGGACCCTGCCGAGATCTCGGAAACCCGAGCAAGCGGTTCTCGCCAAGGCTTGACAGCTTCCTCCCGTCGGGAATTTAACTCCCTTCCCTTGCCGTGTATGGTACTCTTTGACGGCGTCTAGTTACGGCACGAGAAGACGGGCGTTCGGATGGGGCTTGAGACTGGAATGCAGTTCACCTGGAATGCGGGTTGCGGGACGAATGAGGAGCTTGACGCCAGGCTCGACAACTACCAATTTAGCTCACACAATAGTATAACTCTTAACTATAATAACTCTCAACTGTGGGAACGTATTTGTAGTGTGAACTCGACCTCCGGCGGATCTTTTACATCATATCATTGTCTACATCTCCGCTCATCAAAGGCGAGTCGGGATCGAGTGAACATCAGCAATGCAGCCCCTGGTGCTTGTCCTACAAGGAGACACTTCGTGCACCCGACTCTGTCTCGATCATTCTGGCCCGAAAGAAAGGTGCTCTTGGTTAAGTTGTCATAGTATCTACTTCTCTGCCTTCTCCGCCGTAGATTCCGATGCAGGAACCGCCTCACTCTCTTTGGATTCATCATCCTTTCTTTCATCTGCGGGCTTTTCTATGACCGGCTCCACTACCTTGACCTGCTTAGCCTTGACGATCTTTTGTAGATACTCTCCCGTTTCCCCGAAGCCATCCAGTTTTCCGAGTTTTGTCGTGAGGAACTCAATGTCGTTGTTCATACTGGAAATGGTCAGCTGACTGTCTAGTTAGAACTCAACAGAACGCACCTTTTCAGGCCAGTTTCAGTCTTGGGATCTGCTTCTCTAAAACTTGACCCAAGCTGATCCCTGTAGCTAGCAAACACAGGAAGCATGATCATCTGAATTGATGTCTCGGGGAGATGCTTCGTCAGGACACGATGTAGAGTAGTTGTCTCCTTCGCCAGTGTTTCCATGTATGAGTGGACGCCCTTGTCTCCATCTGCTTCCCAGTCGATCGTCTTCATCGTCCGTGAGTGGATGGCTGCTCGGCCGCCCATGATCTCAACCAGTTTCTGGTAGATACTATCTTGATGCTCTTGCAGTAGTCGTCTAATCTTGTCGAACTCACCCATGAGATTTGATACGCTCGCTCCGGATCCAGCGTGACGTCGCACAAATTCCCTAACATGTGGGATCAAGGTTGCTGTGAATGAGAGCGCCTGGGAGGCCAAGGCCAAATGCTTGGTGGTGATGTTCTTTAGCCCAGCTGACCGCGTTGCCCCGGCACCAAGAATAAGCTGTGTGCATCTTGAGTTGAAGAGCTGAAGATACGCGATTAACGAGGTTGCAATATCAACAGTCATAGACGGTATACCACTGATCAGATGAGAGAACTTGGCGATTCCATTCAAACATAGAATGGCTGACTTTGGTAACATGAACGTCTCTGAATCGATTGTAGCAGTCCTGGTCTTTTCCTTGCCGGTTCCGTTTGTTTCGATTGCCTCGTCCTCATCGACAGGCTCCAATTCCGAACTAGGTATCCAAATCTTGGTACTGTCTGTCCACTCATGAGGATCATGCGTGCTGCTCCCCAGGATGGTGTTCAGCAACTCGGTGTTCTTCTCGGTAAAGTCTTTGGCATTCCACTGATCAGATTCCATCCCCTGAGCCAGCTTCTGCATTTCAGCATCGCGATTCCGTTGCACGAAGTCCTTAATGTGTCCATTAACCACATTCTTGAGAGACGTGCCGCTTCGGCCAGATATCGACTCGCATTCGGTGGCAAAATAGAGGTTGAGTGTAAAGTAACGGAGGAAGAGGGTCAAAGGCAACTGTGCAGTCTGCTCTGCTCGAACCTTCAAGACCTTGACGATCTTCTCAATAGCCACGTCGACGGCTTGGCCAAGGAGATTAGTAACGTCAAGGCTCTTGTGGAGCTCCTCTTGAACCTCGAATGTTGCACTGTTCATAGGATTGCTTGGGAATCTATCTGGTCTCGGGCTGGATATCGGTGATCTGACTGTGGGAGACATCAACCCTTCCCCTTGTGGGTTCTCAGTGAGGGAGCTAGTAATCTCCAACAAGACCTTGACTTGTGTCGTAAGTCTCCTGAGTGTCTCTGTGACTCCGATGTAGATCTTGATCAGAAGGTCCTCACCATCCTCAGGATCCAAAGAGCGAAGATTCCGTGCCAAAATAGAAGACTTCTCCTGATTTGATAGATGACGGCCACCACTTGCAGTAGAGACTGACATCATCGACTCATTATCATCATCTGTAGAACTGGGCAGGGGGCGTCTGATCAAGTTTCGGATTTCACGCAAGACAGACTCTCGGTAAGCGACAGTCGCTTCAGCGATATGTTTTGCTCGATGCAGACCGATCATATTGGGCAGCAGCTCGGTCTTCAATTCATCGGTATTTGTGAGATAGGTTGGAAAGACTGAAGGAGACCTAGCATGGCTACCTTTGGATCGGCTCGCCGCGTTACTCCACCTAAGAAGAATCTCTTGGGATGACACAGATTCGGCGTGTCGTCGTAGATCACGGATTAGAATATTCTGAAAGTTGGTCTCGTATGCCTTTCCTATACGAGACCGCAAAGTTGCTAGATCCGCGTGGACGCCTTGTAAAGCTGAAGCTGAACGCAAGTCCCGCAACTGAATGTCAGTTTCATTTGCAGCAGTAGCGTCCCTTTCGCCTGCAATGAGCTTTTCAAGAGAGTCGATATTCGCCAGTGCCTTGTCGACTTCCCCTTCGTCCACTAGCGTCTCACAGCTTGCAAGGCCATCCGCAATCTGCCTCAGCTGAAGCACAGCATCATTGAGTTGTCGCAAATTTTCTTGGCGCCTTCGCTGGTAAACAATCTGGAGGCCTCTGGTTGCAATTTCTTCATCCAAAGCTTTAAGCTCTTTTCTGAGTGTCTTGATTCTCCCCACGGATTCCGCGGCCTCTGAGTGGAGTTCCTTCAACGATCCCAGGGCAGTAAAAAACGTCGTTGATGCGGTGGAGATGGAATTGATGAGATGAACCTCGATAGTGTCCATGTACCACGACAACTTCTCTTGCAAAATTGCATTGGTTGCCAGAGCTTTCCTTGGCGTGGCAGCGCTTCCGTTGAGTGAGCTCTGTCCGTCATTGGCGTTGGCGGGTCGGATAACCTCGGATCGTTCGCTCACAATGTCAAAAGTTCGGGGATTCTCGAGATGGAATTCATCGTCAAAGTACACAGTTGGGATCGTTGATAGAGGAGGAGGTCCATGCGTGGACCTTCGGGTGAAGCCAGCACTTGGTCTTCTCACAGGACTGTGACCATCATTCGAGTTCATCGAAGAAAGCGATGCAGTCGAGCCTTTCCGAGTTGGACGAGGCTTGGGCCCCGGTCGTAAGTATCCATCACCACTCGATTCGGTCGGGGTATCTTGCCGGCCAGGGCGCTGCTCTTTGTTGGCCTCCTCGTCGCTCTCTTTCAAGCGCTGAAGTTGTTCGTATAAACTTCCGATCTGTGACAAATAGGGCTTGAATTCCTCAGCGTCGACTTTTGTGATGTTCGTCAACGTTACTGGGGGGATATCCCGGGCCGTCGGGGGTTTATGCGCGGTCGAGGCCGGTGCTGAGGTGTGAGGCTGAAGACCAGTTCGTACAATTGGGGGTTGAAGAAGGGTTGAGATAGCTTCGAGAGGTTAGTTTTACGATGAAAGATCCGTGAAGCAAAACCAACCATTCTGACTTGACTCATATACTGAAGCTGCCAAATTACTGGGAGCACTGTCAAGGATACCTCCCACTGAATGGATGGAGCTCGCTGTAGAGCCACGTCGTGATGACGGGTGGGGATGCATTTGAGCATGTCTGTGGTTGTTGCTGCAACCAAGTTAGTCTCGTTTGTTAGTATGTGATAAAGGCATATAAGACTACCTGTGAAAGGGAAGCTCCCCACGACCTGTAGGCGACAATGCCGCAAGGTTGTCCGCAGACTTGGTAGCGTTGGGAGAGCTGGGGGAGAACATGGTCAATGGAGATCCGGATAAGCAAGGACAGCTTCAGAGGTGAATGTGGGATGTAGATGGTGTATTAGTAGGGTATCATCGCTCAAAGGATTGCAAACAAAATGTGCACCGTCAAATGTATATGATAGATAAGATTTGAAAGGACAATTAAGTAAAGAGAAAAAAAGAGAGGATCCGGAATCAAGAATGCGCCATCATCACCAAAAAAGGTCTGGAATATTACCTTCAGTACGTCGCCGTCTAGACACCTTGTAAGTTACGCAGCTGTCCCCCCTAAACCGATTATTTCCTTGGCGTCAGCACGTGATGATAAGCGCTGAGCTTGATAACTGTCCTCTAGGTCCAGAGCTGCAACCACTATACACACGCGTCGCGTCTCGAGGGACTCCGCGTTTTCGCGTAAATTGACCTAAGGTTACCCTTCCAACTTGCGGAGCAAAGCCCCTCCATCGATCCACAAACAAGATCTCCAAACTCCCTGGTCAACCTTTAGGCTTGCAACGAAAGGAGAGGAGTGATTCACCAGATTATTCAAAATCACACAGATACACAATGGATCGCGGATCAATCTACTCGGCTCACGTCTATGAGCCGAGCTACGCTGAAAATGGCGATACTCGAATGCAGCTCCAGACACAGCTTGAAACATTCATCCTTGATTTTCGACTGGATAACAACTTCGTCTACAGGTTTGCCCCCAAATATCTAGTCTTCGGCAGTTCTTCATAATAACAGCGCTGCAGAGATCAACTCCGAGAGAATGCCCTTCTCAAGAGATACTTCTGTGATGTCAACATTAACGACCTGATCAGCTTTAACGAAGAGCTCGCGCACCGATTGACATCTGAGCCAGCAGAGATTATCCCTCTGGTAGGGACCACGCAGCGCGCAATATATAAATCTCTAACAAGTCAATAGTTTGAAAATGCACTAAAAAAATGCACACACCGTATCGTCTTCCCCCATGAGCCCAAGGCCGAGATACCTGATCACCAACTTCTTCTTCACTCGAATGCCGACGACGTCTCGATCCGTAACCTCGATTCCGTGACCATTGCGCGACTGGTGCGAGTCCCGGGTATTGTCATCGGCGCCTCTGTTATGTCATCCAAGGCGACAGGACTCCATATCCAATGCCGCAACTGCGGACACACACAAAACATCCCTGTCCTTGGTGGCTTCACAGGTGTCACTCTGCCTCGACAATGTGCTCGTAGCCGAGTTCCCAACGATCCAACTCCAAAATGTCCTTTGGACCCCTACTTTGTTGTTCACGAAAAGTCTGGCTTTGTTGATCAACAAATCATCAAGCTTCAAGAAGCTCCCGATCAAGTCCCTGTCGGAGAACTGCCTCGACACGTTCTCATCTCAGCTGACAGATACCTTACAAACAGGGTTGTTCCCGGATCGAGATGTACTGTTATGGGCATCTTCTCGATCTACCAAAACAAGGCTTCCAAGAACTCTTCCAATGGTGGTGCTGTAGCCATCCGTACCCCTTATCTCAGAGCGGTTGGGATCCAGACAGATATCGATCAAGCAGCCAAGGGAAATGCGACTTTCTCAGAGGAAGAAGAGCAAGAATTTCTGGAGCTCAGCAGACGGCCCGATATATACAACGTGATGGCCGACTGCATTGCGCCCTCTATTTACGGAAACCGCGATATCAAGAAGGCAATTCTTTGTTTGCTGTTAGGTGGTTCAAAGAAGATCCTTCCCGATGGAATGAAATTAAGAGGCGACATCAACGTATTGCTTCTTGGTGACCCCGGTACAGCCAAGTCACAGCTTCTGAAATTCGTCGAGAAGGCGGCCCCTATCTCTATATACACCTCGGGAAAGGGTTCCTCCGCTGCAGGTCTGACAGCATCTGTTCAACGTGATCAATCCACTCGCGAATTCTATCTCGAGGGCGGTGCCATGGTTTTGGCTGACGGAGGAGTTGTGTGTATTGATGAGTTCGACAAGATGAGAGACGAAGATCGAGTTGCGATCCATGAGGCTATGGAACAGCAGACTATTTCCATCGCAAAGGCCGGTATCACTACTATTCTGAATGCGCGAACATCGGTCTTGGCTGCTGCCAATCCTATCTTTGGTCGATATGATGATATGAAGACTCCTGGAGAAAACATTGACTTTCAGACTACTATTCTGTCACGTTTTGATATGATTTTCATTGTCAAGGATGACCATAGCCGCGAGAAGGATGAGACTATGGCCAAGCACGTTCTCAGCATCCAGATGAACGGTAGAGGCGCCGAGGACATGACTGAAACCGAAATTCCTATTGACAAGATGCGACGATACATCACCTACTGCAAGACGTGAGTTGCAATTCCAAGCTTCTTAGTCTTATTTTGTTTGTACTAATATACGACAGACGTTGCGCACCCAGACTGAGTTCCGAAGCTGCTGAAAAGCTTTCTTCTCACTTCGTCTCTATCCGACGCCAGGTCCACGCTGCTGAGATGGAAGCAAACACACGTTCCTCTATTCCCATCACAGTCCGTCAACTCGAGGCTATCGTCCGTATCACCGAGTCTCTTGCTAAGCTCACCCTTTCCCCCATCGCCACCGAAGTACATGTCGACGAGGCCATTCGACTGTTCCTGTGCTCTACCATGGATGCCGTCAACCAGGGCAGCAATCAGGGGAGTCGCGAGTTGAACGATGAAGTTAACCGCCTTGAGACGGAGCTCAAACGTCGGCTGCCCATCGGCTGGAGTACTAGCCTATCTACACTTCGGAGGGAAATGGTCGAAGGCAAAGGATACAGCGAACAAGCGCTGAACCGAGCGTTGATGGTTCTTCAACGGAGAGACACGATCATGTTCAGAAACCAAGGTGCACAGGTGTATAGAAATGGAGCTTAATGTGGCGATGAACGTAGGTAATGTAAAAGGCTGGTTTGTCAATTTCGGTAGATGTCTTGGTAGTAGACTGTGTTAATGAGTAATGAGGCGAAATCATTATGACTGTTGTATATGAGCAAATTCTTAAAGATAACAAGACTCGAAGTCTCAACACAGATCCGAACAGATGATAAATCTGTTCCTGCTTGCTAGAGCAGGCATAGAGTATATTTGACTAGGAGTGAGGTTGTTGCCGCTGGGGTTGTTCAAAGAAAAGGATCAGCCCAACAATACCTAGCTTACCGAGGTCTAACTACGCTGGTCGTATATTGGCCGATTCAATTAGCAAAATTCTGTTTTAAAGAAAACACGAAGTAAGCAGAATCGACAGAGGCGCAAAGGATGGGGAGGGGAGGTATAAAATACACCGCTGCAATCAAATTAAGATCTTGACTTGAACAGAAACCAGCCATGGTTCAACATGCGGTGCGAGGTTTAATTCAATACCGTTGTTAATATTATGCTTGTCCCTGTCCTGAGGATACTAGAATACATTTGACCTCATCGTGCAATTGGACCAGACAAGTCTGGTGAGTTTTGCCTCCCTATATCGATTCCATTGGAACCAAGCCCACGTCCATGCCAACACCCACTACGGATAGGAAGAAACTCAATTTTACCAACCTTGATGCTGCTTTCTGCGGGTCGGGTGATAATGGCCATCAGATGTGTTGAGGCCCAAATCCCTATCCCGTGAAGCATCCATATATGCTTAATTTGCATTATATGTTAGACAAAAGGAGATGATGATTACTGGTGAGTGCCTCAGTGAATAGACTTGCTTGTACGAGTCTTTGTTAGGCTGCGGCGAAGAGCATTGCTCGCCCGTCGCTCCAACTCGGCCTCGTGCGCCTCCTCGGCGGCCTGGTCCTCCGTGATCACCTCGTCCTTGGTGCGCATGCGCTGTAACGCGTTGGCGGCTTCGGCGGCGAACACGCACTTCATACGGATAGTTTCCCCGTATCTGTAGAACAAGAACGGAAACGGGACACAAGCGACGGCCAGGAAGGCAGGAATGGAGCTAGCCCAATGAATTCCCAGGTCGTTGTACATGTACGTCGTGAAAAGGGGGAACGCCGCGCCAAAGAGGGAGCGCAGGATTGAGTTTGCAGCCAACACAGAAGCAGCGAAGATAACATCTGGACGAGTTTAGCTGGAGGAGATAAGAAGCATTGCTGGAACGAATCTTACATGAATCAATGAGGTAGTTTAACAGTGAGAGAAAGACAGTGACTAGGCCGCAAGCGAAAAAGGCCGAGCCGATGATAGACACGATCCAATGCACATCTTTGCCGTTGGTCCAGGCAAACCAGAAGAGGCCGACTGGAATAAGTATTGAGCCAACCAGTGAAGGGGGCAGCCTAGCTTCAGGAGATGCATGACCGCCGGCGGCTTCGGCAGCCCGGGCGTACCGTTTATTGTCCAGGATAGTGCCAGTGACCGCAAATAACATTCCCACAGCAATGCCAGTGAAGGCGAGTCCTCCGATCCCTGGACTCCATCCGCGACCCTGCTGGAATACGATTGGGAAGGCAGCAAAGCAGAGGTATAGTGTTCCGTAGATGATGGCCACGTACAGTGAGGTTAGAAGAACAATAGGTTCTTTAAACAGAAGGATCCAGGGGCGAAGTATTGCAGTCTTGAACTGTGTGGCAATAGTAGCTTGAGGACGACCAACATCAATCTTGGAGATGTAAACCTTCCCAGTCCTTTTGGAAAGGACAGCTGCTCGGCGACGCAAGAGATAGGGGGCATAGGTTTCAGGTATCACTAGTGAGTTAACAATCCAGACAATACCGGTAAATATGGCCGACATCCCAGCCACCCAGCGAAAACCTTCGTGTTCGCCAAGAAACCCTCCAGCGATGGGACCTGTTACAGAATAGTCAGCGTCTTCTTCGCAATGCCGAGAGCATGCAAGCTTTTATGCCGAACTCTGTGTCGGGGAATGGCTTACCAATAGTAGGGCCTAGGAAAGGGGCCATAGCAAAGAGAGCTGTAGCAAGTCCTCGCTCGTTCGCATGGAACATGTCAGCAATGACACCGCCCGCGTTGGTCAATGGTGATGACCCAAAAGAGCCAGCAAAGAAACGAAGGACTATCAAGGCCGCCATGGTCGGAGCACCTGCGGCACCTGCATTGAACGCGGTCAAGGCCATGAAAGAGACAAAGAATGGAATCTGTCGACCATAGAGCTCTGAAATATTTGTTAGTCAGTCATATACCAAGAAGAAGACCTTGCCTCAGCAAGGGGTTCCCCGAGTTTGGGCAGACTAACCTGAAAGTGGTGCCCAAAGCAGCGGTCCGATAGCGAAGCCAAGAACAAACATGGAAATACCAAGTATGGCAACTTCAGTTGAGACATGGAAGTGCATCAAGATGGATGAAAGGCCTCCAGAGTATGCCGTACTGGCGAAGGTAACGGACAATGTTGCTATGGCCTGCAAGATTGTAATAAGCCACTTCTTTGATCGTGAGAAGTTCAACGCATTTCGACTATCGTTCGGAAGGAAATCAACAAGATATGGTGAGTCTGCTGTTCCGTGACCAGTGTAGTCGTAGTTAAGAACAGCGTCAGTAATGCCGACTTGGTCAAGAATAAGATTGAAGTGTGAGGCCTTGGCATTTATCTGCTGTGACTCGACGTCGGTTGCATTAGCTATTGTTGAAGAAGCTGAAGAAGTAGAAGGCTGCAGCTGTGTAGCGACCGTCATGATGGCGATGTGTATTACAGTCTTACAACTGTGTGCAGCCGCTCAGGGAGAAATATGGACAGAAGTCCTAAGCTGAACAAAAACTCAATATAAGAAGTCGTGTGTTATTTGGATGTACACCTCAGGTCGGTACACTAGCATCTGATCTCGCAGGTCAAGAGCTAGGATAAGAGCAACTAAGAACGGTACATGCCAAGGTATTATATCCATCTCATATTGATCTTAGTCCTGTCTGGTCCCTGGTCAGATTCACGGCCCGTCGTCGCAAGATCCAAACAACTTTGGAGCAGGGAGCCGAGTGGAGCGTACAGACTGTATTCCTAGGTGACACGGATCGGCATATTCTCTATTAGTTGCTTATAGGCACGAAGCATCTTGCAAACACCAATGAATGCCACGCATGGTTGCAGGATAGAAACCATCAAGTCTTCCAATCAGCCGAAATCCGTTTGAATCCCGTCCCGAAGCTCGCCTTCCCTGTGGCTGCACTCGCTCATCTGATATATTGTCTAGCAGTTGAAGCAACCTTGAGCTGAGGACTGGGCCCAACAGGACGGATCGGGGTTGCATAGCACAATGCGGTTCCCTTCCAGCGCTTCTGATCGCTTATAGACTAAGGAGGTGCGCATGCCCTTCCAGGAGAGGGGTATCAGACCAATATCGGCGATGGCACTCCATCAAACACGTCTCGACCCCATCGAGAGATATCAGGCTGACTTCGATGAACACATATAGGCTATCAATCGTATATCAATGAAGCCGAACCCCGCCGACATTATCTGACTAATGTTAAGCAGTCGGTATTCGGTATCTTAAACGCCGTTTTGTTGTCCGCGATTCGGATCCGAACGAGCCGGCGTATTCTTTCGAGCCCCATTATGTTATTCAGATAAATATGACGGAAACTCAATTCGAGGCCTGTTCCCAACGATCCCGTTTGATAGCTTCTTGAACTCTTACGCCTGGTAAATCCAAACGTGGCTCCGGATCGATCTTAGTCCGTCAGATTAAGTCGAGAAGATGTATGAGATGCTCTTTATTTTCACCCGATGGCGGCAGAGTGCGCCGCAATGTGATGGTGCAACATGGTAACCTACTAAGCTCATGATATAAAACAGAAATCAAACGAGGTTCGGGTCCATTCAGACAACCGCCTACCGGTCAGGATGAAAAGTTGTGGAGGCGTATCAATCACGTAAGGTGGATGGAATCGCCCGATACCACGCTGTTTTTCATCTCTAAGTTATACCACTATTCTTTCATCCTTGATTGAGGGGGCGCAGATTCAATCCGCTGGGAGCCATTTGTCGTTATGGATTTGATCTCAGTGGCCTGTGATATGACGTCTTGTTATCTGCCGAAAGAAATGCCCTTCACTTTTTCCGGGCTGCAGGTTTAATCTCCAAGACCTTCCCACTCATCTTCGTCTGTGTCAGTTCCTTGACGTGCATCGAAGGCGATCTGTCGAGCATTAAGATCATGTGCTGCAGTACTGCTTGTACTCTCGCTTTCTGAATCTTCATCTTCCTCCTCGTCCTCTTCCTCTTCCGTTCTATCGCCACTGTTATCATCTTTTGCGGTTAAAGAGACATGCTCGCCAGTCGTTTTCAAGACTGGCATACCGAGCATGTCACGGATGATTGCACCGCTATCGTCTCGCAGGTAAGGACCCTCGTTGCCGGTAGTCCCGAAATTCTGTACATCGGGCCTCACAAAACCAGCCACAAAAAAGCCCATAACACCTTGCCCGTCATCCTTATAAGAGCGAATGCAAGCTTCTGCTATATCTTCATCTCCCCCACAGGCTTCAGGGAGTCCTCGGACGGGCCATTCTCTCAGACCAGAAACTTGATCTTTCCGCAACAGAATGCGCCAACCCCTTTGCTTCGCAATGTCGGATTCAAGAGCTTTCGTGACAACACGCTCGTTTTCTTGAATGTGAATTGAACAAGTGGAGTATGTAATTCGTTTTGCTGATGGGAATTTGAAGGCGTGTAATAGAAGCGTCAGTTGGAAAGAAGACAGCGCCTCCAAGCGTGTTTCTAGATCCTTCTCCGACTTGATGGCAGTCTCGTTACCGTCATCGTCTATCATGATCCTGTCCTCAGGTGTCTCTGTCTGCTCATGTTTCCTCTTGCGGCCGTTTTGCTTTGCTGCGGGACCCTTTCCTGTGCTACTGATACCTTCGGGCAGGTGAAGGTCCGGCATCGAATCTCGTCCGACAATTCCACTCCCTGAGCAACTCGGATCCAGTAGCAAAGCTCCGACTGACATGTACTTCTCTGCCATAGGGTCGACCTGTAGAAAATCTTGACCAAATCCAATTTTTGTCACAGGCTTTGAACCTGCAATTTTGACCATTTTCTCCAGAGTTTGTGCTCGTCGAGAATCTTTTTCGAATGCATAGATCGTTTGCTCTGGCGCATTGGATTCGGGCATATGTTCTTTGAGGATCGCTGCCAAGTGAGTTGTCTTATTGCCAGGAGCAGAGCATGCGTCGATCAGGTCGCCATCCTCTGCTCTGGGGTCTAAAAGATAAGCAGGGAAACAAGAGGCTTTGTCTTGTAGAATGATTTTACCCGTTGTGTACGCCTCTGTTTTTGTGAGATCTATTCCTGCAGTGATGGCCAAAAGGTTTGGGACATGTGGGTCAATGTATATGAGTCTTCCAGTGTTCGTGACAACCTCCTTGATGGATGTGGCTCTTGTGTACTTGGAGAAAGTCGTCTCCAACTGTTCTTCTAGTGTACTCTTTACAGCATTGACACGAACCCAGCGAGGGTAATTCGCTTCTTCGCCGGCGCATTGTCTCTCAACTTGCTCTCTCAAAGCCTCGAGTGTTGGCATCTTTCTCCGAAGCCGTGCGAGCTTAAACTCTGAGCTTATGCGTCCTTTATGCCTCTCGATTGATGCCCGAAGTCCATGGCCTTGTGGAAGAGCAATTCCCTTCTTGGCCAACAAAAGGTCATGTACAAGAAGTAATGACAACGTCGGGGTCAGCTGCGTGCATGATTTAGTATAGGAGTTCCGCAGTCTAGCGTAGGGACGGGCTGCAAACCTTGCGCTCAAGTTTCAGAAGCTCTGATCTCTCAATCACTTCTTTCAGAATGAGGCTCCATTTGCAACTCTCTAACACCAAGGCGTAAACTTGGTTTGGTGCGGATTTAAGATTTTTCTTCTTGAAAACACGCGACTTGAGACTTCCGCCTTCAAATGATGATCCCGCTAAGATCTCTGCTGCCTCATGATAAAGAGACATTTTCAATGTAGTTTTGAGTGAGGAAGGGCCGTGTGGTGAGGAAGAAAATGGAAGAGAGAAAGACTGGTCGTTCGTTCATTTTTTAACCGAACTTTATCCGATGCGACTGGACGGAGGTGAGAGTGCAATATGGCACAACATTGGCCTAGAGCAACTGAGGATAAACGGAGGCTGCTGTAGTATTCTTAAGTTGAGAGTCCGAATTCCTAGGCTGACAGTAGATTCTTCACTCAAGCGACATGGTCACTAGTAGGATTAGAGACGGGTGTGGCTACTGAGCCGAGGACACTTTGATCACTTTTGTGTGCTGCGAGTGAATGTATTTCGCATATGCCCTGGATTCATGTCGGGCAAAAGATATGCGCTCAAGCGCTTTGGACCCTTGGCAAGCAAGGTATGTCCTCCATAAATGTACATGTGTAGAAGCGAATCATCCAACAACTTTCTTCCTTCCCCTCAATTCCATTCCCTTGCACCTCGCAGCTTGAATCAAAAAGCCTGTCCATGAAATCGCCAACCTTATATTTTCCGGTCCAAGGAAGCCAAGTGGTCACTGGACCCCTATACAAGATGCTCCGCAGATGCACCATCGCAAGAAATGTGAGAAAATCTTTCTGCCACCTAGACTGCCATTCAAAGTATGCTATTAGCAGAGCCAGTTCACCAGTAAGCAATGCTTAGCGGCGGAGGTGGCTACGGCGGCGGAGATGGTTGTGTCCACTGCCATGGTGGTGAGCATGTCGTCGAACATGATCTCTCTTGTAGCTAGGAGTACCAGCCTCAGTCTGGACAGGCACACTGGCTGTCTGTGTGACTGTCACGGTGTTCCAGACGGTATGAACTCTAGTCTTGCACTTCTTGGGCTTTTCAGGCTTGTCGAAGATGTCGGTTGGCTTAGGGGCACTGGAGAGAACATCGGTTGCTTGAGCAGCCGCCTCGGACACAACTGCAGGGTGGGAAGGTAGAGTAGGCTTAGGAACAACTGGGTCCTCATGGGCACCAGTGGAATCAGAAGCTGGCTTGGTGTAGCCGGGAAGTTCAACGGCGGTGGTCTTCTCCCCAGAAGCCGACTTGCTGGCGGAGGGTTGGACAGAGGGCTTGCTGGGGCTACTCTCCTTGTCGCCGCCGGAGGGCATTGAAGGGGCCTTGTCGCCATAAGAAAATCCACTCAAAGGGTTGCTTCCAGGGAGTTTGCTCAAGGTGCCGGTAATCTTTTCATCGACCTCGGACTCAATGGTGCAGTCGCCTTTGTTGAGGCCATAGGTGAGGCCTGGGCAGTGGTCCATACCCTCGGTACCAGCGTTACAGGTGTCAATGATATGCTGGAGGAGGTCTTCGTCCCAACCGGCCATGAAGTCGGCATGGCTGCTGTATCCGGTAACGTCGCCATTGGAAAAGACGAAGGGCTGCTTGCCCTCACCCTCAGTCCAGCGGCCAGCAAATTTGTCGGTGCGCCAGTAAGCCTCGTAGAAAAGGTGAGGAACGTGAATCCAACCCTTGGGGCAGTCGAGATAACCGTCATTGTCCTCGGGGTAGGCCATGTTGTTCTTGAAGTCGGTGAGGCCAGCCTCGGGGTTGTAACAAGAGGGGAAGTGGACATCAGCTCGGAGGGGAGAGTATTTGCCATCACAAGTTCGATCAGGGAACCCGACACCCTCACCCTTATTGACAGGATCACCTACACCAGCCATCTTGCCATCAGACTTGGCATCCCAAGATGGGAGCGTGTAATCGTTGTTCAAGCGGGGGCAAGTCATTCTGGCAGGATTGACAGGACCCTTTGAAGGGTCAAGATTGGGCTTGCTGCCAGCCTTCGGCATGGTACGGGTCATAGCATCACCAGCAACGATCTGGAGACCAACAGGGAAAGGCTTGATATCATCGTGTGTCTTCTCGAAGCTGTTCGCTTTGTCAGTAATATGCGCAAGACAATACGATAATTGGGAAAGTGAAGGGCTGGAGTAGCGCAATGAGACAAGGCAGTGCTCTTACAAGTAGTAGGCATTGAAGTAGTCGAACTCAACATCTTCAAACTCCCCAGATTTGGGGTCATGGAAATAAAGAGTGGGAAACCAGTAGTTACTGTTGTCGCCCTTGACAAGCGCATTGCTGCACTTTGACTTCTGGAGATCCTCTCCGGTCGCCTTGGTGCTGAAGCCACTGCCACCCATGATGTGGTGGACATGAGTGGAGGTCTGACCAGGGAAAAGGATGGGATCCATACGACCTCTAGTGAGCTGGTCGTTGGTGAAGCGCAAAACGGCGAAGGTACCCGTCTCGTGAGCAGCAGAAGCGGCGCCGGCGAGAACCGCAGCGGCGGTAGCGAAAGCGGACTTCATGATGGGAGACAATGATAAATGGAGTTTAAAAGTATCGAGCTAATGGTTTAACCGCACGGAAGGATTTTCGACGGCGGAGTGGGAAACGATGTAAATGCTAGCGTTGAGATCTCTGGGATTCTGGGCGCTGAGAATGAAACCTGATTCTTCTTCAAGAGGAAGCAGACAAGTGTAAAGCGGGGGGGCACGCAGGTGATACCGGAGCACCTGTGAGAAGAAAGAATGTTTCGCAACCGTCCAGTCACTATGTTAAGTGCAAGTGAATCGGAGACGATGGATAGATCGTGGTGGTTGACACCGTGAAAAAGGAGGGTAACAAGCAGTTCAGAGAAAAGAAAGGTCTGAAGCTGCTCTGAAGAATGAATGAGTGAGTGAGTAGAACCGAAATAGAGAAACGAGAGGACGTGCCCAGCAGTGCAGTGTACGAGGGAAAATAAGGTAAATAAGAAAAAGAGCGTGTGGAAGGATGAAGAGAAAGAAGTATGTTGGACGAGGATCAGAGGTGAAGGTCTCTGTGTGAACGGGGGCCGACCTGGACTGAATCCTTTAGGATCCATCCATTCATTCGCTGCAGCTGCCAACACTGCACTGGCGCACAGCGTATGCTATAATCAGACTGCACTGGCCTTGTCACTGCGGCCACTTTGATATTCTCTAAGCGCGTGCACGTCCATCATTGGTTTCTTGGCTTTCTCGTCATTGAGGTTGTCTAATTGATCAAAGGATTATGGTGATGGAGCCTATGGGCGTGGCGAGCTACTATTCCCCCGTTTTTACTAACGGCCGGGCCTAGTTCAGGGGTCGCCCAAGCCGCCAGGCGTTTTCGGAACTTTCTAGTGTAGCAAGATGGTGAAAGAGGATTGGCTACAGCGGTCCAAGCCACATCTAGGGGCCATGTGTAAATTAATGTATGAAACCTTGATTTTTTGGCTCGACTTTGTCACGAGAGCTGGTGGAGAGACAGGCGTCAAGTCAGATGAAACAGACAAGAGCTGCATCAGCAATGAGCGCCAATATCCAGAAATATCATTGGCTGTGTGTTCTCGTTTTTCATAGGGCTGGGCAAAATCTACATGCGTACCTGCATCGAAAAACCTCATTCATGTCGGCTGGCGCCAAGGTTAGTGGATGATGGACAGGGGAAATTGACAGGGACCATGAATCACAGTCCGCCCCTATGTAGGAGGAAAAGAACAACTCACTAAATGAATGCTTCCCATAGGTACCTTACGGTAAGGTAAGGCAGGTAGGCGGTAACCACTGTAAGCAGTGTACGACAGATATGTGCTGGCGGTCGGTGTGACTTGGAACCGACGCAGTCATGTTTGATTGGTAGTGGTGGAATTGATGAGCTGCAGTCTGTATTTCTGTACTCCGGCTTCATCTGCTGTGATACATTAATCATGAAGATGTTTGCTTCGACTGATCATGCGCCAGAACCACAGTCGCGATTCAAGCTGCACAGCCGTCACTCGTCTTCTAAGCACAAAGAACAGAAAAGGTTCAGAACAAGGAGGACCGGCCCGTCAGATCTTGGAGATTACAGGGCCACACCCTAAAGTGCCTGCAGATCGTGACCTGGTCTGAAACAGCAGGGATCTTACTGGTGTTGCAGGGGTAGAGCCATGGGCTTAATCTGGATGATCGAGATGGTCCTCGGGCGATCAACGACTATGACTATTGACGGTTAGTTCACTTGATGAGAATTCGATAGTCATTTATATGTTGTTGCCACCTCATTCTGAACAGCAAAGTCCACAATTTGTCACCCTTCAACCCTCAGTACAGGCTGTCATGAGCAACAAAGGAAACCCTTGTACTATTACTTGTGGCCGCGAAACGGAGCGGGTGTTTCAACCCTGGAGCAACCTGAACTGGGATCAGAGAAACAAACAGTGTATCCTTGCCTTCACTCAAAGACCTTTTTCGTTTTCGATTCCCTCCGTTGAGCCTCCAAGCGGTATCCGAACATCACTCATAACTGCGTGTTGTTGATTGCGCCACTAACTCCTAGCACGAGGTCGAAAACCGTTGGGTTGATCTGGGCTATTAAAGAGAATCTCGCGTGGCTTCTACCTTTCTCTTGGCTGCTGAGGACTACCTAAAGCTCCACCGGAATGACCTGAAACGCGCCAGGATTCTCCCTGTTTGTTAATCAAGGGAGCGTTGCCAACGGTCGACTTCTCTTCAACTCCTCAATTTGGAAGACTGGCTAATCCCCAGGGAGCAAGAAAAATTCTGGCGTTGAGCCAAGGTGCCAGAAATACCTAATCTGGGGTCTGCTAAATCTATACTAAATTATACCAACTTTGCATATGTCTTTTTGTCACTTAAGAAAGAGGTCCTATGTTTTATTGCCTCCCCTTGCTAATATAACAAAAACCTGAAAGGTAGCAGGCTTTGTTCTATGAATCGTTGCCCCCGAGTTGAACTAAGCATCTACGCTATGTCGGAGATTATCTAAGGGAAACTCTCAATTAGACTGTTTAGCTGGCTTGTATTGGTTAATGCGTATATTCCTTCTGTAACTACTCTTCACCACCAGCTGCCACTTTGGAGTTGATGACTCTTCTCCTTCATCAGCGGCAAGTGTGCCATGGAACACCCGACTATTCCGCGAGTGATTTCGAGGCCTCGTTCATTGTTCATATCAAGGAGCGTGGGGAAGTCAGTAACCATCCACTAGCTAGTGTTATGGACTTTATTCAGTTGAAACAGTAGAGATGCAATACCAATATTCTCAGCCATGCCCAAACCAACTTCGCAAGGAAACGCAATACCTCTACTAGTAGAGATCTACCCTGAACGAGCATCCGTTAAATCACCGGTCCTCACACAAATGTGAGATATCAGCTTGCTATCGTGCTAGCAAGTTTACCTTTTATTCACATAAAATGTTAACTGGATGGAGACACTGGGATCCAGCTCACTGTTCACCTATCTAATGAGCCCTATATCTATGGTAATTTCCTGATTCTTGACTGAAAAAAAGACTCGATGGCGATCACCCGGTTATTTGATATTTACGAACTGCGCCAGTCTCTGATTGATCCTTTCAAGATGTCTCAAACCACTAGGCCCGTTCATCATTACGTGAGCTTTAATGATAGGTTAGATGTCAACTCGTCATTCGGATATACCTCAAAGAAGGCAATTGGAGCCGTGACTCCATCGTCATTCTGAACATACTTCAAGTTGTACGAAAGTTACACATGCTAGGCAAATGGATGCAGGTAGCCGCCATCTAGCTTCTCGATCTTCGATTGATTAGTTAAGGCATTGTATTCAACCCCCACGCCTACATCAAGTCCAGAATAGAGGTTTAGATAATAGATCGAACAGTACATCATTCGGATCAACCACAAATGCATTTAAATAGGCCAGCGTGAACACTAGTTTTCTATATTGAATGGTCATGTCTGCGTCACTCAAAAGGATTTCAAGGTTAACATGCCCATAATTAAGAATTGTCTACCCTGTATACAGTAGTAATGCTGAAGGCTAGTGTCCAAGTTGGATCAGAATTAAGTTTCGATTGTTGCAGAGAGGTTATTTTCAAGTTTTGCACTTTGTAGGATGTGAGAGCTGGCTTTGTTACCATGAATAGCAATCATACCAGATTGTGCTGGGTTGCTATGAGTTCAAAGTTTACTGCCTGAATAGATTCGTGGCTGTGTTTCCTGAAATTGACTCTTCTCATAAATTTCGTAAGTCATGCTATTTCAGTAGATGTTGTCCTGGTTTAGCCACAATCGGTGACATGTTCTCAGGACTATCGTAGGTACTGAGTAAATTCATCACGGCTAGTTGGCCTTTTTACAAACTACTGTAAGCCTTGTACCACTACACTAAGTAATTATCACTTCTTAAGGTTAGATCTTTACGAGGCTTTTCAGGGTTTCCTTTCTCCAGTCTAGGTTATTTACCCAACTATACTTCATTAACTAAGTTACCTTACCTAGGACAGCCGTTTTGCATGCTAGCTGTTATAAATTTACTCAGTCCTACGTACGAAAATAAAGGTCGCATGATCTTTATTCCGTCCATTTGATGAGTAAGAACACAATCAAAGCCACCAACATACCATTTCATGCCATTAAAGACAGAGATTTCTGGTATAGTACTGGACCAGTTATGAGCCCACATGAAATTTCATGCATATATTGTTGCTGGAAGAGCATGTCCATGGTATGAACTCCTAAACATCTGTTGGTTGCATTATCATGTAAGCCTGCATTATTCGGTTAGAGACATACCCATGACCTATTGGCTCTCTACGGCTGACGAGGGATATCTTCCGCTTTCTGTATAAGTTCTCTCGAGAGTTAGCCGGAGTCTCAGACAAAACCTTCTCTCACCGTTATGCGGAGGTGGCAGATCGACGCTAGATTCCAACAAATCGTCTCGTGGAAATAACCAAACGCTTGCCAGAAGTAATTTTTACGCCGGTGTGCATAAAAGTAAAAGCTGTGGGAAATCTCGATATCAAGCCGTTCACACCAAAACCGGACAGCCACTTTTACAATGCATTCTGAGACAACCTCAGTTGACGTAGTCAGAAGCACGTAATTGGTAATGCGTAGCGTACGGGAGGGATACTAGTGCTGCCGGTTTATTCCAAATGGGTTTGCTTGAGACATTATTCATGCAGAAGACTTCGCCGTGTGCTAACATGATAAACACAATTTTCCCCTACATGCTGTGCCCTGTGGGGCCCATATGATATGTCAGGAGGCTGAGCCAGTAGCCAGGAATGGTGTGTTGACATTTTGCCCTGTCGAACACTTACGAAATAATTCGTTATAGCCTCCAGTGCTTTGAAAAAGACTACAGCTTTCCTCGCATGCCAAGCTTCACGGTCTGATCCAGCATCCACTCTGTAGACAGGGACACGATAGGAGAAGCTAGAAAGGGGAAGAGAAAGAATGGAGTTTTAGGTCTCAGCAGTTGGACTCTGAGGGCGTCTTGAGCTCTGGCATATTAAGGATTGATGAGTTGATGTCAGCTAACGCAACGTTGGCAACGAATCTGTTGTTGCTAGTTTGCTCGATTCGTCACAAAATCGATCAAGACACCGTTACTGATCTGTGAGAGTTGACGATGCCAGCAAGAGTACAGTACCATGCTAGTCATGTGCAAGAAAGACACATGTACCGTACCATGTTGAGCTGAGGCTTGCATGATGAGGGGCAGCGCCGAGAGGCGACACGAGGGATGAGTTGCTGGATCAAAGATGTGTCTCAAAACCTTGTGTCTTTCTCCGGGCCTTGGCATGATCGGCAATGGCAGTGATTCAGAAAACTCCATGTCAGATTTGTCTCTGCTTGTCACTCACATATCATCGACCAGTGGAATGCTACAGCACGATTTCTCCGGAGATTCATCTCCAATGCCCTTCTCCGGGATCGGCCGAGGGCTGCAGCCCGAGCTGGAAATGACGAAACTTGTTCGCAAGAGTCTGCTTCTTATAAAAGTCTACGGTCTCACTTTTTGTACTTATTTTGGCATCCGTCGTCAAGGTACGAGATTGGGTGTCGTAAAATATTTCCCCCTAAGGAAGCAATGCAGTACTCTCAGAGACTTGCCGTTACAAGCGTTCTCCGGTTTAACTAGTTGACTGGCTCACTCGAGATCAGATAACGGGGCTTTCACGATATCTAACAGATGCGGGAGCTTGCGTAGTTCCCGCATCGGATTCAACCACTTTTCGGTGGTGGCTTTGCATGTATGTACTGTGTATGTTTTCACAGGTCACTGTCTCAATGGCAGTCTGTAAAGCGGGTAGCCCCAAGCCATCGCAACGGCGGAGCCTACCTCCGGACTGCATGACCTGGGTGACAGAATAATAGCAGAAATTGGTGGTATGAGGCCCAGTAATATTCCAACAACGATGGGCTATTGAGCAGCGACTGAAACTGTCTAATGTTTAACCAAGGTTCTGTCTGACATGCGCTGATCGAGTAGGTGTGCATTTAACAAGGACAGCCGCCTGAAAAAGGCTGATACGCCAATCTTGACATCTGCGAAGGTGAGATAGACAGCTTGCTTAGTGCGACCAACTCTCCTCTTCCGAGATGGTTCAGCATGATGCTAGTTGTCGATCAACTCAGCGAAGTGGTGTGGTGCCAATCTTTTGGATGCCCTCCTAGTCAGTTGGGCAATCAAAGAACGTTGAGCTTAGCGAAAAAGGATAACGCTGCCAGGTCACAAAGTTTTCTGTCATCGGATCTTTCCTCGTTCGCGAGATCTCACTTTGACATCCTGTCAAGTAATAGTTAACTTGACCTGTCATATTCAACAAGTTGCTCGCATTTTGCCACTTTTGCACAAGCTCATTGATCCAGTCACTGCATTAGAAACATCAAAACCTCCCCAGCGAGCGGTCATGCAGTTGAACTTTGATGAGAAACAAATTACCGCACAACTTTCTTCGTGGACGCACACGGAAACATCTGGTTTGGGTCCGAATGTTATACTGGAATGCGACTATGACTTGTGACCCATAAGCTGCTCTTACTCAATCATCCCAACCTGGCCATGACCCGTCTAGGTACTGGGACAAACCCAGAGGCCATGCAAAGGAATAACAATCATGTAACGGGAGTGTCTACGCCTCCTGGCTGCGAGGGACAAGACGACCCGGCTAATGTTAAAGTTGTTGTTCACAGAAGCTTAATGCTAGAAGTGAACGAATCCTGTTGGTTGTGGGTCGACTTCTTAGCTATCATGCATCGGCGGTCGAATGTGATCTGCTCCGTTGGGCCATAGATGACCATTCTCAAGAGGAGTCGCGATTTCTAACGGGCATTTGGGGTTCTTGGCGAGAACAAGGGAACATGCAAGAAGAGAGGGAGAATATATGTTCTCTTTATTCCACAAGTTGTGATATGGGCACAGTACCCCTTCTCAACATCAACTTATGTGCTGAAACTATTTTAACTGAAGCATGCCTTGCTGAAACAAAGGCAAACCATGGTATAATGAGCACATCAGAACAACCTTCATTCTGTAGCGCAGTATAGAAACACCCAGGTAGCATCGTCAATCAATATAGCGCCATATTGTCCCATCCGTGTACGTGTATGACCCGAAACTTGCCTGCCTTGAAAACACATCGAACGCCCTATATATTATATGCTGTGTGTTCACTATCGCGCCGAACGGCGTCGCCGCTTTCCTTGCAACGAAGCTTCGCCCTCATCTTGCTCTCCGTCGCTTGAATCGTCGTGACTCCTGGCATTTTTGGACCGGTCATTTCCCTTCTTGATAGAAATAATACAGCCTTGCTCCTTAAGTCGCTTGGTCAACTTTGTGCTGGCCTGCATCCCAGGAAAGTCCTTTGCTGTATAAACAGTAAAAACATCGCTCTTATCGTCAACCAAAGTCGGGAAGCGCTTCACCTCTTTTGCACGGATTGGGTCAATTTTGACCAAGGCGAAATGAAGGCGAAATGAGCCAGGAGTTCTGCAGGACAAGTCTGGAAAGCAGAAGAAGCAACCCTCCTCGCCATGTTCATCCTTGCCAACGAACGGGGCACTGACTAATAAGCCCATGAGTCGGCGCTGTTGCCGATACTCTTCAGGCATGAACGAGGCATCACGGGACCCAGATTCATCGTAAATAGAGCAGCTCATCACGTAGTGGGGATAGCGCAGATGTTTTACTGTCTCCTCTTTCGTGAGATTAGCACCTTCAATGAGAAGCTGAACGATTGGTGGCGGATCGATTACTCTCCGGTCTCTCTCCCCGAATCCACATGATCGAGCCGCAATTGGTTGCTGCCGTATCTGGAGCCTAAAGCGGACATCGGCTGAGCGATTGTTCACGCTCATCCTACCGCCACTTCCCTCGCCAGTGGAAAGAATATCGGGTATCTTCATATGATCAGGCCTCGGTTCAGTTGGAGATACCATAGGACTATTCGAATGAGGCGGCCCACCATTGGTTGTAGCAGCCGGATTGAAGTGATACTCTGTAAAGGGAGGAACGGCACACATATCGATTGATGGTCTATGCTGACCATGTACGAAGGCGGGCGGTTGATCCTCTGACACCGAGTGCAGTCTCGGCGCATATAATGGATGGTGGTCTTGCACGTGGTCCAGCATTTCGCTATTCCGTAGACGAAAGGTAGATGGAGCTTGCGGTGGACGGGCTTGCTGTCCAGCTGTAGGATCAGTAGCATATAGCCCAGGTGGTGGATGAAGAGGATGATGAGGTTGGTTTTGAGGCACAGAGCCCGGCATCTCATTCAGTTGGTAAACATGGCCAGTTCGCGGGTGTTGATGATGCTGCAGCTGTGAAGGACGACGATGATCGGGCCCTACGGTGAGTAGGCCCACCGGAGAATACGGGTGTTGGTCATAGTGAGAGCGAGCTGGACCCCGAGGAGGATGATGTGTGTCCGGTGCCCAATTCATTATTGTCGTCGCGTGTGGATGTGACATGGCCTCCGGCATGGTCTGTGGCATCGCGTTCAGCCGCTGTGATGTTCGCGCGGCGGTCTCGACAGCTGTTAGAGACATGAACGTTGTGGAATATTCCGGTGCAGTCAGGAAGGACTACCATCAACATAGATGGATGGGAAAGAGAGACGCCAGTGTCGAGCTTATTAGTGGAGGATCAGTGGCGGCTTAGATCGGTTGCATCAACAGCTAACTTATACCCAGGTACTCAGTACAGAACCCTTTCGGTAGCGTCCAATAAGAGAATAGGATCAGCCAAGCCAAAGGGAAGAAAAGAGCGGGAAGGGCCCAATAGTCCACTACTTCCAGGGAGCCGGCTGTAAGACGGAATGCGGGCGGTTCCACTGACCAGATAGACGATGGGGGGAGTGGATGAAGGCTGGTGTAGTCAAAGGCGTGTAGCCTCAATGGACTCCTAGCGGTCTGAAAGGACGCTATTGACTCAGATCGATTAAAGCCTTTCTTTGGGTGAGACTAGCAGGCTGGCCAACGGCCGGGGGTAGCGGAAGAATCTCGGCCAAGCCCACAACAATGTCCGGGTTGAAGACAGAGGTAGCAAAGGAAATACAGGCTCATATGCAGTAAAAGACTTGGAGGAAGAGGGCTGTAGAATGAGGCCGTGGCCAGCCGTATTTCTGCTGTGTATTGATGGAAAACGTGAGGGATGTGGGCGAGCTCGCAGCCACACCCACAAAGAAGCCGGATTTGGTCTCTGCTAAGCCTGGTTCTAACGGGGAATATGACGGCTCTAGAGAACGCGAGACTCTGCGTGAGGGAAAAGGATAGCAACGCTATCGTGCGGGTGAATAAATATAGGTCAGAACGCGAGGGTATAGAGCTGTTTAGCGTCACAATGCAAACACCATGCCTATGGAATAGAAAACAAGGACCCGGAGGTGAAGTAGCTGAAGGGTCGACGACCCTAAGCGTAAAGCCGTTCCAGCCTCAGTCGAGAGCGGAATGAAATGGTTCGAGTCCAAAGGTTTCAGACGGCTGAGGCAAAAGTCAAAACGAAGGAAACTCCCAAGCACTGGAGAACCAGGAAGCAACCAAGATTCCCGCCTGTGTATTGTGGGCGGAGGACCAATGGCAGAAGAGATATCGTTGAGCTTTGAGAGGCAATAAATCGGAAAAAACCGAAACGAAAGCCACCCAGCAGTATGTATGCCTTGTAAGATCAAACCCAAAATCGTCGATTTCGACAATTGCCAGATGCGGATGTCAGAAAACGAAAGGGCTGACCGGTGGCAGTTGAAGATATAGTACAAAATGAGACTTCGCAAGCACAAGTTCTCAGGTGATGGCAAGAAAAGCTAGAGATTATTGAGTATGACAGGGGGAGGTGGGATTATTAATAAATATTTGCCATTGCCTGGCCTACCAACAGACGTGAAAAAGTCTTGGGCATAAAAACCAAAAAGCACCCATTAGCACTCGCCGCCCGCTACCTGGCCTCGGATCACAGCCAATACTAGGCACGAGATGCAAATGGAGCACCCATGGTCAGGTAAAGTATGTAACAAGAAAAAATTGCGTCGCTAAATGCAGTAAAAGCAACTAGGTAGGTCGGCATGTAGGTGAGTGAGTTGAGCGGATGGATGCTTGCAAGGGAATTTTGACCTGCCATGCGGCCGCAGATAGAGGCCTGCATGTTACGTACCAAGCACTCGCGCATCTACAAGTATTAAAAGAGGCCTAAAAAGCACGGGGCTTATGCAAATCACCAAATATCGGCCGGGGAGACAGATCGGTATCGAGGGCATGACTTGGTGTATAGATACTCTGGACTCTCCTGTCCACTGCGTTGCCGTAGTTGTGGTCGCGCAAACGTTCTCTGTCATAGGCCATCTTTGAGATCATCCCTCTCAAGCTACTCGATCTTGAGTGCACGCTAACGAATGCAGCCTCCGCCAGCAAAGTGCCAGTCTGGGATCTTGGCTCTCAAGTGGGCATCGCACGCCAGCTCATGATGGGTATATGTGGACCTTGAGTGGGTCGATCATCGAAGCATTGCATTCCCTGTAGGGCATCAGAAACACACAGGGGGATGGAGATCAGTGGATGGAAATATCGTGAATCGCATCCCTTAGTTTGGTTTGCTAACCTCAGGTAGCTTAAAGGATGCTCCAGGGCTGAATCTGGCTGGCTAAAGGCACCCATGGGGACAAGATGTCGACAAGATCGATTTAGGTCTGTGCCCTTCCCAAGCTCGGGTACGCTACCTAATACCTTACTTGGATCGAAGAAACCGAATAAAAGAAAGTCAGAAGGGAGATCGGCAAGTTGCATCTTATCGAGGAATCTCAACCATGCTTGTTAGACTCTTTAATGTCTAATTAAAGTAAATACCTAGCATCTCTTCCCTTAGCCAGCAACCTGTCAACTGTCACCCGTCCACACCAGCAGTCAAAGACTGGAGTCGTTGATTACATCTATCTTGAGTTTTGGTATCCGTGCCGTTGAGCTTCTTACTTACAACCCTCTTTCCTTCTGCTATCAAAGTGATGGAGCAGGCTCTCGGCTCTTCTGGCGATGTCTGTGTCGAATACCGACCATTTGTATCCCGTTCAACATTTCGAAAGGGAACGAGTCAATATGCTGGCCAGGTCAAATTGCTTTTTAATCTTTGAGTGCATGGACTTGAACTGAGTTTCAGCGCCACCGCGCTTCGTCAGGCTTTGTTGAGATCATGGTAACAAACCAGGCTGGCTTCCCTTGTACTGCGTTCCGTACCGTTTCTTCAACGGGAATAACTTTCATTGGCCTCTTCGACGGGAGCTCCCCCGGAGGTCTCTTATTCGTTGCAGTCATTCACTTCTGGTATGTACATAAGCTGAGTTCGACGCTGTATTTGTAGCGCAGATATGTGCGTCGACATGCAGTATAACAACCTGGGCGCCTTGAGCAGAAATCTCAAGCTATTTTAACATTGCTGACAAGTTTCTCTGCAGGGACGATATTGTTACATTGAACTAAGCCTGCTGACTGCACATGCATATCCGGAACTAGGTCCTCGCCCCTCCCCGCAACGAGGCATGCATGTCGTCTGGGTGGCGAGAGCCAAACCTGTGAAATTACTACATACGAGCATTCTATCAGCACTCACCGATCCAAGATGCCAACACAATCGCCTCCACTCCTCAAGTTAGACGTGGGGCTAAAGGTTCCTTTCTCCCTTTGAAGTACAACGCTCATCGTCATTGGCCATCAAAAACTATAACCTCAAAATGAAAACCGGCGACTTACCTCCGCCTCCTCCCCAATGGCTTCCATCATGTTAGAAACACATATCTATCGGTGACGTCCAGTGATAGGTATCGTCTGCTCGATCCATGGATATGGTGCTCCACGGACCCGGAGCGTGGACAAACAAGCAAGCTAGGACGCGTCTGGTAATTCGTCATTTCCACGCCATTCAGCTTTGAACTGTCAATCCTGCTGGCTACATTTCGGTCACAGCATGATGCACAATATTATTCGTTGAGATACGCGAACCAAGACGCCATCTCCGTGGCTACAGGCTAGCAGACTCTTTTGTACGGACACGGGCTCGGACCTTCAACCAAGTCTTCGACACACAACAGACCCAAACAATCAGATTGAAAAATTGACAAGTCGTTGCAAGTCTAATTGACCACCCTGCAGCTTGTCCGTCAGAGCTAGCCTGCGATTGGCTCCTACGCATTGAAGGGGAATGCACCTTGTTGGTGATAGCACATCATGAGCACCAAGAAATCCTGCTATTTGGGCTTATTTCATAATGGCATATCACCCACGAAACGGCTCAATGATAGAGCATTGAGGAATGGTTTCCTTGTTCTTCTTCTGTATGTTGGGAAATGACCGTCCGTTCTCGTTGTATACCCAGATATTATAGGCAGGGCCGCACGTCATACATCTCAACATTCAGACATTCAACAGTAAACACCATATTTTAACTGAAGTACATGCCAAGAAGACACCATATGTTATTGAAGCGTCGTCTTTTCTTGCATGCATGCGTGCACATCCAGTTCCATGGCCTTGGAACAGTTTCACATTAACACCATCCCCTCACTGCGGCTTACCATCAAGCTTGGCTACGTTCCACAACAGCTTGAAGACGAGCTCTAATCCAATAAAGTCGGCCAGTGACCGTGCTAGTCTCTACTGCACTGCACATGCATGTTTGGGCTCTATCGGCGAACAAGAGACGGATAGCCATTGCTATAAGACCTCCTCTACCCAGCATTGACGATGCTCACTTAAAGCTTGGTCTGGCACCTTCCCAAATGATCTGATGAACCCTTTAAGATCTATCCATTCAAAAATTGAAACGAAATAACTGCTTCGTTAGAGTCAGCTTGACAACAAACCCCTTACCATGAGAGGTGGTGCTGAGTTATCCCCCTTGGATCACCAACACTATTACTTTGTTAGCTTCCATATTCGTTTGCAATATCTCAGTTGTGATTTTAGGTTATCATGTACTGGGAAAAGACATCTCGGCCGCTACCTTGTAAAAATCGTCGTAAGATCTGACCGATCCTTTGCAAGATGAGATAGTTCAGCCGTCAGCGCTAGGAGTTGGCCAGCTACTTGTCCAGTTTGTTGTATACAACATTAGGCTGGACGGAGGAGCAGATCTGCTTGCGTGTGAACGAACGCCCATGTGTAGCTTATGGCTTCGCACGTCCACAATCGAGCCCGGTTAAATAGCGAGGGGAAGTGATCAAGATACAAAAATGAGGCATGAGAGGGCATCTTGGGTCTCTATTCCATCTGCCTATATTCCTCTAAGTTGTTCACTGAGCTTCGTACATCTATACTGACCATTAGCAGCAGGGTGCTCAGTCCTCGTGGTTACTCTAAGTAATACACAGATACCATGTCCCACCGTCTCCCATTTGGAGTCCGTCACGCTTTTGAAGTTCTCCGATCTATCATGTCCCAAACCCGCTCATCCATTGAATCCAGGAGAAAAAAAACAATAAACCCACTATGCCCAACCAGAATGCCGCTGTGAAGAAACTCCAGGCTGTGCTCGCTATTCCAAATCAACCCCTTCCAAAAACCAAGTAAAAAAGTGCCAAGTCAGCTTTGGTAGAAAACGAGTAAACTATGTATGTAAACTCGTAATATGATATTATAGCATGTTGTGTTGCATGCCGGTCTGCTTCCGTACCTGCAGGCTGGAAGGTTGAATCGGTTCAACAAACAAAAGGAAAGAAGTTGGTAAGGGTATCAAGTCATGAAGATATGCGAAGTGCATCGTATCAGAAGAGAAAATACAAACCCCGCATATGGATCTGTAGTCATAACATATTAAAATAGTAATAGTCGAAAATTGAGAAGAAGTGAAGGAAGTATAGCTGAGGTGGTGCTGTTCAGGGTCGATATTCTATAACACAGCATTGACTAGTGCTGCACTGCCGAGCGCGAGTACTAAGCCAACCCATGACGGGGCAAATATATGCGCCAGGTTGGTCTCTTCTGGAGGCAAAGTGCTATTGACAAAATCTGGGCCACAGAGAGTGTTCACTTGTCGAGCTGCGCTTTCGTAGGTGAGTGCCACAGGTTGAGAACGGTCTTCAGCGGCTGCGTGGAAGATGTTCATAGTTTCTTGTATGCACCAGCTGCATGAAGGGTTGGTGCTACCAGGCAATGTAAGGTTATACGGTAGGTAGTAGAAGTAGGCGTTGGCGGCGGTCGTGGTATTTGTGACAGCATTGGCGTAACAATACATATCATCCTCGGGTGTTTGAAGACAGGTAGCCTTGTACATCATCTCGTAGGCCTTCATGCCATAAAGGAACTGCTTGACGATAGTGTTGCCCGATTCCCATTCTTGCTTGCAGTTTTCTGATGCAGTGAGGTTGCGCGCTGCAGCATCGAAGAAGTCAGTGCAGTACGTGACGTTTGCAGCACATGTTGCATCGAGTACTCGGACTATGCTCAAGAGCTGCTTCTGAGCTTCAAAGAAGCCACGGGACGTCTGGGATTTCGTCAATATTCATGACCTGCCTGCCATCCATTGAGTGGAACTTACCTGGAGCATCATAGAGAGGGGGTAGCAAGTTTCGTAAGAAGGGTCGGAAAGGATTCCATTCAGAAACGCGGGGCAGTTACTATCTGATGTGGTCGAAAGCTCGGCTGACAAATTTCCATCAAAAGCTTCAGGTAAAGGTGTGTTTGTCGCAGCAGCAGTCTTTGCAGCACGTTGAATGGTGACAGTTGTTGCCTTGGATTTGGCCTCAGTTTTGGAAGGGGTTTCCTTGTTGACGATCTCCTTGACTTCATCTTCATCCTTGCGTCGGTGTAGCTCGTATCTGTTGATCGTAGGTGCATGGTGTCGTCGATGTCGGAGTGAAGATGATGATGTCTCAGTACCCGCTAGGACTGTAGAAGTAAGACATGCTAAAAGTAGGAGAAGTGATAATGCTATTCGCAAGCGGGGCGCGCGGTAGCTGGTGGACTTCGGCCTACTGCAAGTCGTTGTTGAGGCAGACCACGATGATGAAGCCATGGCAACGAGCGACGAGGCGAAAGACGCCAAAGATGTATTAAATCGTATTCCAAGTATGTGCAGCAATCGGATTGATGGCGATGTGTACAACCTTTAAGTGGATTGGCGGCACAGACAATCACAGGATTGAATGAATGTGTTTCACCACGATGGGCCCAATTTGACACGATCAAAGGTGGTGGTAGGTCAGTATTGGATAGTGAAGCACACACTGAAGCGATAGTTGTAGCGGTAGTGAGTCAATCGATTGGTGCCGAATGCCAATATTTAACAATTTCTCGGTGGAGGATCTTTATTGTTGTCGTTGCATGGCGCAATTTGCAAAGTTCCAAGTCGGATGACACTTCCGATGAGTGGGAAGTCAATTGATAAATGAGAATCGTTCGCGGGGGTCCTCTTGCGGCCTCGATGGTCGAGAATGAGTGTAATGCGGTGCGTGATATACCAAATGCGAGATGGGATTGGTTGCCAGGGGGGGGGGAGATGAGATGGCCGTAGAATTGCTACTGGGTGTTCGAGACTTGCACAGATTTGGTAGCGGTTGATGTGGCCAAGAAGTGCTTATTCAAAAGAGACAGGATATTAAGAAAGAACGAGTGACTGTATATTGCAGTTGCAGTTGGAGCTGAAGTTGAGTCTGGGGTTGAAAATGATCGTCGTGAGTAGGTCGAAAAGGAGTGATGGAGTTGGCGAGCACAGATGGAAGTTAACGAATGAATGGCGGGTCGAGAAACGAGTGATCGACAGCGGCTCTAACAGCACCTGAAGTAGAGGGAGGTCTGTAACTCAACGGCTGCGCAAGCAAAAAGAAAACGAAGGAAAGGAAGAGGGCGCCCACCAGTTGATTAGAGATGCCAGTATAGAATTCTAAGTGGATATCACGGGAAATGGGAGTCAGTGATGCCGGACAAGAAAGCAACATCCCCTACAAGGACAGCCAAGTTGACTCTAGCGGGCCAAGTCGGAGGGGAGACAAACGATTCCAGCCCAGGCCCTGCCTTGCTTTTGATGCTTGTCAATTTTGACCAGGATCGAGCAGGCATCAATGAATCAATCAAATTCAAGAGCAGAGAGACCCATGGCTTGATCCCAGGAAATAGCAAGGATAATTAAACCCTCCTTTGAGGCTTGCAGTAGTGTCTGTTAGCGCGACGGTTTATTGACTGGGCCTGATGCAGCGTGCTGTACCGTATCACCCAGAGTGTAAGGTGTGTACTGTAACTGGACAATAATGCGAAGTTTATACAAAATGAATGTGAGAAATTGTTAAAAGAATGCTGCACGGTGATGCGGTTTAGGAGGGTATAGTGAAAAGCCTGCTAATAATCCATCACCCAGCTCCATGTACTGCCACCCACTCCGATAACTCTCTCCTGATACACAGACAAACCACAAAACATCAATTGTAGAAGAAGAGAAACCTCCTTCAGCGCCTTACGCGTCCATATTCGCATTCTTTGGTTACTAGGGTTCAGTTCTGTTTCAAGCCGGCCCGCTTACTACCGGCATCCTTGAGGGAACCTCCATTCTCCGAACGGTATTGCATGCACACGTACGGATACAACACTTTCATATTCTCCAGGTTACACGATTGACTGTTTGCAAGCCAAAATGCATGTTCCCACATATATTCCCAGGTCGAAACGGACATCGAGCTGAAGACGGCAAGGCTTAGGAACAGGCGACTAGAAAAGGGGAGGGTCAAATCTCGCTTCCCCATAACGGACCAGCCACCATTACCATGGATCCAGCCACGACAAGGCAAAAAATAGCATCTACAACCGATTTCTAGCGTAGGTAGGATCGCTTCAGGGCATCACCTCATTCCAAGGTTTATTGGTGGGTGGAGGGTGCTGGGTGGGTGCTGCGGAGGGACTATCCGTTCCCGATCAGGTCTGTCAGTTGAAGTTCAGTTCGTGCATGCACACGACTGAAGACTTCCAAGATTGTTCATTCATTCTCACCGTTTCGTTTCATTCCGGTCGTAATGTTTCGTTTCTTCAACTGAGATGGCCCTCGTCAGCTTCAGGCCAGTGCCGGAATGGTTCTCTCCGCTGACGGTTACTCAGGTGATGTTGATTTAATCAGCGATTCTCTGCCACCACTGTGCCTGCTCCCAGGTTCTAACCCTAAGACAGGCCCCTGAGCGATAAAAAGACTCAGGTGGGTTGATTATAACTTGGTAGGCCTTTAGACTAGAGATTTTTTGGCACCCTGACTGCTTGATTAACAGTCGGAAGTCTTCTTACTCCCTGAGACCAAGTTGAACTCTTCTAACGTCCTCTCAATCTCCACCGAGACCCGATAGAGCTTCTCGCGTACCTTGCATGGTTTCCGCAACGCCTAAAGTAATTTCCTTGGCTTCTTAGCTCTCTCCAATGAAAAGCTTTGCTCCCCTGCCAAGGAGTCCCTGCCCTAGCTAAACTCTAGCCTCTGATGCGATGCGAGATGTGTTACGTCCCGATCATCAAGCGACTCTCAAAAATGAATAACGCGATTCATTGGTAGCTTGTCTAACTATAACAGAGATAACTTCCATCCAACAATTCGTGCTTCGCCCCAAGACCGTATCGAGTTGTCTCATTCCCGCATTCTCAGCCGTTGGCTACCGTGCAATGTCTAAAGTTTAGCAGAGACATTGATTGTCTCAAACAATCGGGGACCCATCAATCACCACATTCACCGCTACCCCCGTCGGACCGTTCGTTTGGCCATAAACGTGAGCGAGTGACTGATTCTTTGTGGCCGCGTCTGCCGCTAACAAGGTTAGATACCATAGGTAGGTGAAGAATGCCGTTATCCGCTGTTTGTACCCGTCAGCCATCATCGTCTTCCAGAACTCCCAGTATGGTTCGTCCAGCTGTCATGTTCGAGACCCGTTTTCATTCCCTGTTAATCCTCCCTGTCTTGGATGTACTGTTGCACACGATAGCCATGTGGCGGCACTCCGATTGCCCCTCGAGGGGAGGCAATAAGACATAGGATATCGATCCTAAATTATAAAAATACTTAGGTAAATTACTTAAATCTTAGGAGGCTCCTTGATGAGTTTATTCCCAAAGTCTGAAGTTTTTCTTGCTTCCTGAGGCCCCCGTGTCTAACCACTAATGGAGATAATGCATTAATGCACGACACATTCACAGTTCGCATGTCAGTGGTATGGCATTGGAATGTTTGAAGAGAGTTGATTGATCAGATGGTATACATCAGAAATATTATAAACAATAATGAGAAAATGTCCTCCTTTCTTCAAGAGAGGGATGTCCCTGCTAATAACAGATCGCCCAAACGCCAATACAATGCAGAAAAATTCTTCGCTACGACTGCTTCTCGAGGCTCTGTAAGTTAACCAACTCAGCGTAACGTCCTTTCTTCTTCATCAACTCCGTATGTGTTCCTTGCTCAACGATACGACCTTGGTCGAAAACGTAAATGACATCGGCCTTTTGAATAGTGCTAAGACGATGGGCAACAGCTATGGTAGTTCGGCCCTTAGCCGCCTTGTCCAACGCTGCCTGTACCACATGTTCCGACTCAGAGTCTAGAGCCGATGTCGCTTCATCAAGGAGCAAGATCTTAGGATCTCGGATTAAAGCTCTTGCAATAGCAATACGTTGCTTCTGCCCACCAGACAGCAACGCACCCTTGCTACCAACAATGGTGTTGAAGCCATCGGGGAGTGAGATAATGAAGTCGTATATATTAGCCTCGCGACAGGCAAATTCGACATCCTTATCGGAGACATCCTCGCGTGCGGTACCTAAAAGGATGTTTTCCTTGATGGTTCCTTGGTAAAGTGTAGGCTCCTGACTGACAAGTGCAATGTGCGATCTATAGTCGTTTATATTCAGCGTACTGATTTCGTGCCCATCGATGAACACACCGCCAGAAAGGGGATCGTAGAATCGTTCTAAAAGTGCAATGGTAGTAGACTTTCCGCAGCCTGATGCGCCCACAAGGGCAATATACTGTCCAGGTCTTACGACAAGATTCAGCCCACGCAGAACAGGTTGCTCGGGTCTCGTAGGATAACGGAAGTGAACATCACGGAATTCGAGAGTGCCCTCAACCTGAGACAACCGCTCTCCAGTATCTGACCAAGTGTCAACCACGGGCTGTCTATCAAACAACTTTTTGAGTTCTCCGGCAGCGTGGTGCGCTTTACCCATGTCAGGAGCGAAGGAGAAGATTGTACCTGTCAATTTGTAATTGGTTAGCTGTGTTGAACTTGAATGGCGTATGGGGCTAGATTCCTCAGATAGCTGGGTTGAATCTGTATAGGGGCAGATTCATCAGGTAGCTGAGTTGAATCTTCATTGATACGCACCGGCTGATTGGGCGCCGAAAATGATCGCCATAAAGCAGAGAAAGAATTGGAACATGCTCAACTCGAACTTCGCTATGAGGGTACCGCCATAATAGAAGCCGACTGCGAAGCATGCGAAAAGGAGGGACTGCGAAGCGGCGTACAGCGTGGAGGATTTGAGGACCGAGATTAAACTCTTGCGTTGCTGTACGGCAAGAGAATCTCTGTAGGTTTTTAAGACATCTTCTTCCCTCGTCAGTGAGGCGACGGTTCGGATGGCGGATATTGCCTCGGAGGCAAACCCGGCAGAGCTGTCATAGGCAGCCTTAGCGCGGTGCTGAAATTTCGCGAGGATCCAGAAGCGGAAAAAGCCACATCCCAAGAGGACGGGGATCAATGAGATACACACGAGTGAAAGCTTCCACTGAATTGCCAAGGATAGAACAATGGCAGCGATGAGTGTCGTGCCAACCATTAACAGCGTGCCCAGAGTCACGCCACTCAGTCCAGCAACGTGAGTTGTTTCAGTCGAAAGAAATGAAGTGAGTGCTCCTGCAGTGTTCTCATCGCGGTCAAAGAAGGCAACATCTTGACGAAGCATGGCTCGGAAAGCTCGGTCTCGTACTCTGTGGACTAGTCGCTCAGAACATTTCGCAAACAAGACACCCTGAATAATGAATGCAAACAACTGAACAAAGGCGAGCATGAGATACATGGCGCTCCAGAAATCAGAATCTTTCTTGATTTGGTGACGGTTCTGGTCTGTTACAGGCACTGACAGAGTCGTGATCTGCTTAGCAAAGAAAACTGGAACAGAATTAGCCATGATGAGTTACTCGAAAAAGATATTTAGAACGTGTACCAGCTTGAGTAGGATTGCCTCCTCCACATATAGCGGAGAATATGAGTCCCGTAATCATAAATCCCCATTCCCTTTTGTTGAAAGACGTGATGAGTTTGATAAGTGTCCACAAGCCATACTTTTGTTCAGCCTCGGCTTTGCGACCTTGAAGAGCCAGACTCGATGCGGATTTTGTGGTGCTTGTGCGGTCCAGCCTGGCTGCGATGTCATCGTTAGGGTCAGCGATAATTGCAGCCTGTTTCTCGCTCGTCATCTTCCGCATAAGTGATACCTCCTTCTCATCAATGGCAGCTTGCTCCTCAGGGGTCATCGTCTCAGCAGCGGCAATTTTCTGTGCCGAAACGAGCTTTGAATATGGACCCTTGTTCTCTAGAAGTTCGTTGTGAGTACCCTGTTCGACAATACGACCGTTGGACATCACAACGATGTTGTGGGCATCCCTAATAGTTGAAAGGCGATGAGCAATGGTGATGGTTGTGCGACCCTCGGAAGCGTTCTCAAGCGCAGCTTGCACAACACCCTCCGACTTGGTATCGAGAGCACTTGTTGCTTCGTCAAGGAGGAGAACTGGAACCATGTTAGTTCAGGAAATGCGGACGACACAAAGAGGGGGGGGGATAAACTTTAAGTCTCTTGGACTTTAGTTCAAGATCTCAAGTTTTATCTCCCCGTCGGTATACTTACTCTTGGGATCAGAAACGATGGCACGAGCGATAGCAATACGCTGCTTCTGGCCACCTGAGAGGAGAAATCCTCGTTCTCCAACGTTGGTTTCGTACTTTTCGGGAAGGGAAGAAACAAAGTCATGCGCGTTTGCCTTCTTGGCTGCTTCAATAACCAGCTCACGCTGTTTTTCCTCGCTCGCCTCTTCATACTTGGTGCCGATCAAACCGTGACGAATGTTGTTAAAGATAGTAGTGCCAAAGAGTGTAGGTTCCTGGCTGACAAGAGCCATTTGCTGTCGTAGCCATCGGAGATTAAGCTTAGAGATATCGTGCCCATCCAGGTAAACTGTGCCTTGCACAGGATCGTAGAACCGTTCAACCAAGCCCACAATCGTCGATTTGCCCGAGCCTGAGGCCCCAACGAGAGCCGTCACCTTGCCGGCCGGGATTTCGAGACTCACATCATCCATAACCGTGACTTCCGGGCGAGACGGGTAGATGTGTTTGATTTTCGAGAGCCGGATGGAGCCCTGAATATTCTCGAGCTTCTCGCCCTCATTGCTAGAGGAATCGAGGGGAGAAACACGGTCGATTGTATTGAAGATCTTGGCAGCAGCAGCAACTGCATTCGTAAAAGCCTGCGAATAATATTAGCTTCCAAATAGTACATAGGTGGTGTATATCCAAAGACGCAAACTGCCGACAGCAAAGGCCGCAAATAAGAGCTAGGGGGCTAGGGAGCTGGGGAGAGCTAGGGGGAACATACCTGAATGTTAGGGGCAACGTTGCCTAGGTTAAAGGCTCCAATCATCACGGCCATGAGGATAGTAAGGATGTTAGAAAGTGAAGTTTCACCATCTACAAGCATCTTGCTACCTTGCCAAAAGGCCAGACCATAGTTGAGGTACAGGACCAGCATCATACCTGAATTGATTAGAGATTTATTCTGTACAAGGTACTTGAAAATTTGAGGATTTGGTGGAAGATGGCTGGGTTGTGATGGAAGCCATTCGCATGCATCTTCAACGCCCTGGAGAAACACATACCTGCAATCATACAAGCGACAGCGCCTTTGACACGGAACCCAAAGTATTCCGCATTCTTGAGATGGGCGTCATATTGCCTGGCAAGGCGTTCCTGCGTCCCGAATGCGACAGCGTTTCGAATAGAACTGATGACCTCGTCTGCAAGACTTCCTCCATGAGCATAGGCTTCAAGACTTTGTCGATTATATTTTAATATGAAGGACGAACCACCGCCCATGTTGATCAGGAGAGCAATGACGGTGGAAAAAAGGATCAGAGTCAGTTTCCAGTACTTGATGAAACCGATGATGAAGGCCGAGACGAATGTAGCCACAGCTGCAAGAGTGAGAGACACCTTCTCCGAGATGCCATCTTGGATGAGATTCGTGTCGGACGTAATTCTTGTGACCACTTCGCCTGCGCCAATTTGATCGAAGAAACCGATGTTTTGTCTTAAGCAGCTTTCAAGGTAATGAGACCTAATCTTTCCAGCGATGTGCTCTCCGGTCCAGATAAACCCAACAGTCGAAATGTATACGACAATGAATTCGCCAATGCCTAAATAGACAAAGTACAAAACGAATTCCACCAATTTGTCGTTGAAGGCACTGCTTGTTAAGGTACGATTCACAAAAAAGTCTTGGAAAACGCCTTGAAGATTTCCGAAGACAACGGTCATAAGAGGAAGCGCCGCGCCGCCGGCAATGGCGCAAAGACCAGAAATTAGAATAATTAAGATGTCGTTGCGGGAGGCATATCTGTATAGTACAGCCACGCCCTGCTTGACTTCGGGGCTAACCACTTGGCGTCGCAATACCTCGGCTTCGTCAGGTGGCAAGTGTCGATAGTGATCCTCGATGTTTTCTGCTTTGGGGGGCACAATGACTGCTGAATCGGCCTTTGTCAGGTCCAGCTTTTCGTTGTTGGGGTCGCTCGAAGATTTCATGTGTGGGCGAACTGCATCTTTGTCGGTTGAACCACTCCCGCTATGGCTTGACGACGATGGTCGCGAGGGATCGCTGCTACTTGTTGCAGCGGCTGTCTTTTCCGAAATTTCGGTCATGGTGATAATGTGGCTCTTGGAGAACCAGCCCGTATAGTGGTTAAAGAGAGTAAGTGTACAGTAAGTTATTGGCGGGGTGAAGAAACACCCTTGGATAAAAAGGAAACACCAGTAGGTGTTGGGTTGATATGGTTGTCGTCGAGATTAGCGAATCATGCGTATTGAGCGTTCATCTATTTTCGCATAGAGAGTTGAAGTCGAATGCGCCGCAGCACGGGCAACGATGGGGCCCCAGGTGAGCAGTCTCCTGTCTGTACGGACTGTGTTGGTGATAAGCAGTTGGCGAGGGGTCTGTTTTATTTCGCGATCGAGAACACAAGAAAATGCGACTCGAGATGAATGGACAATTTATTTAAATGGCTGAGCTTGGGCAACACATCCACACACCCTCGCTCCATCTGTTGGACTGGCTTAGCGTACCTTGTTGTCGGCCTGCGGGACACAAAAAGGCACCGGGAATAGACAACCTAGCAGGTCGATTACGCTTCGTTTCCCTTTTCAGCTAAACGAATGTCTGATCCGCTAATCATTCATTGGCGACTCCAGCACGGGGTTCTTGCAGATTGGGGCCTGGGGGAGAGCATCGTTGGTGAAGAATGTTCCATTGTCACTTGTCACTCATGCTCAGGCGTATTCAAGACCCCGTAAGCCGGTTCAATACAGGGATCTCTGATCTGTGTGTGATCTCAGCATCCAATGTCTTGGGAGTCAGAGATCCCCGTGGCGATGGAGACTGTACAATCCTCCCGGTCAAAAAGTTGCATATGTACCGATTGTTTGAGTCATCTCACCGTGTATATTGTCTTTGGCTGTCTGTCTTTAGCTGCCTTGAATCATTGGATCTGCCCTCGGACTCCCGCAGTAGTCCGACAACCCGTAGTGGGTAATCCTACGGAGCGAAAATCATCAATGCTTACTCGCACTCTTCGACTCCGGCTAGGTTGAAACGAGAAGGCAAGGAATTATAGTCGTTCATATCCGAATATTATTAGTGTTAAAATTATCATTATATGAATTCAATATTTCTCTCCGATCTGGCTCTTTTGATATTTTTAAAGCCTTATTTGTAACTTGATGATTGTTCTATAAAATAAACATATTTCGTCGTCTATCTACCTTACTATAACTCTTGGCTCCACATTCACATCTCCTGCCTTTTCCCGCCAGCCAACGATCAGACTATTCGTTGCAGAGAGCGGTTAGGTGACCGAGCTTCTGTGGAGCATTTCTGCGGCGTCGAAACGGTTGCTGCTTTCGGACAGCGCCCGACTCGCTTCAATCTGCCACTATCGGTTCACTTTTATTACTCCAGGCTTCGGAGTCTTCAAAGACAGTCGAAACTGGAGCCGGTTAAATAAGAAGCACGGGACTTCGGCACGCTTCGTATTATGTTATCCAACAAGAGTCCTTGGACGCAATAACCACTGGTACTCCACAAGCCTCGAGCGTCAGGTAAGCCATAGTCAGTGAGCACGAGCAACAGGTTCCAGAGTGATCTTGAATGTCCCAGCGCTGTACCACAGGGGGCAAGCATTGCAATACACAAGCCGTTGTGCATCAGATTCATGTCACCTCGATGAGGTATTGAGGTTCGAGTATGGTAGCACTTTGGTACACAGATGGATCTGTATGCTGCACAATAATGAGAAGAGCAATAACAATCTCGTTCAATAGCGAATGTGTTCTTCAGGAGAGTCGGGTAAACTTACAATCCTGTTGAATATTGGTGGCGGTCATCGGAGGTCGGTGAGTTCTTGACGCCGGTTCCCGATTGTCAGCATAGAATGAGGCTAGGAGGTGGTCAGTAGCTCCCGAGTCCGAATCCCGGTCATTAAACTTATTTTCGTATCCGTTACTGGTGTTAGTTGCTAATTCCGATAAATTCTAGATTGCGTGGCTTGTTGTGATGATGGGGCATAGCCAACAGCTTCGCAATTCTCGCATTCGCGAAGATGGCTTGCTGCAACTCGGTAATGCCAATCAACTACAGAACAACTTCCTGTTGAAAGCACAGATAATGTGGAACGTGGGAACCTGCCTGGGCAGTGCACTTCATATTTTGTGCTCCATTCTTTGAAGTGAGTTTCCAAGTCACCAAATCGCTATCGGTTTGTAAGGTCAGCCCTGGCACCCTCAATGGTGATCATCTAGGAGGCTGAGTTGTTGGGAATTCTATCTGCATGAGGGTATTTTAAACCTCTACGTCCTGTGCAGGACTAACATTAGACGTAGTCGAGCGAAGGATCTTGCATCCTAGGCCATGTGTTATCAGCATCCTTGCTCAGGGACTTGTGCCAGCGCAATGCATCCTGCTGCCGCTGTTATCAAATGAGATTTTTCCAACCTTGACTTCATAACCAGTAGGTGTTTCGAATTGACTTGTACACAACGACGGGTGCATTCGAGTTGGCCCCATGGCCGTTCTATCGAGTGTTCTCAAGGGGTATTCGTGTGAGACAAAGCATGACAGTGCTTGTATTGTGCCGCTGTAACCGTCAGGTTGATGACAACTCTAGAGGAGACAAGAAAACTAAAGACTTCAACCCTAAATGATAAAAATATTTAGGTAAGTTAGCATAAAGTTGGGGGGCCTTTAGTCAGTTTATCTTGGACATCCTATCTCAAGGTCTGAGGTTTTCTTGCTTCCCAGGGCATCCAGAATAGTATTCTTGTAATACCTACCTAAGTTCAGGTGAGGTTCCACAGTTTCGCATAAAGGATTTGTTTCATGGTTATGGGGCGATAAACGAGGATGCTCCCCTGCTAGAATCGCACCCACCCTGGAGCTGATGGTATGTGAAGTAGTTTCTTGCAGGACGCTGTATACAGAGTGCAAATTGATTCGGTATTACAGTAATAGAGTAGATAGATATTTATCTAATTCTGGAATTTTAAAGATACAGAACTGAGGTTATAGTCCCGTAAAACCTGAACAATAACCTCAATTTTTGTCAAAGCTTGAAACCTGCATTATGCGGACCATGATCTCAAAGATGGAACAGTAGCACGACATGAATGACCTTCGAATTGAGTAGAGAAATATTGAATACTGGCTTACGATGCTATGATTGTATTGCTGTAGACGTTTTGCCGGGTTTGCCGCCGCTCGATATTGGATGTATGTCGCGAAGCCCTCACTCCGAGGACCAGTACTAGATGAAGCAGATGTGATTTACCGTAATGGACTTTGTGCATTATTACTATGCAGAACGCAATAGAAAACGTATTACTTAATGGTCTTCTATTTTACTCGACACTGCCTTATGTTGCTATAACCGAAGTCCTCTCGAACGAATGATGCTTCGATTAGGACAAATTGGATGTCATGATGGCAACCTTGGAGGTTCAGGTCAGCGAGAGAATGGAGTACACTAGACTCATGAGAACAAAAATGTATTGCTATCCCCAGGAGGCCAGCGCTCTCTATAGCTGTCAATAACGAGTTTGGCCATCCTTGCTCCCATGACTGCTACTTCAAGCCTTAGGCAACAATCGTCTATTCGTCTTTTCATTGGATGCTACCAGAGACTCTGAACAAATCATCAGAGCTTACTACAACAGATCGCCACATCATCTCATTCAAGCCCATCTTTAGACTTCTTATCGCCACGGCACGTGTCCAACTTAACACGTCTCCTTCTGTCCAAGATAAAACTAAACTCCCATCACTTCCAAAACCTCACCATACTCGCCATACCAGAATCTCGCGATAAGCATACGGGCACAGGCTCGCACACAGAGTTCGTATAGTCGACCCTATAGCGTCATAGCCCCCAAAACATCATGATACCTGGCTCTCTCGCCTGGCTACTTGCACTGCCGGCTTTTGCGCTGGCCGCCCGCCCCAAGGATGCCATCAAGCTTTCCGATGTGCGATCTCTCACCCTCCGCGGTAATGGAGCCATGACGAATCATCGCCGTGTTGGCGCTATCCCCCAACTGCGCTGTGTCTCCAAGAAGGCGCTCTGTGAACTTTACGACATCGATGTGATGCGCTGCACCAATGAAGGCTCCGGCTGGGGTGATGAGGATATTCAATGGAGCTGTACTGCCTCGCTTCCAGAGGAGCTCAAGCTTGTCACGACGGATGTGATCTGTGAGGGTTATAACTCTCCCGACGACCCCTATGTTCTGAAGGGTAGTTGCGGTGTTGAATACAGAGTTGCCTTGACAAGGAAGGGCGAACGCCGTTATCCAAATATCGCCAACGGAGGATGGTTTAGTGACGGCAGAGGTGGTACTGACTGGGGGGCTCTACTCTTCACGATTATTTTCGTTGCTATTCTCGGCTGGATCATTTACTCAGCGTGTTACAGAGCACAAGAGGCTGGTGGCAACTCTAACCGACCACGACGCCGTCGCGACGGATGGTCCTCCGGAGGATGGGGTCCCGGATGGGGTCCTGACGGTGATGACCCTCCACCTCCATATCCCGGTTCTAAGCCTTCTTCGCAATCTGACACTTGGAGACCCGGGTTCTGGAGTGGTGCCGCAGGAGGAGCCGCAGCAGGATACTGGGCTGGTAGCCGTAATCAGCAAAACCATCATAATCACCACAACGATGGGTATGGCAGCATCGGACGTGGAGGTTCTGGATGGGGTGGTCGTTCTGGATCGTCATCTGGATCCAACAATTCAAATCGTCATGAGAGCACTGGTTTTGGTTCAACCAGCCGTAGATAGCTAATCACCCCGTTAGACACATGTACCAGAGTTCCGAATTTCTTTTTGGTAGCATAATCGACGCTTTCCATTTATCCTGCTATTTCATACACTGACTCTGAAGTACCCCAACCCCCAACCCCCAACCCCCTCCTTTCTTTACAAAGAGTATATACATGCATGCAGCGGCTCGTGAAGTGTTCCGCTGAGTGGTTTAGAAATACACGGATGACTTTCCAAGAGTAGCCATCTAGCCCAGAGAAGGAAACCGTCAAGATGCGCTGTCCAGATCATAGTGGCCCAACATAGTCCGGTGAAGGTGGACATACAGCCACCTCCAAATGCCTGAAAGGTATAGGATGGATGCTCAATGCTTGACGCAAGCAATTAATGAAGTAGAAAAAGAGGTATCGCATATATAAGGAACAGAAGTAAGGTGCAAGATAGCTTGTTTCCATTGCGCTCTCGGTGCGTTCGTTCAATGATGAACGGGCATAACGTCCATCTTGTCAAATGCTCGGGAACATGTAGGACATTTCCGCATGCGATTGCTGATGCGATCATCCACACATTGGTTGCAGAATAAATGGCCACATGTCTTCAACGCCGTATTCTTGAAATTGATACGACAAATAGTGCATAGAGCGAACGTCTGGAAGCGCGTTAAAATGGTTTAAAACATCAGGATTGTTTTCTTGGATCACTTACCCGTAGCATTTCTTCTTCTTCAGACGCATTGCTCAATGCCTTATTCTTCCAATTGTCGCGATCTTTCTGTGTATGCTCGAGGCGTACCTTCATCTTCTCCACCTCAGTCTCTTGCATCGTGTTGCGCTCACGAACCACAGCAGAAGCCGCATCTTTAGATTTGACCAGGTTTGTCAGGTCAGCAACTTGCTTGTTCAGAGATTCAGTACGGCGGAGAGCATCGAGGCTTGCTGTTTCCATCTTCTTGTTCTCCGTCATCAGGGCGGCATTTGCTTGTTTCAAATCGGTTAACTGTTTATCCAAATTACCCAGTAGGGTACGGTTCTGCGATTCGAGGTCCTTTAGCTGGGCGATGATTTCCGAACTCTTGCTGTTCTGGTGCCGCAATGATCGAATCTCGTTGTTGCGTGTATCTGCGTCCTTTCGCGCGGCAAAGTATTTCTGGTCAGCTTTACTCTTCTCTGCAATTAGTATTGCCATGCGTTCCTCTGCAGCACTGGTATCCATCGCTTTCTTTTGAGCAATTTGAATTATTTTCTTGTATGCCTTTTCCATAGCCGGGAATTCAGTGTTGATAGAGTTGAAATCCCGTTCCAATTTTGTGTAGTGCAGACGAAGCTCATCAATTGTCAATGCCTCGATATCCGGGCGAATAGCTTGCTGGTCCTCGTTCGGTTGAAGGCGTGAAAGTTTTGCTTCCAAAGCCGTAATTCTATCCTCTTTGGCAGATGCCAGAGCCTTGACTTGATCGATTGATGCCCGGTCTTGTTCTAATCTTGCCTTGTGTTGCGTAGTTTCGGCCAGCAATTCATCGCGCGCCGATCGCACTCGGGCAAGATCTTGATCTCTGGAAATGATCTCAGCTTCAAGTTCCTGTGTCACCTGATTTGCGTCTGCTTCAAGCTGAGTTCTGAACATCGACCGCTCTGCTTGTAGTTTTTCGGCTTCTTCTCGCAGCTGTTTGTTTGTAGCTTCAAGGGTGTTAATACGTTTGATGAGATCCTCGTTCTGGTTTTTGAATTGTTTGAAAACGTCGGTCCGAATGAAGTCTTCATCGGTTAAGGTCTCCCTCTTCGCTTTAAGAGTCGAGTTCTCGTCCTGAAGGGTCTTGATTTCAGCCAGGATGACGTCGAGTTGTTCCTTTTGCTTGGTAGCAGCTGCAGTTGCCTCTTCATACTTGAGCAACAGTTCACCCGCATTGCCATTTGTTTCGCCGGCCTCAGCACCCCCATCGCCAGATGCAGAAGGGCGAGTGGCATTAGCAAATGCTTGTTGTTCTAGCTTCTGCACCTGAAAGCTTTTGGCACGGTCTAGTTTCTTCTCCGCTTTGAAATATCGCAAAGTCGCAGCATTCAGTTGTTCAGACAGCTGGTCCTTTTCACTCTTCAAACGGTCCAGTTTGAACAAGTATTCCTTTTGTGTTGCCAGCAGACTTGCAACCTTATTCTCCAGCGCAGCAGCGTCGGGGTCAATCTTGCCTCGCGAAGAGGCCAATCGTCCGAGGAGTGCTTCAGCTCTGGATTTGATCGTCTTGCCTTTGTCGGATAGATGTTTCTGGAATTCATGAAGATCCTTGAAAGTCACGCCACTCAGATACGGAGGATCTGCGAATAGGTTAGAAAAAGCACGGCTGGTAACTTAGAACAAAGGACCTCATACCGGATGGTGTTGTAGAGGTGATCTCCGAGTCTGAAAGAAGCTCCATTTCCTCAAGCACCTGTTTCTTTGTTTAGCTATACCACAGACAGTGGGGCCTGGAGAAGGGTGGGACAAACCTGTCGCCACCAAGCATCGATAAGTCTCAAGTGGTCGTCATGATGGACAGATCTTTTGTGAAGTTCCTCGAGGCGTGACTCGTACGTAGAAGCCTTTCGACTATATTCTTGCATCTGCCGGTAGATGGCGCCCTTTGTGTAGGCCTGAAGATTGGGTCAGCGACATTTCCACCTCCATACGTCGAGCAAGTTGCGTGATGTTTTCTTGGGTTGTGCGGAGGCGCTTCTCATTTGGGTGCATGACGAATGCACTTCCGAGCCGACTATTGCGGTGTCGCAAGAAGCAGGCGAGCATCATCACTGGCTTGGTGAGCAATGCCGTCCAGGACCATCCCAACAGAATGGCACGAAGCCGGGAATAGAAGCCTACGTGATAGGCAGAGTGCGGGGGGAAACATATGGGTTGGATACTCAAGCGTTGGCAATAGGAGATGTCGTCGTGTGACTTACCTCGATCCAACTCTCCTCCTTCATGTCGGAAGAGTCATCTTTAGCCTTGGAGCCATTGACGGCAACTCGCTTGCTCGGAGGGGCTATATCATCGGCACTGCTGATGGCAGGCCGTTTCCTATCCTCCATCTTTGAGACTGTGGATGGGCGAGGGGAGGCAGAGGGCGTGGTTGTAAGAGGCATCAGAAGTCGCGTGGCATAGGGCAAAAAGGCGGACGCGTTGCCAAAGAAAAGCGACGGGTCGGTCGTGCGAGCGCTTTCAAGCCAATTCCCGTCGCGAGCAAAGACGTGCGAGCGATCATCAAGTGATGGCGCGGGGAAGCGTGTTATGATGATGGAACGTTTCTTCGGGTAAGGAGTTGAAATTTCGAAGTTGAGTCGCAGAACAAGAAGCGCGGCGTCTCCACCTCAAAGGGGATTAGTGTCAGTCTAGCTTCGTTCGGAAAGTGGAGCTTTTCTTATCGATTTGCATGGGCGGATAATTCTCGCCCACTGGGCATCTCCACCATCCCGCATTTTATTTTCTCTGCCTTTTTTCTGGGCTGCTTGGTACGAGTACTTTTTAGTTTCTGAATCGTTCTCTTGTCGCAATTCGTTCGGAAATGTCAACACAGATAACATATCGGAATTCGCATACAATACATGCATGATTAAACGCTTGCGCAATGAGCTCCATTTTCAAAAAGAAAGGAGGGCCTGCCTTCAAACCCAAGATCCCCGCCGCTCGACGCCCCGCGGCACCAGTACCCTCACAACCTCCCAAAGCACCACCAGCTGCTTCTCCTCCGCACGACTCAAGAGATCCAGAAGCTCAGGATGTGTCCCATCGATCTTTAGAAACACCATCGGCGAAGGATCCCGTAAGCTCACCCATTGAATCGCAAATTCAAGATTCTCGTGAACTTGGTCGCCAATCTCCTACCCCACCATCGACAATCCAGGAGCCTGCAAAGCCGGACGAACATGCTGCAACTGAAGGGTCTGCCAAGGAAAGGCCTCCAGAAGAAAAGCAAAGTGAACTTGCGAACCAGAACACCGAGCGCAACCCTGAAAAAACCGGAGTGCCTACCACGGCTGCCCAAGCGACAACCTCGAGCGAGCAAGAACAAAGTCAACAGCCTCCTGCACAGTATAGTGAGATTCACTCAAGTAGTACAGATGATGCTCCGTCTCCTGTTTTGCAGACACCAACTCCAGATGACTCGGAAGGGCCAAGTGGAACTGACCTTTCAAATACGCCATCTCTCCCCGCTGCTGACTTGAATGATACACACGAAGAGACCTCAGGAGAACCGCAGAATGTACCCAAATCAACCCGTAGGCCACGAACCAGGAAGCAAATTAACCAGGTAAACCAGGATGAGGTTGAAAGAGAGGGAGGCTCGAAAACGAAGAAACGTCAGAGGAAAACCGATGAACAAAGCGCAGCACCCAGACAGCCCAGAAAACGCAGGACTACCCAGAGCGGTACAAGTACACCCAAAAACAGACGGGCGCGCTCACTTACGCCAGAAGATTCAGAATCTCAACTGGTGGACTTACAGAAGCTTAAGATGGCTGATTTGACCAAGGATCTTCACATTGGCAAGAAATTCAGCAGACATGATGAGCTACGAGAACGAGAGAGGCGGGCAAGAATGAAGATCAAACTCGGAGTTGACGGCGAACGTGACAGCTCAGAAACCCCCGAAGATGGTGGCCAAGGAGGGAAAATTGGAAGCCCTGCTGCATCGTCGCCAGCCCCCTCGGTTTCAGCTCCAGTTGCACCTTCAGGACCTCAATTCCGTATTGTTGATGGGCAGATCGTGATCGACCAAAGCTCGTTGGCTGTGGACAGACATGCTCGAGCCGCCGCTGCAGCCGGAGATATGGAAACAGTCGAAGAAAACGACTTCACGCGCCTCATCACCAGCAACTCATTCATGAACACCTCCAAGCTTAAGGGTCCTAATATCTGGACTGACGCAGAGACAGAGCTCTTCTATCGCGGTCTGCGCATGCTCGGTACGGACTTTGAGATGATTTCCAAAATGTTCCCGGGCAAGCAGCGGCGTCATGTCAAACTCAAATTCAATCGGGAGGAGCGTCACTGTCCACAACGCGTCAACGCTGCTCTCATTGGCGAGAAGACGGTGAAGATCGATCTCGAAGAATACAAGGCTTTCACTGGTAGCGAGTTTGAGCCAGTGGCAGACATCGAGGCTGAGCAGCGCAAGATCCAGGAAGAATATGAGGCCGAGGAGAAACGTCGAGCTGACGAGCAGGCCGAGATCATGCGCAAGAGACGTGAGGAACTGTTCAAGGATGACGACGAAGGTGACGCGAAGAAAAAGAAGAGGAAAAAGAAACAGGCAGTAGCCTACGGGCTAAACGGCGAACCCATTGCTCAAGAGGCTTGAGCTGGGTGAGGACATAAATCAGGCCGAAATCAGGATCAAGGGCACGTCCAAAATCGGAGACATGATTCGGGCGGCGTAACGGGGACAGGCATGATACCCATAGGGTTTTTTTATTTGCTCACGAATGAAAGAAAGGGTTACACGGAATTAGCTTCGAGAGCAGTCTCTACAGAATAATAGTTCTCCTAGGGCAAGGTACACAATGTGGAATCTTAAACCTGCTTAATAACATATATTATCATGATAAGTGACGTCTGTCTCTCGTCTCAACAAATCATAGCTTCGTGCCATCCAAGGGGTGTAAATATAAGACCGTGGCCTGTGTCAAGTCAAGCTGGCGATCCAAACATAGGGGTGGCAGGGTCAGTCAGTACTGGCAATTATATACATAGACTTGCGGGTTTTGAAAACGACAGAGTAATTAGCAAGCTGCCAACGGATGATTAGTGGCCGGATATAGGAGATCTCAGCAGGGCTCTCCCAGCATGATGTGCGAGTGCTAGACTGGCGGGATTAGGGGTATGGTTATGTCGATGGCTAATACTACTTAGGTAGTGGGATACTCCTGGTCATGGATCGTACAAGGCCAGCGAGTCTCGTGCTTGCCTCTGTACAAGGGCAGCCTAAACGACAAACTAAAAAGCTGGAAAAGCAAAGAAAGTAAACAGAAGAAGGAGAAGGAGTCTTCTTGCATGACTAGAGAGACATGAGGATCCCTAGTGCTTGCGACTAGAAATGTCTACGAAGCATACTGACCGCGCAACGGCGGCTGCAGAGCGCATCGCCCATGCTACAGTACGAAGGGCATAAAACTACCACCGACAACGCTCAAGATATGGGATACCATCTGACACTCATTGGATTGCTGTAACGGTTAACAAAAATGGATCATGCAGCCTGTGAGTTGTGCCACCTCGGAAACGACAGGAACTTGGGGTTTTAATTTGAAAAGATATGAATGCTTAAATGATTTTAGGCTTATAGAACAAACTTAGGATACACTTTGAGTCCCCGTCCTAATTTATCCCTCCCTCCCTCCTGATGCAGAGGCTCGAATTCTTCTGGTGTTTAGACTATGAAGCTTGAATTTGATATCCTATAAACAGCAGTGAGATTCAGCATTATTCGTATTCTCTCTGATTTTGACATCCCATCGTACTACTCAATTAAGGCAGCTTCATAGGTAGTCACTGTAACACGATAAGGTAAGGACAGAAGTAGCTGAAGAATCCTCAGTTACCTACCCACCTTACATCAGGTGTTCATTATCACAATGCAAACATAGAATGGGAGCTTTCTAAGATCAAAACCACCATTTATGCCTGCTCTATTAGCTGGGACCAATGGCTGCATTCTTTTCATGATCCTCTTCTGTTGTCCTATTCCTGGTCCGTCGCCGTCGCCAGATGGTGATTCCACAGAGAATGCCTGGGTTTGTGCCCTTTCCTTCGGTTCATAATCGTAACGCGTATTGTTCTGCACAGCTCATCTGCCCTTAGTTGTTGTTGTTGGGGGCAGGCTCGTCATCCTCCGGTTGGTCAAAGAGGAAGTTAGCAGCTAGTTCTTCGTTCTTGTCGCAGGCAAAATAAGCTTGAATGGCCTGATCTCTATCGAATCCTAGGCGGCACAACTAATGTATGTCAGTGGTTTAGATTCAAGGCCGTATCGAAATGAAAAACCTCACCCTCTCGATAGCATCTCGTTCCTCCTCAGTGACCGAAATAGCCTGAGCCCCAGGGGGTAGGGGAGTGTCGTCATCGGCATATTCACCGAGGAGCTGGAGAAACTGGTCTGGATTTGTAGCAATCAACTCGGCCAATTGAGGATTGCCGGCTCCAAGCTGCTGAAGGATTGGCTCGAGCATCTGCGGTTGTTGCTGAACAACCTGGCGGAGTTGCTGGAATTGAGCATTGTGTCGCAGAAAGTCGAGGTTACCCAAATCGCCACCTTGTCCAGCAGCAGCTGCTGCTGCTGCGGCTGCCGCCGCCTGGTTCCCTCCATTTCCTCCTCGGCCACCAGAACCTCCACGTTGAGCAGCAAGATCGAACAAATTCACGCCACCCTCATCAGAGGCACCTTGGGCGGAAGCGGCGGGTTGAGCTGGTTGTGAAGCAGGAGCCGCGGGAGCCGCCTCACGCTGCTGCTGCTCTTGTCGGATATTGTCGGGAATGCCCTATAATGAACCAAGTAAGCAATCGTGGCTCACGACAGCCCGGAAAATTCAAGACGAACATTAAGAAGATACTCGACAGCACGGTCAGGGTTGTTGAAGGCAGCGCGCATGGCCGCTTCGATCTGGCTTCTTTCAAAGCCCATGGCCTCCATGTTTGCGATCGCCTCGGTGCGCTGGGATCCCATAGCAAGGCCGGAAGGCTCCTCAGCTTGAGCACCAGTTCCAGCATCCACAGAGCGCTGAGGAGTAGGTGTCGCGGGGACAGCAGTCTGATGAGATGAAGAATGCGCAGGGGCCGCAGGGGCTGCAGGTGTGTTGGCAACAGCTTGGGCGGGTGTGGCAGGAGGAGCACTGGATTCGGCCGCCTTGGGTTCGGGCTTGGGCTTAGGCTATTGCGAGCTGTCAGTATGTAAGCTCCTATCAAGGAGTCGGTATTCCATACCTTGTTCACCATACAGACCACAAAACCCTTCTCCTCAATGTTGTAGGAGCCAACAGTCTCTTCATCCTTCAGAATCTTGCCTTGGTATAACGTCAGCGACCATGTAGTGCGACAGAAGAGGTAAATAAGTACCAGAGTAGATCAGCTTCTGCAGCTTGGGTTCCCATCCTTTCTCAGCTGAGATCTTTTCTTTGACGGCAGAAATCTATCGAGTGTATCAGCTGGCTGAATGATTTGCGCATACAGCTACAAGCGCCAACGCGGGGCAGGCATACCAGCTCAGAAGGCTCGACGTCGAGGGTAAACTTTTGTTGCTTGAGATCCTGAAATACGTTTAGTCAACTTCCAAGAAAATGAAAAACAAGCACGATAAATCAAGCTCATTAATGCAGATTCAGCGGCGTATGAATCGTGACGTACCTTGAAGGTGACCTTCATGATGGGCGAAGACTCTGTCACTTTGAGGTGGGGAGGTGGGAGGCAAAGTGCGACCTGGGATTAGATAGAGTCGTCTCGTTCGGTACAGGCGCGGTAGTAGAGTCGAGTCGATGCGTCAAGATCGAAGATTTGTTGACGAGGGGGAGATTATGTGGGAGAGAGGTCGGGTGGAAGAAAATAAAATCGTCGACGTAGATATAGAAGTGTGTTGGAGGAAAGCTTAGTAGTTTACGGCCTGGACGAAGTTGACGTTTGGCTGAGGGAAAAGGTGGGGCATGAGCCTGTGAGTTGGAAGGGTTACTCTCAAGCCAACTACCACCAAAAATAGCCTAGTGTACCTTTGTCAGCCACTCCAGGCTACCAAATGGCTAGAAGGCGCGCGTCCTGCTGCCTGAGAATTAGAGATGCATTTTATCAGAGCCTCCAGGGCTGTATTGATCTGTTGACTGTGAGCAAGAGAGAGTACAGTACCAGGCACAGAAGCAGAGTAGATTTCTGTTGGGAACACTCGTACGCAAAAATACATCTAGAGTTGTTCATCCTGAAATTAAGTTGAAATCCCTTCTGTGGATGAGAGTCAATAATATGACCATCTTTGAAATACACCTATCATGTTCTGGGTATTGACGTCGCCGAACTTAATGTCTAGTCCCTACTATAGGAGAAGCTTTAGGTCCTGGACTTCTCTGGATTCGAACCAGTGATGGAAACTCGTAACACGTAACAGGAGAATTGTATTAGAACTCCCACACAAATAACCTCGCCACGTGGAGGAACATCAGCATTTTCTCCGAGACAGTCTTGCACTACATCACAGTTATCCGAGATGTCAAGGCCTGTTATGCTTCATAAGGCTCAAAGAACACAGTATGAAACCTTTATGAAAGTCCTGTCTCTGCCTCTCGACTTCAAGACCTGCATGGAATTATTCCTCAACGTATTGTCCGAGATGAATATACTCAGGTTCTTTTAACAAGTGTTTGATATTGCTTCTAAGCTTTCTAGCCTTTTTTCTACCTTACAATGCATCTCTGTCGTCCATCCTCGCGCCTCTAGCGCACAAGATCAAGTCATAAAAGCGCCTCGCTATTTTCATTGGTATACACGTATTCCTACTCAGTTCGTTCCACCAGGTCTGTACGGAACTCTGAGTTTACCATCCGGTGGCGTCTGGAAGGATAAAAAAAGATAAGAAAATGGAGTCTGTCCATATCATAGTGCCCGCTATTTTCACATGCCCCTGCTCATTTTCATCATTATACTGTCACTCAGCCAGAGTGACATCGTTAGTTCTTCTCCTGCTTCTTACTTTCTCCATCACCTGCATTGTCAATTCTTGACTTGCGGTTGTTATAATCCGACCAACTTGATCGAGCGCCGGCACCCATAACCCACTCAGGGATGGGAGGGGTAAGCGGCCGGTCAATTGTCGTTAGGGAGTCTGTCTCTGACTCTTGCTCCTCTCTAATGCTCTCGTGCTCATCCCGATGGCTGAGAGGGCTTGGGCCCACTGTTATGGAGGCAGACCGCAGAGACCGTACACTCTGGCGGTGTGTGATGACTTGTCCAGCATTGGGCGAGGCCAAGACGACCGTGCCAGGTGTAGCCATTGGGGGCGGCGTAGGCGAGTCGGATCGGAAGAGCGGATGAATATGAGATTCACTCAGGGACGGCTCAGGGAGATCGGTCGTCGACGTTTGAGGGCTCATTTGCTCACGTGTTATAGTTACCGGACTGAAGCTTCGGCTTCGCATGCGGATCCTCGGCGGCTCGAGAGGCATATCATTGTTCGGTGTGGACGTTCTGCTTGGTGAAGGACTACCAGGAATTGTCTCGAGAAAATGGCCTTGGGTTTGCTGGGGAGGAGTTGTGGCTTCCATAACCACTTGGCGGTTGTTTGTATCAACAGACGATGTATCCCAGGTGTCAAAGGCATCTTCACTGGACTGATATATTGTCGAGTCGGTCGAAATAGGTCGTCGAAACTCGCTCGACGATACGTGACTTCTGACAGTCGCAGACCGAATAGCATTTGAAAGTTGAACCTTGATAGAAGTTGCAGTACCGGATCTGGAACGTCCACGTATGGATGGGGTAGGTGTTTGAGAGTCCATCGAGTTCATCACCCTGGGGGCTGTGTCATGATCTGAAGCTGTGTGACTATAGGGGATCGACTTCAGAGACGACTTGGATCGGAATGATGGCAAGCCTCGGTCCTCCTCTAGAGTGTGGAGTGAAAGTGCCTTCTGATCACTTTGTCGCGTAAGGAAGAAATGAACGGATAAGAAGCCGGTTTGAAGGAAGAAGCACACCCCAAGACTAGCGGATAGGCCGACGAGAAGACTGCTCTTACTCGAGCCTGTGAACCCATCCTCATTTTCGAATTTAGACTTGCTGAATTGAATGAGAGTAGCCACTGTTGCAACAGTAGCAAATAGTATTGCCAAAAGACAAGCACCAAAGTCAACACCCAGGCATCGTGTTGACCATCGCCGGAAGGAAGTTGAAACATATGTGGAGGTGAACCAGCAGAGGATGACGAGAGTTACAACCTCGAGGGCAACAGAGACTTTCGAGAGTGTTCGGCCACTTGATTCTTTGGGTGTATGAATTGTGAGAACAATAAGAACTGCTATCACAGCCACCGTGACCAGTAGGGCTAAAGAGCCCAGAACGATTGATAGGGTGCGTCGCATTGTTTCTGAAAGTTGGTGAAGACGATGTTGCGTAGTTGCGAAGCCCCAGTACGACAGCTGGTAGGTGGCTAACCTCGAACTAAGCGTTCTTTGGTTCCCGTAAATCGTTGCAAAATTAATCTTGTTTCTCGTAAGGTTTGTAACGTTGAGTGGTACTGCATAATCTGGATTGGCTATGCTTCGTCGACCTTGGCTCTGCAGTGCGACTATGATATGGTTGTTGATAAACGATAATAGATGGCGGTATATATATTGAATGGCACCAATTTGCCAACCAGAGATAGGAGTGTCCAAGTCGCTCCGGCAAGTGTTTGTTAGTTATGGGATATTTCGTTGCTGATATCCAAGCTTGCTCGGTGTGAATCGACCCCAGCCAGTAAACCGAACCAACACCACGGGTTGGTGAAAGAATGTAAGTGATATAAAATCGGGACTGAAAGAGTGTACTACTCTAGGAAATATATTGCAGTCTGTCTTATTTTGCAATTATTAGCCTGAGTATAGAAGCAACAATCACGAGGCTTCGGTATAAGTCAAGGATGGACGATATTGAAACGAGCGGGTGAAGACCTGAAGGTGGGAAAGAAGGAATGAAGAGAAACGAGCAGAGGCCAAGGATAAAAGTAAAAGTAAAAGTAAAACGAACTTGTGGATGCCAACGTTGGCTGGTCTGGTGTGGCAGACCCGTCTGAGTCGAAGAGAGCGCAGGCCAGCAGCACAGGACACCGCTAAGAAGAAGCACTGCATTCACTCACACGATGGAGACTTGGTGAAAAAGCAAGCCGGGAATGATCCTCTGAGTGGATTCAACTACTGACTGACCATAGGCTGTGTTGCGTGTCGTTAGCAAAAGGCCGGCCCTAGACAGGGGTGTCTTGTATATACCCCTCTTAGCCCCTGTCAACTCTCTTACAAGCTGGCGACTCTCAGACACGGCGCACCCGCGAGAATAGCATCGCATCGCACAACATTTCGTTTTCAAGCCCTGTTTGGACGTTCGTTGGTCAGGTTTACCTGAGGGAGGGGGGCAGCTTGACTAGGAACCCTTCCCCTCCACGATTCGATGCACGAAGGCTGTGTGAGATTGAGATAATAATGAGGAAGAGGCTCGCAGGTTGGCTAACGTGGCTGACTTCTCTTATGCAAGTCATGGAGCCAGCCTGACCTTGTAAGCCCTTTCTTCTTTTCGCTTCTTCTTTACTCCAAGTATCTCCGAATCCAATGCCCTGGGTCTATTGATGGAGCGACTGGTGGAGAAGCCGGTCTAAGTGGGTAAACAGCTGGTTTTGTTACAGGCAAGTTGAATGTCTGGATGGATTTTCAATTCTCGCAATATCTACATAGTACGTTGGCAGACATAAGTAAATGCTGTTTGGCTGTGCCCTCTGCTTTCAAGTAGAGAGTGTTTTCCCAGAGCCTTACACGTAAGGAGATGCTACTGGGATGCCTTCACCACCTTCACAAGCTTAGTTCTGGCATGTCCTGGTCTCTCTCCCAGCTTCCACTACCAGCAAAGTCCAACGGTTTCCAAAACTCAAACTCCCGAACGGGCGTTGATCGCTCAGCCCATAGGACAAAAAACTCAAGCCCTCAAGCCCTATTTCTTCTGGCTAGTATGATTGAGGCCTAGTCATGCCAATGAAGCCCCTCTGACTTCCCCGCTGCCTCCACGCAACCACACTGCGAAGTGTGTGCAATTAAGAGCCGAGGGGCCCTCTTTTAATCTAACTGCTGACGCTCTCATTGGACACTGAGATCGGGTACCTGACTCTAGCCTCGTTGGCGTTAGATTCCTCGATCTAATCCAACATAAATTTTTGAGTTGTGAGACCAAGCTTGTTATTATTTGTTGACATGAGGTTGTATTGGAAAGTCGAAACTGGTGAGAGTAAATAGCAACGGGGAATCATTCACTTTGGCGTTCTCAACGAAAACTGTGAAATCTTATCGGAGCGGTCACTTCATCATCGAGTAATGACTCGAAGATCGTTGAAAGCGTATTCAGACAGGGGATAGGTCCTGAGGTCAAGGTAAGGTTACATAGGAATGACTCTCCAACTCTGACAGCATGGTAATAATTAGATTGGCTGTCTGGGCTAAAAAAAAATGAAGGAGGTCAGTAAGCAGCTGAATAATTTTTGGAATTCGCAGCAAATACCGACAATGGACCCATGCCACGAAAGCATGAGCATCCCAGATCCCGGTTACTGTTTCATCTTCTTTCCGCTTATATCCTAGTTCCCCATACATTTTTGAGTCAACCATTTGGAAATCCCTCTTCGTCCCCGATGACATGGGAGGGAGAAAACGTGGCAGACAAAGTTGGCACTCGTTGTTACTTGTGAGGCTTCCACACCGAGATTTCAGAGGGTATGGAAGCCAAGATACATACAACTGAGGTATCGTAAGGTTCGCTGCCGTCACCCTGTTTTTCGATGTCAGGTAAGGTAGGTATAGGTATTAAAAGTGACAGACCCTTGCCTCCATCTGTGGCTGGCTCATGCACAGCAATACGTGTTAGCATAAGCAAATGACGCCTTGGTTATGAAAGGCGATGCAGGAAAACGAAGAAATGACTTTGAAGTTCAGAGTTGGAACCCAGCACGGGCCTGTTCAGTGACTCGAAATCACCAGATGCGGCCCTGATTATTCTGCTCGTTTCGCAACGAACGGTCTGGTTGCTATATCGCAACCGCCTCATGAGACACATTGACCTCCATGCTCTTGTCTCCCTTGCTTCCAGAAGTTCCTTGCTTTGTCTCTGATAGACCAGAACCTGAGAAATGCCCCGCTGAGGTCATCATACACTCTATTCAACGAAATTGTCTTTGTTCTCCCACCCATTGTTTGTTGTTTGGCATTAGCCCTCCTCACTAGTTTGCTGAAAGACATCTCATTCAACTCAGTACAAGACAGTTTTGAAGTGTTAATACTGCCCTTGTCTTAGTTTCGAGTTCGCGTCGGGCATGTTACTTTTCCTAGCCTTACCTATTGTCCCCATGCTCATAGTCATACTACCTCACTTACTTATCTGCGACATCAAGCCGTTTGATGATGCAAATTACTCGGAACACGTTTATTATTATTATTTTTCAGACGACCATCTCCATCTGAGCCGTGTCTGACTGCCGATGAAGTTGAATTCCTGGCCCTTGCTTTTCCGAGCTGCTGGGCGACGCGTTCATAGGTGTTCCTCAGCCTTGATTTGCTCCTAGCGGAACCTCACCCAGCTCAGACGATGTAAGCTAAAACTAATCAGCTGGGTTTACCGAGCCTTTCGCTATGGCCATTGTCAGTGTCTGGGTCTTTCTACCAGCATGATGGCCCTTCATCTGCGCACCGAACAAACTGTTTCGCAAGCAAGGTGCTCTGGAAACAGGAGATGCATCCCTTGCGCCATGGTGTGTTACTGTGGTATGACGAAAACCTGGATGCAAGGTGACCCTCGTCGTGGTAGTTCCGGGGAAATCTCGACAGGGCCGAAGCCATGTATGATTGGCGATCGCGGATCATTCTGTTTCTTCTTTTCACTCAAGGCGTTCGTTCATCAGAGTTTCCCATTGCTACCTGTGAACTCTGTCCTGTGGTTTATTTTCAAAGTTTGTGGATGTAACAGTAACAACAGCCAGATGTCCTGTATGGGAACCTTTCATTCTACACCTAAGCCATCATAGAGACCAGTTCCTGAATGATGCAGGCCTGGTAACTGGCCGTCGATCACCCACTCGCTTGCTCGAGCCCCGCATTGCATTTGGGATTCAGAAGTTCTAATAATAGGGTACAGCCATACTCGCATCTCATGCCATTGTGTATGTATCCAGGTACGTGAGTAAAGCATCTCGCCTCACTGACCAATTTTATATAGCATTGGCTTGCGATGGACACAGGAAATTTTCTTCTCTTTCTTGATCAGGATGCTTGGGTCTAGATCTGATCACTACCAATGATGCTTTACAATTCCGTGTTCCACACCCACATCTCTAAATGCTATTGTGGTCTGGACTACTACGCCCGCAAACTATCATGAATCCGACCCAGGTCCGCCGTCTGTCCTGGACCTGTGTTAGTCAGTTTGTAGGCTCCAGTGGTGGCTTACCAATAACCGCATCGCGTCCTATCGGGTGTCTATTGTATCAGTGCTAAAGCTGTTCTAGTTGTGTGTTGTATGAAGTGAACTGAACTGTCTCGGGCCTTTTTAGCATCGTACACGTACACACAATGTGGAAATCGACATGCACGGGTCTCAATTGGATCCGCCGATCATACTCCTGAACTTGACAGGACACGCTTCCGTTGTCATTGCAGTCACAGTCTTCCATCTCGAGCCGCGAACAGTGCATTTGCCGCCTGTTTTTCACCATGCCATGCTTCGCTTAGATCACCAATATACCTCGGCGTCGGGCACGAGTACAGCAGCGCCCGTCTTGTCTCTGTCGACGTCATCATTGACTGACTGTAGCTCAGTTAGATTTATCTGCTGTCCGCCATAAACGCATGGCTAATTTTCCTGTATGCCGATTCCCTTTTCAGTCAGTTCTTCCGGCGATGCTGTCCAAAAGTAGCTGTGGTCGAGATTTCTTCATGGATCTTCATAAATGCTGAGCATTTCATTCTGACTGTGGGGAAGATCGTCTTCTGACCATCAGTTACCTTACCTACCCTATTTGCCTACCTACCAACTAACACTATTCATCGAATGAGATTCAATGATCCATCCATTGGCCAATGACGAGCTTCTTGTCAATAGAATAATTTGATCATGTCCTATTCTGTATAATATTGGACTTTATGTTAATTATTAAACGACAACTCTGTCTATCTTATTGCTTGAAGGAAAGAGTCGTCGCAGTCTCCCCCTCAGTGGAAATTATATTGACGCCGAAGAGAATCAATAGTCTATACCAGTAGATTAAAACGTTAGACAGGCGTGTGCTGCAAAAGGACTCAGCAACTGGTGTTTACTTGTTTTTTTATTTATTTGTTTAGTTGGAGTCATTTTGTTTACTTTGGTCTCCACTTTCAACATGCGGGGAGACTTGCAGTTGACTTATAAGATTAACATGGATTTTGACAGAATGATGACTTTCATGTGGATGCAAATGATACCGCTTACATGTGGCTGCATTGTCCATTGCCGCTGTTCTCAATAGTCGATGGGGCTCTCGTTAGATACGTCAATACCCATAGAAGTTGAGCCGCATCAGCACTCAGCACTGAGCTATTTGCTGTTATGGGAAATGAATGCTATTTCCAATATTACCTGCATGTGTAAGACCCGCAGATGCCCACTCCCAGATCCGTTGCTAACTAAGTTGATCAAAAAGCTACGTGCTAATAGTGTACAATAGTTGTCTTGGATTGGACTTATCAAGGAAGAAAACAGAGGAGATATGACAAACCGGAAGTGCCACCATACTTGCTCCATGCTCGAGCCAAATCGCATCTTATTGTCTCACGTGGATGCCCGGGCGATTGTGCTGCAAGTGAGACATGGTATGTGTGAGGTTTGGGGGCCCAGGGACAAGACAGTTATGTCTCGGCTACAGTTGAAAACTCCTTAACAAGAGCAACTGAATAGCAGCACCAGAGCAACATTGCCCACGTGCTGTATTACGGCTGCCGTGACGACTCCCTTGAGAAGGGATGGGCTCGTTCTTCAGCGAATGGATACACAACCACGATTTCTAAATGCATGTTCCGCCTAGAATGGTCTTGAGACTCACTGAAGGCAACTATTGGCGAGACTATTGGTAAACCGAACTCTTGCACTGGAGAGGTCATTGTAGGTCAGGCTAACGTCTCACCGTGTACGTCTCATGGTCTCATTTTTCCTATCATGTCCATGTAGCCATGCCGTAATATAACGAGAAGAGCTGTTCACCCAAGGCGAAGTTTGATGGTGAGGTGGCCGACTTTGCATATGCTCGTTGTCTGATTCGGGTTGTTGTTTACCGATTCCATTCTTGCCTGCTTGACAAGATGCAATCAATCAATAACCTCCGCCGTGGGCAATTCAGTTCAAAGCTTAACATAGACATTAGACTTAATATAGGTATTTCTTGGAAAGCGAAATAGCTGAAGATGTCCTCCCAAGGGGCTAAACAATAAATAGGTAGATAATTAAAAGTCTCTTGAATTAATTGTGAAACTGCATAAGTTTATGTCAAAATTTACCTCAGTATGTCTTATTCTTGATCTTCAATCTCATTACCTCTATGGTACTGCATGCAAGAGCAGCATAATTATTAAACTCTACTTAGAATCCTGTGTATGCTTCGAAGGACTTCACAAAGCATCATAACTTGCGTTGGTAAACAAACTGAACGTGTGGATAGACAAATTTGCCATAATGCGTAGCTAACGTGCTCTTTCTGATTGTCCCAGACACTCACTAGCTGAGTGGCCATAAAGTTGGTGGCTGGGGTCTGACGAGTGTTGACATCATGACTTTTCGACTAGGAAATACATCTGAAAAGTGATATGCCCAACTGCTCAATGATATCGGCTTCGTATTACGACAGTATTACATCAAATTTTGAAGATGGCAAAACCTCGTGTGATTTATTGGTTCCGAACAGATTTGCGACTTCACGATTCACCTGCTCTCAAAGCGGCCTTAGACCTTGACCCAGCTGTTCTTTGGCCTATCTTTACGTGGGATCCTCATTACGTATACCGAGCGAGAGGAGGCCTTAACAGATGGCAGTTTCTGTAAGAAAGAGAGAGAGAAAAGTTGCTCGTTGATATGCAGTTGTTCTGACGAAGTAAAGCCTGGATTGCCAGAATGACCTCTCCCGATCTATTTCACAGGTGAACCCCAAGTCAAAACTCTTTGTTCTCAGAGAAGCACCACAAACTCTGTTTCCCAAACTCTTCAAGGCATGGAAGGTCACTCACCTGGTCTTCGAAAAAGACACAGACAGTTATGGTCGCGAGAGAGATAGCGTTGTCGTCCAGGCGGCTAAAGATGCCGGTGTCGAAGTACTTGTCCGTTCGGGCAGGACGTTGTGGGATAGTGACCAGATAGTCGAGAAGCATGGCGGAAAGCCAACAATGTCTATCACGCAGCTTCAAGCTGCAGGGAGCAAGCTTGGTGAGATCCGGAAACCCATTCCTGCTCCCAAGCATCTTCCGGATCCAGGAGACATGCCCGTCAACTTTGAGCAGGACGAACCGAGTACCAAGCCAGATTTCAATGCAGGATTTCGAACAGAAGGAGATAAAGCTTACACCAGGATAGCGGGGCCAAACGATGACTTTGCCATTGAAACAATGGAGGAACTGGGCTTCCCACCTGCGACCACACCCCATCGTGGAGGAGAAACACGAGCGTTGAAAGAACTCAACAAGCTAATTGCAGACAAGAAATACACTGCAACTTTCCAGAAACCCAAAACGAATCCAGCTCAATTCGAGCCACAAGCTACCACTCTCCTCTCGCCATTTTTGCACTTCGGGGCGCTTTCTGTGCGTTTGTTCTACTGGCGAGTAAGGGAAATCGTCGATTCCTATGGAAAGGGTGCTTCAACCCCTCCAGAAAGTCTCATTGGCCAACTACTTTTCAGAGACATGTACTTTGCCGCTCAAGCTGCTTTGGGTTATGTCTTCTCGCAGACGGCGAACAATCCGTATTGTCGTTTCATTCCCTGGCACTTGCCCTCCAAGAGAGATTCGGAAACGGGACTCATTACTGGAGAGTATCACATTGACTCTGAGGAGGCAGAGATCTGGTTTAGAAGATGGAGAGTTGGAATGACCGGGTTCCCCTGGATAGATGCCTTGATGAGACAGCTAAAAGATGAAGGCTGGATACACCACCTGGGACGACATGCGGTTGCCTGCTTTCTGACAAGGGGCGGTTGCTATATCGACTGGGAGCGAGGTTGTGAGGTCTTCGAGGAATGGCTCATAGACCATGAGCCGGCTTGTAATGCTGGCAACTGGCAGTGGCTGTCTTGTACAGCCTTCTTTTCCCAGTACTTCCGTTGCTATAGCCCGATAGCCTTTGGCCAGAAGTGGGACAAGGAAGGAAATTTCATCCGTCGTTATGTGCCAGAGCTCAAAAATATGGACTCCAAGTACATCTACGAGCCGTGGAAAGCCCCTCTTCCGGATCAGAAAAAGGCAGGTGTCCGCATAAAGGGCGACGGGTTGAACAGTACCGAGGAGGGAACATATCCAAAACCAATGTTTGACTTTGCAAAAAGACGTGACGTGTGCATCTCTGCTATGAAGACTGCATATCAGGTTGGCCTTCATGGGAATGATGGCCAGGCGCTTGATGGAACCTGGCGCAAACTCTTTCCTACCGGCCGTGGGGAGATTCAAGGCGATATTGAGAGTGATAATGGCAAGCACGCTGATGATGCAGACGATGAAGGGGATCGTGAGGATAATGAGGCAAAGGAGAAAGGCGAAGGAATAAAGTCTATCGAAAATGGGGATCGAGCAATGAGTAAACGGAGCGGTAGACGGCACACCAACGAGAATACCACAAAAAAGCAGAAGACATGAGCGTCGTTGCTGTCTAGGTTATACAAAACAGAAGGGTTGTTCAAGACAGTACCGTCAGTTCCATACTATACACTACAGAGGCGCTCAAATTGTTAGTCCGATATAACATAGTGTCACCTTGCAAGGCTGGGGGTGCCTCCGAGTCTTACCTTGATGTATTTCCATATCATTAAAACTTTGCACCTGGGTCTGCCAGTCTCGACCACTCCAAACCCCATAGATGGTGATTCTTCTTCAGTTCGACATCCGTCTCCTTGGTTTCTCTCTCGAATTCCACTTCGGCCAGCTGTGAATACAAATCATGCTTGCCCTTGACGGCATCTGTGTACAGTTGTTGACGTGTCATCTCAGCATCACTTGATCGAAGCAACTGGTCAAGCTCGGCGTCTGCTTCTGGGTCTCCCAGCAACTCAAGTGTTTTCTTTGCCTCATGCACTTTCCCAAGCTTGGCATAAGACTCTGCGAGACATGTCAGGCACTTCCGCTTCCATTCAAAGACGCCATCGTCAACGTCGAGGGCCTGGTTCAACATGGCCACGGCTTGGTCATACTTTCCATCTTGGAACAGGTATTCGCCATAGACTGTAAGAGCATTGCAGTTCTTCGCTTCAGCTACGAGCTTCATGAAGCGGTTCTCAACATCTGCAAATGCAGTTATTTTCCGCCATGATCCACTGGCGAAAAGCTGGCTCACGAGAGAGACGACAGCAGGGTTATAGTTGAGTTCTGAAGCTGAAGCCCACAATGCCATCGAAAATGAACTATGGGCTTTCATTCTCCTGAACAACCACAATAAGCACGCCATCTCATGTGCAACCTCGACTGGGATTTGGTTCTCTACACGTTGTTAGTGGGCCCATAAATGCTCTACCGAGGGAAACTTACCAGAGAGGTTGACGCGAGAAGGATATGCTCCTTTTCTTATGGCATTCGAAAACTTTGATGCATACTCGTAATACTCGTCTGGTCTGAGAGTACCAACTTGATTCTCGGACGCTCGCATAGCCAGTTCGAAGTCCATAGGTGAGATTTGACTGAGGTCGAAATCAGTCTGGAGGCTGGAGCTTGGCTGAGTTTTAACAAGCTTGGGTGCCCGGGGAGGTGGACGAAGAGGTTTCCTTGCGCCTTTTGGAGTAGCATATGAGCGAGTCTGATACCCAATGGAATTGCTTATCCTCGAGGTGCTCAGGGCAGCACGATGAGGAGATGACTGTGCGACTGGCGCAAGTGGTAATGTAAAGTCACCACGTAGCAATTGGTAAACATTACGAGGTTTTACATGAAGTTTTGCAGTCGACATATTTTGGATAAGGTACTTAAACAAGAGACAGTCTGGCTACTATACCTAACGAATCCTCTTCACCAGTAGTCGCATGTAGTAGGTGAGGTGAGGCGAGACTCTGCCACTACTTGATACTTGATGTGTGGGGCGCCAGTGTGCCAATCATATCTTGCGTTGGAGAATTGCCCATCAAAAAAACCATCTCAAAATGAATTTTTCATACATCTTGAAGAGCTTAATCAACAACAGTTCACAACCAAATTCAGCTCAGTGTGCTAGATTCTTACTCTGACTGAAAACCCTGAAGTATCATTATACCGTATGATCTTGATTTCTGACATTTTATTTTCCCGCGGCGGAAGAGCATCAGCATCCTGAGCCACCTTTCTTTAACCCTTTCTTTACATTTACCACAAGCTGTTCATCAGCTACAGATACTCGAAGATGGCACCTCAAACGCGCAAGAGAAACTACAACCAAAGTACAACGAAAGATACATCTGTGGAGAAACCGACATCGGAAGAAAAGCGCAAGCTGCCTGTAAGAGCCAAAGACGGTGACTCCAGTGACGGTGCGACGCCAACTTTAACGGAATCAAAGGGTACCAAGGTGGTTTTTGGAGATGACGACAATGACAACCCGGCGCCTCCCCCTGTGGTAGTTCCAAAACCTGCTGCGCCGGTAGAGGAGGAAGATGAGGAAGACAATAGTGACGATGAAGCGCCTGAGGCCGTATCAACTTCTAAGGTGGCGTCTGATATCAAGAAATCCAACCAAGCAGCTCAGAAAGCTGCCCAGGAGTGAGTTTCGCCGGTCTTGTTATTTCATGTTCTGGAATTTCTAACCTGCGTCCAGGGAGGCTGCTGTACAGAAACGCAAGCGTCGGGAAAGGGATGATTTCTTCAAGCAGCAAGCTGAAGTGCGCAAGAAGTTTGAGGAGCAAGAGAAGGCTGGGGGGAATGAAGAAGCTTCCGTCGAAGAGGAGCCTGCACAGTCGCTCATCCAACGAAGCAAAGCAGAGAAAGCGGTGAACCTGTTACCCGCCGAGTTTTTGACAGATTCCAGCGAGGACGAGGCCGACGGGGTTGATGATCAACCAGAGGAACGTCCAAGGAAACGCCGTGTTGCCACTGTGGAAAGAAGCCTGGCCCGCCAGGAAAGGGGACCTAGGGATGAGCGGGTAGGCTCAACCGTCTACCGCGTTGCTAAGAAGACAGATGAGAGGATGGCACCTAAGTTGAAGAAGCATGCAAAGAGCTCTAAAGATATTCTCTTGAAGAGAAACCGGAGTGTCACAAAGCAACGGTCTGGTTTCTTCGTCAGGTAGAGGAATAACCAAGTATCAGTTCTTTGTCACGTCAGTTCGATACCATAATACCATAGCTAGGAGTCATTCTGCTCAAAATACTACAATCGTCTTTTTCAGAACCAGCAATTCGTTCAGTTGTCCTCTATTAGCAGTAGTTACGACGCGTCCATCAACAAGAGAAACTATAGTCTTGAAACGAATCGTAATCTTTTAGTGCCATACCATGGAGAGTTCTACAGTTATACATATATTCGAAGATCACTCTGCTCGGCGAAACAGGTATCCGTACTATCGCTAACAGTTATTGTGACAAAGCGAGCCCCATGCATCGTCTGATACCATTTGCCTTGAAAAGCTTAATGCCCTGGACCATGACCAAAGTGTGAATCCCAAGACGAGACCTGCAAGCCGAAGCTAGGGCTGCATCGAAGTAATATCATTCATTAAACTGTAACTAACCAACATGTGGAAACTTGATGAGCTTGGCCGATAAGGTGCAGATGTCTATGCTATGTACAGTCACAATCTACATCTGGACCAAATACGGCGTATGCTTTAGATCGACATACCTAAGTTGGAAATATCTAGGCATGCTTGTGCTCAGTTACCCACAGTTGTTACTGCCCGATTTGCGTAAATTATTTGGATCGGCAAGCGAGATTTTGGGTATGCGTGGTACGCAACATCTGTAGCACTCGATACGACTGGTACATTGGCGTTGGCATTGAATAGAGCACACCTTCGACGAAGGTATAACAGAGAAGATCCATAGCGCCCGGTGCAGCGCCGTTTACACTAACTCAATACAGGCACGCTGACTGCATTGAGACACTGACCATTCCGAAGCAGATTGAGGTGATGTCGGGAGCTTTCGACAAACCAGCTTAGCATCTCGTCCTGTCATCCGAACCCAGTCCCTGGCGAGTGGGCTGCATCTCAGACACGGAAGGAAACGATTCGATCAAGTCTAGCAAGTCTCAGCCAGGCACTCCAAATGAGTTGACTCTCCGCACCAGAGTGGAGTGAAATGGAACATCTTCAGTGGAAACGCTACATCTGGCCGAAACGCTCGAGGCACTTTGTTTAAAGGCCCTGGTCCATGTCTGCTCCTTCGGAATTGGGAGATATGCTCAAGTAGCGTCCCTGCCGGGGAAGAAGGGATGAAACGTTAAAGGTCAGAAACATGCGGTAACTGCAGGCGTTGAGTTTCGATAGCGATGATGGTAGGATGAGCTACTGCGTAGAAAGAGCGCAACCGATACTACATGAAATGTGAATCAGTGGCTTTCAAGTTGCACGATATGGCATCATATATGTTTGCTTCTCACCGGTTACCCATCACAGCTCCTGCAGGGCCTACACCTGGTCACTCGCTTCCAAATGAACCTTGGCGATACGTACGGTACTGTGGAAGAAACACCTGATGGGTCCGAAGCAATAGTTTCAACGTCCCTGCACTTAAGTCATATAATACGGCACATATAGCCTCTGCAGCACTACTAATCCCAACGGTTGTTCTGGACGAAGCGACGTTGACGACTGCAATACAACGTAGAACATTGAGCTTCGCCTTTTAGGCGAGTGAAAGCAGGGCGGGTCATCAAACATAATATTTTATGATTCTCGTTAGGACTGCGAACATAATTGAAGTTTGATACAATTGTGAGGCTTTCCCAGCATGGATTTACCCTGTGGTCATGCATAAACTGAGGAAGTGATTCGCAGCTAATATTTTATGTGTCGTAAATCATAGAGATTGATTTACCCGCTCTCTCGTGTAGGTCTGACAAGACAAGAAATGCTGACTGGTTTCGGGAGATCGACGCGAATTATTTCAGCGCCCTGACTCATGTCTTCAGCTCAAATTCAGCAATTTGTACATTTTCGCACCAGGTGGTCGAGTTCAAAAGTCCATGGAAGAGGATTTCGACCAGTCAAAAGCTCAACTGATCTTGGCTAGTTTGTTTCTGGAATAACCCCGGACGGGGAGCACAGCAGGCAGTTAGCCACGTGGGAGAAACGTGACAGTAACTGTCATGTACCTAGGAAGACAAACATGCGCACATGCAGGTAGGTTTGCAACAGATAGTTACCTTCGTTAAACAACCGCCAAGTTTACAAGTTCAATATATGTTGGTGGACCACAGAAATATGTGGAAGATATGCCAGGGACAGGAAATCAGGGTTAAAAAAAAATAAAAATAAAAATAAAAAGGGAAAGAAAAAGACAGAGAAAAAGAGAAAGGCATCAGCCGTCCCCAGAGAAATCGTCATTATTGCCCTGGCTGGATACATGTACGTGATGGCAAAAGCAAACGCTTCCCGCGAATCGATTCTACGGACGAGATAGCATGGCAGGCTGAAAGAGGAGCCGAGAGCTGTAGGGCATTCCGAGCACGATTTGCGATTTGTTCCTCTGCGAGCTAACCAAGCCACAAGCAGGCCGCTATGGGCACAGGTGGAAGGGTCCGTGCCAAAATCAATGTCAATGCCAAGCACCTATCTAAAGATCACGAGTCGTTGGAAAACGATCTGAAGGGCTGTGTGGCGTTTTAGTTGGATCCAGGCGATATGGTTGCCCGACTTGTAAACTTCGAGAATGATCATTCTCTGCAAGGGGGTTCTGTTGTGAGCAACTGTACAGTTGGGAAAGGTCGGAGACGGTTCCGTTGTGTTGATATGATATTATAATGGATATGTTACCATAAGAGCATTGACCCACGATACCTGAAATCCATCTCATTATTAACGGTGAGCTAATTATTGCCATTTATGCCAGATTCTAGGCTAGCATGGTTCTCCCGGCTTTGTTGATGTATTGCCTCTTTTTGTGTGCAGAGTCCCGAATGACTTCTGTTGTTTGCTTGTACTATTTCATCCATCTGAAGAAGGCTGCACGATGAGGCACTCAAGGGCAACCACCAGCCCTTCTGTATGGGCAAAGGGGACAACTCATCCTTGGCCTTGGAACACAGGCAGCTGCTGATGATCTCACAACAAATCAGCTGAATCGCGGTTGTCTGAAAAAACGTCCACCGTTACTTTGAGCCGGCATCCTCTGTAAGGGATGCGTGAATCCCAGGGTCCAGCCCATCCCCTCCCTTCCGCCTTCGCCCCTCAGAAGTTTCCTGTGACAAGTTGCTTGTCCACTAACTTATTAGCTCGTGTCTGCATGTTCCAGTTGGCTGTCGCACCGACTGGTTCGCCCCATTCCAGCAGCCAGCAGCCCATCACCATCAATTAACTTATGTAGGTAGCTTATTAGCGGATAGAACATTCGTTGGAAGCACCATCGAAGCACGCTAACCTGTACATCCATATGCAAGCCAATATGATATGACGCTGTGATCTCATGTCCTGACCTGACCGCTATTGTAATTCGGTGCAGAAGCATTCAATACATGTTTCTAAATTGACAATTTTGCGGCTGGCATAATCAGCAACACGAAAATCAAGTTCAGTATATATTCCTGCGGCCAACCCCATGTTGTGGATCATCTGCCCCCCAGAGTGCACCTAGGCGAGATCAAACCGTACCGGGTATCACAAACTTGGCAGTTGGGGAAAGAATCTGCATTTACCTCTCGCATCTCGTAGGGTCCAAGCGCAAAGCCGTGGGAAAACAGCACTGAATAAAGGTGAGATAATGATCAGGGTGAACAAGACTATATCATCATCGCTATGGAAGCATTCCCTAGATACGCGGGACCGCAGCTTCGAGTGAAGCTTTCCCCTATCTAGATTTCGGCGTGGGAAGCGGAGAGGATTACCATTGATGGCGCCATGTCCCTTTGCGGATCAAAGTTAGTAGGGGTTAGTTCTGATGTATTTTGAGCAAGGGGGGCTCCATCACTGCGTTTTCTCCAAGACTGGGCTATTGTCACTGTCTTTCGGTCATTGCTGCATCACTGCCCTATTTATACTCGCTATTGAAAACGTGGACAATTGTTGCCGTTGAGGCTCCTGCACTCGTAGCATCTTGCCATGTGTAATCTGCAAGGCACCTTAATCAGAGGCCTACGATTCCAAACCCCTCACTGATATGTTTTAGGCCTTTCTTCAACACCAGGATTGAGATTCCTCGAAGAATGCTAATCCTGCAGGCACTTATCCGTCGCGGATAGCTGCCGGGGAGCCCCCATCCAATCAAACGGTTGGACTGAGACTCAGCATGGGTAACCCTGACGAGGAACATTCAGGGGATGCAAGACAACGTTATCAAGGTTAACAGAAGGACGCTGTCTCCAACCCACAACGTCAACGCCACGATGGTAACACCTTCACAACAGGCAGGATGCTTTTACACAAACTAGAGAAACTCTTCTTCTTCCCCTTCTGCCGTCTCCTGTGACGTCGTGGCGGTGATGTTGCAGCCCCAGCAGGCCGGGGAAGCTCGAGGCCTTCTAGAAGCCCAGCCATCAGCCACCAGCAGAGCTGAGGATCGTTTCTTGTGTGTCTCGGAATACGTGCGTTTCATAATAGGAACGAACTTCTCCATTACCAAGAAATGGTGGCATTCTGAAACACACAGGGCATGACTTCGTTTTGTTCTGTCATGTTTGCCCGCTTTTTCCCCATCTTGCAGTTGTGTGCGACTGTTTCGGCAGACCTGCACCAACTGAGATTTCGTCACAGTCAACTTCCCGTCTACCCTGTCTTGGATACATTATACATACATAAGTCATAACTGTTATCGCTTGTGGCTGCATTCCGAATTAGTCGAAGAATCTGGCGAAATCCTGCAGGGGTGCAAGTTCAACGAACCTGAGGGGTTTATGATGATTCTCAAATACCCTTGTTTGACTAACTATACAGTGTGGATGTATCAATTTGTTTCTCTTCCTGCAGACGTCCCTGGTCTTGAACCTGTCTCTTTGAAGGTTATTTTGATGTAGACTCTGTAGTCGAGATTCCATTCTTCAGATTTGGCCAGCCTAGTTCACCAATTTCAAGCCGCTCTTATGTATCAATTATTGTTCATTTGCCAAGTCACAGTCATGGCAAGTTGGTCAGTCAGTTGTTTCATGCTGCACTGCCATCCTACACGGAATTAGTTGTCAAGTTCTTACTTGAGTCAGCTGTGAAGCGGAGAGTCCAGTTTCCGGTATTAAATTGAGTTCCAGATGGATTATTCTAGGCTGAGTGACTATGTCATACCGTATCCAAATACCTGCAGACTCGAAGAATGTTAACAGATGAATACCCTGTATGTTTTCGCGATGGTGTATTTAACCATGGTAGCTTGGCTTGCCAATCAAGGCTGATGCTCGCTGGGCCATACTACCTGCAATCTGGCTCACATGGCCTTGGTGAAGCGAACGCAAGTGTCTGTAGACCAGTAAACGCTGGTTCCCGACGTTAACTGCGCGTAAATGTCCTGTCTACGGTACGTTGGGGATGAAGACATTCGTATGTGGAGAAGCAAGTGAGACAGCATGTGGCCTAGTGCCTGGCAAGGAGACCTGATGCTCGTGCGCGTGCCCTCCTGACTTACACCATGATGTTAAACTTGGAGACTTGTTAATTCGAAGGTGAGTTTAACGGCGATCATCGACTTGACCAAGCCACGCGAATCAAGTACCGCCCGAGTTGATTTTTAAGACCCCTGAGTTATGCCCTTGGTAGCTCTGGTGGAAGGTGTCTTCAGATCTGGATGGGATTGAATGACCATCCAAGACGCTTGCTGTCCCTACCTAAAGGAGCTCCATCCAACGCCATCAGGTATAGACAGACACAGAGAGTCAAGAGAGTGCACTGACTGCGTGGTGGCACAGGCTAGAGTCGAGCAGCGTGGATAGTCACATCAGTGATCTCCCCTCCCATAGGAAGGAGGCTTCCCTGGATAGGGCAAGTCGCTCGCTAGCCGGGGCAACCAAACGCTTGGATGGAGCTCAGGCCCCGACAGATCCCATCCCCTCGCGTTTTTGAGGAAGGCCCTTGATTTTGGAATACGATACCGAGTTGAAATGCTCTGAAGGCTCGACTCAAGAGAACCTACGAGTGGAGTTGACCTGTAAGGGAAGCTCGTTTCTTCCCCGAAAGCTCGCACTTCCCCGAATATTGACCCTTGGATAGATTGTATGGCAGTTGTGGTTGGCCCGCCTCATCGGCAGGCTCCCGTCCATCCTTTCTCGAGGCCGGGCAGCTGGGAGCCGAAAAACACCCAACCTCTACGGGACCTGGGACCTGAAAGCTGGAAAAGCCAGGGGCAGAAAAGCGTTAGAGATGAAATGCCGGGTAGGCGCCTGAGGGGAGGCCACCGGGGAATCGATACAAGCCCCCAGCTTGGTTTGATACATCCATGCTTTGTGGTGGTGGTGACTGTTCGGCTCTGAGCGCAGCCCTGGCTCTGAGTCCTGGGGGTACCCCTGTCAGAAGCCCGGGCCTTTTTTTGTGGTTGTACAGGGGAGGACCCCTGCACGCTTAATGGGAGATCCACTAACCTGTCCGGCCACCGCGAGAGCGACAAACTAAAAACCAGCAACCCTAGTCCCCGGGAGAAGGGGTACAGAGTGGAAGTTGACGGTTGGTAGCGTACCTAGTGACCGGTGCAAAGTCATTCAAGGCGCCCCCCAGCGAGAAGGTCCTAAAGAACAGGCCAAGCTCTGAAAGGGAGGTCCTCCGTCTCTTAATAGGCGGTACCTGGCACCAAGCATCTTAGTACCAAGCCCAGGAGTCCTGGATTGGATTGGATTTGGTGCCACTCAAGGTTCATGGCCTGGTCGTACGGTGCAAATCAAACTACCATCCATCCATTTCTCTTTTCCATTTCTTTCTCATATAGCCCACCACGCCCATACCTTACTTCCTTCCACTCTGGCTCTTGCTCTTGATGCTTTAGTAATTTCGTTTCTTTTCTCGTCTCAAATCTTTCCCTTTTCTCTCCTTTCCTCCATCAGGAGTCAACCTCCTAGAAGCAGACAGACCGTGGGATCGTCTATTCTAATAAAAAGAAACGAATCTGCCTATCAGCGAGCGAGCGCAAGATAGACGAGTCTTATCGCCTCAACGACTCCGGATACCACCCGCCGAATTGGTTGTTCTTTCATTCACCGAAAATCTCCGTCTTACGAGCGCCTAGAAAGCAAAAGCAATTACATTGTTCGAAGATTGCCGTTGTGAGACGATTGTGACTTTTGTTTCTGTCTGTGGAGAAGTGATTCTGGGCCAACTTACCCAAAGTGAGTGATGACCAAGGGCCAGCATCACATCGCGCATTGCTAAAAAGCAAAGCCAGAAACATCACAGCCCGACCTGTCGCAAATCGCAACCGGCCGCAAGCGACCTCGCACAGTTAAACGTTTATTCCTCAGAAAAGCGGTGCCGCACAATTGTCTCTTCACCCTTTTCGCCCCGACATCCTGTTTTCTCCCTCTTCTGATTGGGTTTGATTTTGTTCTTGCAGTCAACCGGTGCTTGACCTTATCACATAGCCCATTACGATCGCGGAGTCTTTACCTCGATTTGCCGTTCTGGAAATTTTTGACGTCGCATGGATTCCCGCCCCTTACTCTTTAAGTTCAGCCGCCCTTGACCAGCAATTCCTCGATCACCCAGAACCGTCGAACCAGTGCTTGTCTTACAACACAATAACCAGAGACACCGCGAAGAAAAGGTGTCTTATTTAAATGTTTCGCAGATTACGGAAAAACCAGGATCACAATACTACATCGAGTCAAGGACGGGACGACGACAAGGCAATTGCCACAAATCTTCGAGAACTTGGCTTGGTTGGCTCACGCGCATCCAGTCGAAGACCCCGAACTGGCACAGACTCCAAACCTTTTACAGAAGGACAGTCCATTAAAGCCAAATCTCTCCGCGGGCAAGACTCAGTCTCCTCCGCTGGCTCAGTGAGGTCAGGCGTTAGCAACGCTTCCCGTCGAGTTGGCAGTATCGACAACAACGTCATGGCTACTAACGCTGATAGAAGTCGCTCACGACGAGAGCGCACATTTGTGGGAAGCGAATGTGCAGTGTGTGAAGAGCCGCTTGAACACACTCTACGCGGCGAGCGCATCCTACAATTTTCTTGCTCTCACGTCTCCCACGAGGCATGCTTCTATGAATTCATTCGCGAATTCGAGTCACAATATTGCCCGACATGTGACGCACCCCTCCACTTAGACACAAGTCGAGGAGGAAACGTTATAGATATTGGTTTGCTACCTGTCCTGGTACAATTGGAGCGACATACTGACATATGTATAGAGAAGATTAGCAACATGGTGCGTTCGGTCGGTACCGATTCGAGGTCCGCTATGACGCCAACACCAACAGCAACCCCTTGGGATAACCAGCCAGCTCGAGCTCCCAGTGTCGAGAGCAATCAAAGGCGTCCTATGCAGCAACAACACGTCGGAGGCCGTGACAGCGTTGCTCGAGGTAGTATGAGGGATAGTCGAGATGCCCCACTATCAGATCGATATGGTCCTTCGAGGCATGCTCGAAGTGACAGTGAAGCCACAGGAGTTGCATCATCCGGCGGATATCCTGAGACAACACAAAGCGGACCTGCCAGACGCCATGACTACGATGTCCAAGCGATGGAGACAACACCTGCAAGCCCTAGACCAATGACCCGCAACCCTATTCCGGCGCCGATTGTCACTGTTCGCTCAGAGTTCCCAACATTAAACCGGTCACGACAACAACAGACCCTTACATGTCTGGTTACTGTCGAGGTGCCTGATAATAATTGGAGGCCGGATCCTGAAGATTTGGGTGCTGCAGCTCCTCTGCCTCCTCCTACCACCAACCGTGCTGAGGAGGCATATGGCCGCCCACCATCTCCAGCTCGCAGTGCGCCTCGTTTCTACCCATATGAATCCACGGAGGTTTTGGAAGAGATGACCGATAGTCTGCGCAACCGCGTTGATAATTGGCACGGGCTGGACTTTAGCAGGTTAGTGGCGGCGCTTCACTTTCATTAGTGGGCGATCATCGTTAGTATGAACGAAAAGGCTAATTTTTCTGCAGATTCGGAAAATTGAGGCTCTATGGTACCCTCAGGGTGGGTAAGGATAAAGTCTCATGGCAGGAGTTGGAATGTTTCCTCTTCGCTGAGATGCTCATTTGCGTTAAGGAGAAGAAAATCCCTCAAGCACAACAGTGGGATGAGAATGGCGCTCCGCGCAAGACAACTCGATGCACTCTCAAGGGCTCAATTCTTATTAAGAAGCACCTGAATGAAGTATCAGAGACGGGAAATATCGATGAAAATATCCTGACACTCAGCCTCTCGGTTGCTGAATTACCACAGTTCCATCTCCGTTTCGAGAACCGCAATCAATTGAAGTTGTGGCAGCAAGCTCTTCTTGACCTTAACGCTGTTGAGACATCTCCTGTACGCAGTCCCGAATATGATCGCGGCGAGTCAGAAACTGACGAGGAACTTGAGTGGCAGCGTTCGCGCCCACAGAGAGTCTCTTCGGTTGCATCCTCCTGGGGTGGCGCGAGATCAACGACGACAGCACCCACCGACTATACGAACTTCCCCAGAAGCCCTGCCATGGCGAAGTCGGTCCATGTACCCATTGATGTCGTCGTCGTCGTGCCCATTTCTTCTTCTATGCAGGGCGTCAAGATCAACCTGGTCCGAGATGCCCTGAAATTTATGGTAAACACACTTGGCGAGCGTGACCGTATGGGACTGGTCACTTTCGGTTCAGGCGGCGGCGGCGTGCCTATCGTTGGCATGACTACCAAGGCCTGGCCGGGCTGGAGCAATATCCTGACATCCATCAAGCCGGTTGGCCAAAAGAGCCATCGCGCTGATGTCGTGGAGGGCGCCAATGTTGCGATGGATCTGCTCATGCAAAGAAAGTACAACAACCCTATCGCATCTATCATGTTGATAAGCGATGCGTCTACCTCAGACGCTGATAGCGTTGATTTCGTCGTGTCCCGAGCTGAAGCTGCTAAAATCACCATCCACTCATTTGGCCTCGGGATGACACACAAGCCTGATACCATGATCGAGTTGTCAACAAGAACAAAGGCTTCTTATACTTATGTTAAGGACTGGATGATGCTCCGAGAATGCCTCGCTGGATGTCTAGGGAGCATGCAGACCTTGTCTCATCAGAACGTCAAGCTTAAGCTCAAGCTGCCCGAGGGTTCTCCTGCCAAATTCCACAAGATTAGTGGTGCCCTGCAAATTACGAAGCGAGCTACGGGCAGAGATGCGGAAGCATCCCTCGGCGATCTTCGATTTGGGGACAAGCGTGATGTTCTTGTACAACTTGTCATTCTTCCTGACAATACTTCCCAAGAACAACTCCCTCAAGATCCCTGGGATAATATTGTCTCGGGTCTCGAAGCACTGGGCGGCCCTATGGACAACGACAATGAAAGAACTCTCTCTGTCGAAGAGGTTCCATTGATCCAAGCAGACCTTAGCTGGGGGGATATCCTGCGCGAGGGTACTGTCACACATATGCCTCGGCCATCTCTTCTGGCCATCACCATGCTTCCAGTCAGCGGAGGATCCAAGAAGGCATGGCAGAATTCCCCTCCCATCCCTCCTCACCCAAGTATTGTTCAGCGCCGTATGGAGCTCCTCACTTCTGACATGCTTACCCGTGCTCTCACCCTGGTCAGCCGCGGCCAACACGACCGTGCCCACACACTATTGAATGAGACTCGATCAATTCTGAAGGGTCTCGGAAAAGGTGGACTCCCCCCCATCCCCCCTCCAAGCAAGTCGACTCCTTCGGCTCCCTCTACTCCCCATCCCGCGAACGACGCTTCGCCAGGTCAATCAACCACTCCCGATCGCAAACGCAGCCCTTCACCGCCTGCTTCGGCAATCTCTGGTGTAAATGGCCTCCCCTCCTCGCAATTGGGCCGTAGCCGATCTAACGATGGCCTTGGACTTGGTGCTGGAATTGACGCCAATACTGTCGCAGCCCTTGATGCTGAATTAGAGAGCAGTCTGGAGTGGATCAACCATCCTGCTGTTTTCAGTCGCGACAGTAGAAAGGCCGTCCTGCAGGCAATCGGTGTAATAAGCTCCCAGCGAGCTTTCACGTACCGCACCCCTATCGAGGGGCTATGGGCTTGCCGCGTTAGCGGTGTCAAGAAGCTCACGGAGAAGAGTCGAGAATGGCGTGAGGATGGTGGCGGCGAGGGCGGAATCACAGAAGAATCTTGATCTTCATAATCATTATCGCCCATTTCCTCTTTCTTCATTTACTGTCATAGCCGAAATAGCGCTCTGGTTCTATTTTCAGCATGACTAACGACCGATCATGACCAAAACATTCAGATGCTTCCCACGCTATTACACATGCATTTGTTGCTACTGCTACTTTATACTCGCTACTTGCTTTCTTCAGTCGATGAAGGGATGCATTATCTCTTCCGGCTTCCCTCTGGAATTGTTCGATACCCCTGGAATCTACCAACTATCTGGCGCACATTCGACCTTATGCTCGTAGTATATACCTGCTTCATCATCTTGCATTAATAGATCTTTTTCTGATTCGCTGCAATCGGTCAAATCCAACTTTACCTGTGTCCTGCGATATTGCCTCGATGATGTTCCATGGTTCGCATTTACTTGTGGAGTATGTTGGAAAACAGCCTGTTACACTCCTGTCTTCTGCTGGTCCTTTTGCATAATGGGGTCTACTGATGTGCTGGACAACCTTTTTCTGCCTTTCATATACTGCGTTTCTGGATTATCTGCACATGTAAATAGTCATAAGCGGGAAGGGACTTAACGAAGTCGATGCATGAAAATACTTAACTTGATATTTTACTGTTATGACCATTAATTAGAAGCGACAATCTGAGCTGTCTCGTAAACCTCCTGCCTGTTTGTTTTCGACAATAAATGGGGGTTAGAAATCACTGCCTTGCATGAAGGACCCTCCTCATCCGCAATAGCTTTGTCATAGCATCTGAATTGGTTATTGAACTTTGAAGTCCACAATTGCGGTACCAAGTCTGACAGAACTGAGTGATCCAAGTAGAGGGCACAGCAGAATTTACAACGGGCTACTGGACAAGCTTAATAAACATGTGCACATGCTTTGACTCTTATCTGAGAGGATATCTAACCAACCACGACACCAGGTGATTGTCACACATATCACATCCATTGCCCATTTTGAACTTTTTAGTTTTATCCATTTAGTCCTCGTCCCAGTTCTGTGGGGTTTGATCAGTCGAAGCTTCTTATAGAAAAGGGGAAGGGAACTTACAGGGTTGGGTCCAGGGGGCTTGGGTCCTCCAGCTTGTCGTGCCACGATGATCTGGTCAACAGACAGAACGGTGCGGGCGGCTTCCGTGGCAAGTTTGATAGCCCATTGCTTGGAGATGAGAAGATCCAGAATACCTTCATCCTTGGCATCGATAGTACCAGTGTTATCATCGTTCTGTGGCATGGGTTAGAGACGGATTCATCATGGATGGATCAAAACGAACCTCAATATCAACGCCAATATCCCAAGCGTCACTGTTGGCATGGGCAGCGTAGAGTCGGCTGAGAACCTCGGTGGCGTCAAGTCCGGCGCTCTCAGCAATGGTGCGAGGCACAACCTCAAAAGCCTCGCCATACTTCTTGATGGCGTACTGGCTAAGTCCGGGAGTCTTCTCACCGTGAGCTTGTATCCTTTCAACCAGCTCAACTTCTGTAGCACCAGCACCAGGAACCAATCGCGGGTCGCGGGTAATGGCTTTGACGACGTTGACACCATCATCGACGGCGCGCTCAATATCATCAAGGTGGTTCTGGGTTGCTCCTCGAAGCACAAGGGTGGCGGTTCGAGTAACCTCATCCTCCTGGCGGAAGACTGTAACTCGGTCACCACCGATCTCAAGGGTCTCAACAACATCGATGCTTCCCATCTCGTCGGGCATAGGAGCCCCTAACCTCGCCAGGGGGGTGGCACCGACAACGCGGCAGACTCTTCGAAGTTCGAACTTGCTGAGAATTCGGATGCACAAAATTCCGAATCGGTTCAGATAGTGCATCGCCAAATCGCCGACACGTTCACCACAAACAACAACTCGGAGGCCAGAGTCGTAAAGTTCCTTGATGGAAGTCTCAAGTTGAGACTCCTCACCCTTTGTGAAATCCATCATCTCTTTGGCGTTGTGCAGGAGAACAGTACCCTTGGTCTCGGTTTGACCAGCGTCAATCGGACAGGTGAAGACACCAACCTTGGCGCGGCTGGCCTTCTTGACAGAACCGTCAGGCTCCTTAGGGAAGACCATGCCCTTAACGACCCTGCTCTGCTCCAGGCTTCCGCCCATGATCTTGACCACACGGATATTGTCGACATTAAAGTTGGCGGGGTTCTTGGGGAGAACATTGAGGACAGCCTCGGCAACAAGATCGGCAAGGAATGTCTCGTTTCCGTTTTGCTTGCTGGCAATAACCGTGCTGATTGCCTTGCTCAGCTCTTCCTGATCCCGCATATCCTCCACTTTGTCAACAGCAAGCTCTTCAAGGGTCTCAAGAGCAAACTTCTGGGCCTTCTCATAGCCGATGACGATGTCTGATGTCTTGAGGCCCATGCGCAGCAGATCCTCTGCCTTTCGAAGCAGCTCGCCAGCGAGGACAATGACAAGGTTGGTAGCATCGCCCATCTCGGCTTCTTGTTGCTGACTAGCCATGACGAGGAGCTTGGCGGCGGGGTGGACAACGTCGAGTTCGCGTAGGATGGTCGCAGCGTCAGAGGTAAGAATCATTTTTTGCAAATGGTTGATGACAACCTTGTTGCGGCCATAGGGGCCAAGCGAGGTCTGAACAGTGGACGCAATCGCTCTGCAGGCGTCGATATTGCGAAGTACAGCACCATCTTCGGAGTCGTAGCTATTGAGAAAGAGATAGAACTGTTAGTCGGATTCATAAAAGTTCATATCCTGATTGTCGTGATCATGAAAGTGGCATTTGTAAGGAGACAAGTAAAGAGGCGGGGAGCTACCAGCACAAGGAGGGGAGCAACTCACTTGTTATAACCTTGCTTAAACAAGCCCGCGTTAGGGGCGTTGGGGATATTGAGCGACATCTTCGACGGCCACAGCGCTCAGGAGGCGACGTTCTTGGTTGTGGCTGTATAAGATATGTCGTCAAGTATGTGTCTGGTTTGACAGTCAAGGTGATACTCCTGTTGATGGATAGATTTCGCCCACTAGCTTCAGTGTCCCACCACCCCAAGTCAGAAAAACTTCCACGGGGCGATTTAGTGGGTAGTAGGTACGTACCCGGCTGCCTGCACTCAGAGCTCGCTCCTGCTCGGGCGGTACTCTACCTTACAAGGATGAATACAGTTAATTGCGAATGAGTGGGTGCCGAGTCTGAGGAGTTTCGAAGGCAAGCAAAAATCGCTTATATTATTATATTCGAGAATCCCGGATCAGCTACCTAAGGTACTGGAAACCTAACCTAGCAGCCTAGGTGCCTCATAAGCATTCTTGCTGATAACAGCCTCAATTTGAGGGGCAGATTCAAGGGTCTGGCTGCCCAATCAGAAATGGTCTGCGCCACACCCCCTGAAGGAGTCTTTCAGCCTTGCATGCCGTTGTGGCTAACGAACACGCCCGCGAAGCCTTGGTGACGGGAACAGACTGACACCGTCCAGGTTTGCGACTCGTGATGGCTGATTGACACACTTACTTTCAACACCTTTTTATACTGATACCCACGACCAGCGCCATAGGTACTAGCTCCTCTCGCCTTGGTGACGAAGCTTCTTCTCTGTCTCGTTGCCTGATCGATTTCAGCGTTCATCAATTACAGATTCCAGTGGACACCGCCCATCAGTGAGTGATTCAGTGAGCTTAACAACCTGGCGAATCGTCACGCGTCAAGCAATCACTCCTGAACTCACAGCTAACTTCGACAGTCGACGTCGCAATTATCTTTTCTCGTCTCATAATCGAATCTTTTCCAGCAACATACATACCAATCGTAGAGACCATATCATTAGCTGTGATTCATACCTGCCTAGGTAGCTAGCCAACCATGCCCGGTAAGTCATTCGCCCATGACAGAATCGCTCACTGCCAACGATCGCTCCTGGTGGGTTCTGTTGGTTTGCTCCAACCCTCAAACTCACGGCTCAAGTTAAGGCTGAGGCACATCCCTTACGCCATCTACCACACGATCCTCATTTGCCCTGCGCTTCACAACCACACTCTTCTCCTTGTCGCGCAGTTCCTGTATTGTTTTCACGGCTCTCTCATCATCACCCTCGCCTCCACATCAAACGCGCAGCATGCCCATAACACTCAAGCGCAAGGCATCAGAAGCTGACCTGCCTCCTCGCACTCCAGCGATTCCTTCTACACTCCCTCCTTCCGTGGAGGAGGCCTATCGTCGAAAATGTGTTCAACTCAAGAACCGCACCAATGAAGTTGAAGACGCCAATGATGCCGCCCGACTTCGTCTTGCTCGTATCAAGCGCCAGGTTGAAAAGTTGCGAATAGAGCGCGCGTTTCTACTCGAACAGCTCGCAAAGCGCACGAGCGCAAACGTCGAGGACTCAGACGGCAGCCCAAGCCCACCCCCTACGGTATGCTATTATTTTCTTCCCATCCCTCTTCTCCCTTTGCCTGGCAATCCTCTACCGGCCTGCCGCGCCTCTACTACTTACGGCGCCCGGTTCAATGTTGATGCTTTTGCGCTTGGATTAGGACTACCAATTCACCATACCAAGTGAGTTAGCTAACCACCAGAAGCCCAAAGATAAGCCTCTGCGTACGAAGAGAGGCCACCGAAAGTCGATGATGCCTGATTCCGACTCGAAGGCACCAGTCGCTGCATCTTTTACCAACACCGCCGGCTCCCCAACCTCCGAAACCTTCTCACACCCCCCAGAAAGCCAACCGAAGCCGGCTCATGCCAACGGTATCTCTGCGAGCGATTCTAAGAAGCCCACCAGTGCATTCGAGCTGTTTTGCTTAGAAACACGGCCTGGTCTCGAGAGCAAGGAAAAGGACAATGAAATCCCTGTGAACATTGAGGATGAGCTTACTCGTATCTGGAAGGGTCTCTCTGATGGTGAGAAAGATGAATACGAGGCAAAATTCGAACTTGCAATGGCCAAGAGCGATGAATCGAAGAAAAGCCCCGCATCTGACAAGAAGGATGATAAGCCTGCTGAGTCAAAGCAACTCGTTCAGGACGAGGACATAGAGATGGGTGATGACACTGAGGATCAAGATACGCAGGCTGGCGAGAAAGTAGAGGAATGAGGACATCCATTCAATGTCTCTAGGGGCGTTTTGGCGGGTATACAATTTCGCATGTCATGACATCAACCCATGTACTAGTAATTAGATGCTTTTCACAACAAAGAACCAAGTTCCGAGAAAGGATTCACATAGATTAAGAAACGCAGTTTCTCCGCGCGCATCGTTCTTAGACCTAACCGCGAAGTCATCTATCTAATATCTGCAAATTTTACACGTACTCCTGGTCGCCTCGTTTGTGGGTTGTTATACCAAACTATAACACATACTCTGACAATATCAAACTCCGCTAGCTAAATTTGTTATTTCTTCTTCTCCTTCCTTCCCCAATGAAAGAATGGGTGAGATACCATGGTTGAACAAAAGCTTATTCGCCGACATATAAGTCTACTACAATATTGACAGCTGCCACTAGAATTTCTGCCGCAATAAGAACAATTACTGGCAAGGAAGTGGTTAGCATACTGCATGTGTCATAGGACGGCGCTTAGCATACCGATCCATTCAAGCTTCTCGTCATGGCCATGACTAAGCTCTCCTTTTAGCACAGCCAACAAATCTGCTATGACATCGAGACGTTCTGTCAGAAGTCCAACGCGCTGATCCATCTCTAAATAACTCCTGACGGCTTGGTACACGGGTTCGAGTTGGGGCTCTACCCAGAAGAGCTCAGGTGTATCGAGGACTGAGCCGTTGAGGTGGATGTTGATGCGAAGAATGAAAAGCTCTCCAATTTGCATGTTGATCTGTGATCGCCGAAGTGCAATTTTCCCTGTTGTGGCTATTTGTGTAGGAATATCTTTGCATGTATCGACTGTTGATGCAATCAGCTCTTCGAAGAGTGAGGTCTGCAAGCTGTTAGCAAATCGTCCCGATACAACTCATATTGGCAGGTTGACTTACTTTGACACTTTGCGCCAGTGCATGAGAAATAGCTAATTTCGTCATGTAGTTGTTCTTGTCGCGGAGAGTGATAAAGTCGTTATAGATACGGGCCTGATAATCCTTGGTGTAGTAAAAGTTGAACAACTCAGTCTCGACATCATCTGGGGCAAGCTTCTCCGTCTCAAACTTGGCGATCTCTTTCAGGAACCGGGCTTCTTGAGCTTCGGTCATTCCCCAGATGACAACCACTCCATAATCAAAGAGAAACACCTCGGGTGTATGCACCTGCGTATCAAAATCGGGATTGGTCTCGCTTATCGAGTCGTGATCTTCTATTGCCGAGCCCAGCAGATCTGCGCTGTCAATGTGAGAGCCATTACCGTTACCGTTAGCATCGTTATGGGCGTGGCCATTGTGGCCATGGGCCTCTGAACCGGCCTCTTCTGAATGCAAGTCAGCTAAGTCGCTCCGCTGTTGCGCGACATCAATGGCGTCACCTCCAGTTGAATGCCGGCGTTCATAGCTCTGAACTGGATCGCGACTGCGCGCGTTCTTGGCGGTATAATTATACGGCGTATATATGCATTCGTCGATGAGCTTGGGATTTGCGCCTCGGGTCTTTCCTCTTCCCTTTAGGAATCTCATCAGGGCTTCCATCTCGTATCGGTTTGCAGTGCAATATGCCGTGACACGCGGCAGTCGGTCTCGATCCGCTTTTCCTAGTTTCGCTGCATCTCTCCGCGCAGCAGGATCCTTGATACGTGTGTACTGAGAATAGACATCTCTTCCACTCTCCTCATCTTCAGGGTCGTCCAGGTCGGTGTTGGGAAGCAGCTTAAGCTTTTCCGTCTTTTTCGTACTGCGTTGAGGTCCAATTTTGGGCCCAAAAGATAGATTAGCAACTGCAGGTACCGACCCTTGGCTGTTCCGTCTCCTGAGCTTATTGTTCAGAGCTGTGAGCATGGGAGGGCCACCAGCGGCGCCGCTGACGGAGCCAACAGCATGATGCCCGGGGGATCGATGTTGAAATTGTTGTCGAGTAGGTTCAAAGGTTTTTGTAACAGGGTTGTCGCTGAAGGTAACTGATCGTGTTCCTTTGGGCCTGTTCTCTGTGGTAGGGAGTAATGGCGACGACTCATTAAGTACAGCGTCTGATGAGGTGGTATGGGGATCCATTTCGGTTTAAGCCAGTGAAGGTTGAAATGATGGAGTCGGGAAAATAAGTCGATTCGAATCTTTCAGGGCGCAAGTGATACACTGGTACTGCGGATCACTCCGCTAAGGACCGTAAAGATCGATTGAAATGATACCAAGGGCGTGGTCGGGTTTGAACGACGAAGGATTAATTGCGGTTGTGGTGTTGAGGTGAAGAACTTTCCTGGGGTTGATGGGTTGGTTACTGGTGCTAATGACGTCTGCCAAACTTCCGCGACCTGACGCGAAAAGCAACCTAATGATCCACCGTGCTCGCTTGAAAGCTCTTTGTGGGGCAGTTTGGCATCTCTCTTTTGAGCATACTATGTAATTCTACCTTGATATAAGATAAGCTTTTGGACCTCAGAAGACTCGAGACTGACTGTAAATAAGAGCGTAGGAAGACTGGTTGAAGATTTTACTAACTTTATCCTAAGAAATGCTAAATCTATGAAGGTATTTTTGTCGCCTCAGGTCGAGCTCTCAGGGTTTCTTCTACCATTGGTATAAGAAGGAAGATTTCATGGCATTTTGACGACACAAATATCAGTGACAAAGAAAGTCAATAGGAGTCACTGAGCTTGGCGAGTTATCAAAAACGTTCCATCTAAGAGTGAACGATGGCCGAATTTAGGTATGATGAAGCTTCCGCCAGTATATAACATTGAATGCCTGACCGAGAGCGAGCCTAGGTAATGTAAAAATGAAGGGCCAGCGACGTAAGAGCGTGAAACTGCAGATTGGCAACATATTTATCTAGGAGACGAAACATCAGTCAAGCAGATGATTTCCCTCATTGGTTTCGGGTTGAATGATCTTCGTCTGCGCAAAGGTGATGTAGCTCTGTTGTTCCATTGCTTCTCCATCGTATGCAAACGTCCTGTCTTTACTTTGCTAATTCGGGTTCAAGCATCAATAATCTTGACATCTGTCCTGAATCCAGACTTTTCCAAGCGGTCAACCAAACCTTGACCTAGGCACGCTGGTGTATAAGATCCGCCATCGAGCTCAATGTCGTCTTCAAGAATTGTTGCGGCAATCTCAGCAAGGAGCATTCCTGTCACTGTGGGCAAAACTGTCAATAAGAGTTCATGGCCGTTCTGCATTTCAAACTTACAGAAGTACATGCCACCATGATACCACATACGGCAGAAAGCTGCTTTGCCAGCAGCCTTCTCCGAATCTGGATATGCGATGCCACGATACTCGAGTTCATCTTTGGCCGTGTCATCACGTTTAGCACCTTCCCCAGGCTGATATACACGCTTTTTGAGAAAGTTCCTCAATGGTGCAACTGATACGAGTAAGATCCCACCGACAATAAGAAGCCAATGAATAAAGATCCCATGGAGCCAGTTGCGGGCTTTCATATGTTCTACCCAAACGAAATTGGGACCATAAAACTCATCTTTGCGGGATGGCGTAGAGGAGAGGAGACCCCAGGTACGTTCAACAACTGCAACATCGGTTGAATTCGTGACAGACGTGGTCTGGAGCCCAAGATTTGGTATGGTCCGAACGCCAAAAATCATCTGGAGAATGGAGCTCCTGGGCCGTGTGGGCTCGTTGTTGTGGGGGACAGGTGACTGGGCATACGGACTACTAGCCTCCTTGATCTCCTGGAGCGAGAAGACATCCCAGATGCTTAAGGCGGTAGCGAGTGTGCCACCGGATGGTGCCGAGCTATGACTCAGTTAGTTGTTTGAACTATACCTTCTTGTTCAAGAGCTGTACTCACTTGATTTTGTGGAGAGAAACAACCACATCTCTTGTCTGAGAGCCTAAGTCAGTACGAATAGCCTTGGCCATGGTCCATGTGATGAGATCAGCGGGAGCGGACTCAATTCCAGCTTGTGGAATCAAGATGGCACCTGTCTGTTTAGCAGTTGCTTCATATTTCTTGATCATCTTATGAACCCAAGCAGCTTCGCCGGTGACATCTACGTAGTGGGTTCCGGCCTCGGCACAAGCCTTATAAGCATGTTCACCGTACAGGCTATATGGTCCAATGGTGGTTACGATAATACACGTCTTCTTTGCCAGAACACTCAAATCGGCGTCGTTCAGGTTTACGACCTCAATGGCTAATTGTAATCATCAGCCTGTGGATTATATAGGATCAATAAGGAATATCGTTGGGCGGTACCTGGTGGCAGTCGATCAGGGTTGAGCTCCCGACACTCTTCAACAACAGCCTTTAGCTTGGGCTCGTTACGACCAGAGACTGCCCACTTGAGGTCAGTTGCAAGGTGCATTGAGATGTATTCAGCCGTCAATTTTCCCGTGTAGCCTTGGATATGGTCAGAATTTGGCCATAGTCTTACTTAAAGGCTCAACTAGAAGTAAGAACTCACCAGTTGCCCCAAGGACAACGATGTCGTATTGACGGCCATGATTCTTGACAAGGGGCATTTTCAATCGGCAATTGATTCGGGGAGGAATTAAATAAGACTTGATATTAGGGTCAATTGAAAGTAGACGGGAACAAAAACTTTATGTAGTCAATGTGAGTTGATAAAAGCGAGGTACTATGTAGGACTGCGTTCGAGACGGTCAAGTTGGGGTTACTGTCTTTGGTATCATGATGCCGAGGGACGATCAGTTTGGCGGTGGTGGCCAGGCACCCTTGTAGGTGCTCAGAGCGTTTATTCCGCTCCTAACATTAGGATCTTATCTCGATAAGGTGGCGCTCATCAACAAACTTGGTCCTGAACGAATGAGATTTGATGATGCCTTCACATGGGCTAGGTTGACATGATAGAATTTGAACTTGAGCGAGGAAGTGTAGCAAAGAGCTTCACTCCGTTATTAAAGCATATGCCCTTCAAGCTAACTGACAAAGAAGTTTATTGAAAGTATCTTTCCACCTCGAAGATTGACGACCCTAGGTACCTACCTCAAGAGACGTCTTCAAATGAAAGAGATCACGAGTCATGTTCGAACAAGATCTCCAGTCTCGCCGAATCGAAGCACGTGAGCCCATAGGTTTAAGGCTTTTACTTCGCCGAGGTTCTTCCGATCATGTCAAAAAAAATTCAAGAAAGTGGGACCCACTCGCTTCCTGAATGGGCTTGCCCTAAGGACCACAAGTTCTTTCCTCTGCAACATTCAGTGTCAGCCTCCAACAGTCGAGCAACATTCACCTCCGCCGTCTTTATTCCTTCCAAGACGTCCGACACATAACCTTCAAGATGACCAAGCGAACAAAGAAGGTCGGTGTTACGTATGTATTGCCCTTCAGCTCAAAACCAGAGCAACGACAGCTAACAAGTTCGCAGCGGTAAATACGGTACCCGGTAAGTTTCACGACGAAAATCCCATATCCGAAGCATATCGACAACGATTTCCCTCTGCTCTCTTCCGTAACGCTACCCGCGGCTCTCTTCCTGGTCCCGACAACTGTTTCAAAGGCAGGCGGTGGACTAGGGTTCGCACAAGCTAGGCCACAGACACAGATGGGGGAGTTCCACGAGTAGGCCAAGGGCAGCACGAGGCAGGAGGGGAGATTGGATACGCAACGACTGGGTAGACTGATACCACCGAAAACTAACATCTTGGTCTCTAGTTACGGTGCTTCCCTGCGAAAGCAGGTCAAGAAGATGGAAGTCACCCAGCACGCCAAGTACACCTGCACTTTCTGCGGAAAGGTCACCGTCAAGCGACAGGCTACCGGCATCTGGGATTGCAAGTCTTGCAAGCGCACCGTTGCTGGTGGTGCTTACACCGTTGCGTTCGTTCTTCCCACTCTATCGAATAATGCATATAAGGATGAACCACTAACCAAGAATAGCACACCTGCTGCCGCCGCCATGCGATCGACTCTGCGACGTCTCCGAGAGATTGCTGAGGTTTAAGGATGGACTCTAGCGGAAGGAGAAAACGGCTTTGCTTTTCGGTATGGTGTACGGGGGATATGGATTTCGTGCCTACACTACGAGTTGACGATCTGGACGTCAACACCCGATCTTCGATCACATAGAAGCCGATCGATTAGCAATGAACAAAAAAGAATTGCAGGCTTCGGACCCATTCAACAACTCTCCCGCCCCGTGCAAGTACAAAATTAACAGAACTTTGTTGTCATCTTTCAGCCATCACAGGAGTCTACCCATCGCCCAGAAACTGGACCAAGCGATTCGAACAGGCCGGCTCCCAAGTGTCTACATCATGAGCTCCATGTCAGGACCGTATCTTGCGCCGCAGCAGGTTCTCCGTCACTCTCGGCTGCGTACAGTGGGGCTCACAAGTGTGGTAGAATATTCTTTTTGAAGTAACCAGAGCCGATTTCGACAACATTCATGTCTGATCCGATTCCCCTCGAGGGACCTGAGCTGCGATATCTCTTCCTGCCTCGGATCAGCCTAAATATTTGAACTCTCTTAAACCCCATAGTACGACCTTGATTGGGCCCATTATTTTCTGTAGTCTGAACTTCTGAACTCTTAACAAGACATAGCTGGCAAGAGACACATGTTGCGGGCAGAAATATGATTCATGCGGTTTTCAGCGATAAAACACGCCCGGCTAATACACTGGGACATTGTCGAAGCAGCTAAGTAAAACGTATTGTGGAGGGCAGTATGATAAGTGGAAGTCATAAATACTCAACATGGACAGTGTCTTGCCACGAGATCTGACGGTAAGCCTGGTCTGTGGATGGGTTCTGACTTCATGGGCCATGGCAAGTTTGCATCATATCTTTCTGGGTTTCTGTATTGCACTAAATTTGGGTGCCTGCCGTCTCAGTGTTGATCTTCAATTGTGACTCAAGATACTGCCACCCTCGACAGTGTCTATGGATACGTATCTTTCACTCATTAAAGGTGTTGTGTTATTGTGCAGCCACCCGTGAATCTCCCTCGCTTGAAGCACTATTCTGTATTTACCAGCGTGCCAGGAGGGACACGGCAAGTTCTCCTTTGGTAAATTTATGTCGGACAGACTGACTCGTTCCTGAGATCCATTCTCTCGATGAGATTCAGCTTCTACATCAGTCGATAAATTCCACTTCGTTTCTTCCACTCTGAGTATATTTACTCAAGCTCCGCTGTATCTTGGCAGGCGTTCAAATTCTCCCTTGAGCAGAAACACAGTGTGCCTTGATCACAATACTTGCCTGCAATTAAAGCACCTCTTACACTTTCTTTTTGTTTGATGTTCATGAGCTGCCTCCTTCAATATTGAGTTATTAAAATAATATGTCTGATAGAGGTTGCTGACCGACTACGGTCTTGTGCATACCTACCCCTGTCCAGTGTAAATAGAACTACCTAACTTAGGACCATGCACTCACAGTCAATCGCGCCAGCTTGGAACAAAAAAAGACACCATTTGCTGGGCCGAATGACCAAGGACGGACGGTATCGAGTCCGGGACTCGGAAAACAGATGAGGGGAAGTCGAAGGGTAGAAGTCACGATGTTCTTCTACACAGCATAGGAATAGTATAAAAAGGACCTACACAGAAAGTATTGAGAATTAGCTACCTACCTACTACCTTGTGCGTTCTAACGTGCCTGTGTTCAAAATGCCTACCTCTAGGTACGGTAATCAAGCCTGACGCGACCAAGAGTCATCCGTCATCAGGGTCTCTCCCCACCGTGCATTTGTTTTGCTCTGCAGGCACATAACCTAACATTTATTTCTACCAGGCGTGGCGCTGATCCAGGACGGGGGAGCGCTCATTGGCCCCGATCACGTCCCTGCCAGGCTCCTGGGCTCCTTGAAAACATCCATTCCACTAGAGCTGGATCTCTTCTTCTTATTTTCCTCTGCCTTTGCCTGCAGGGCTCCTGTCCACTAATGCATCACCATTCGGGTGTCAACCTAAGCCAGCCTGCTAAGTTACGGTACTTTGCCCCCCCCAAAAACGAGCCATCCCGCCTAATCGATCACGACGGGACCTCTCCATCCATCCCATCCCATCCCATTCCCTTTTACCACCATCACCGCCTGCTCGAATCGACGGCTCGCCTCGACTTTAATTCACTCGATCTTATTTTACATGTTTTCATCAAGATACGATCTGCGTTATCAATTTCGACATCATGTCTGAAGCGGAGCAGTGCATCATATGCCTGGATCCTCTGCCCCGACCCTCGGCTGCCCTCCAAGCTCCAGCTGCCCTCACTGTAGCTGCGAGTGATGCTGCTGGTGGTGTTTCTGGCGGCGAGCCCGCATCCGCACCCGAGTCCGCACCTGTTCCTACCACAACCTCCACAACCTCAGATGTTCTTGAGAATGACTCCAATTATCTGAACATAGTTGCGTCACTTGACGGGTGTAATCACATTATTCATGATGCATGTATTCGTTCCTGGGCGCAAAAGACAAACACATGTCCAATTTGTCGTAATCCCTTCCATTCAGTTCGAGTGTACAACGGGGTCGATGGTATGTCGGAAGCTTATCCTCTTACTTCACATATGTCCATCCACTAACCCTTTCTTTTCTGCAGGTACCGCCATTTCGAAATACGATGTCCAAGATAAAAAACAGGTTGCTGAATTCGATGTAAGACAGTGGCTTGGCGAAAACCCCGAAGACGAAGAGGAGGAAGAGCAAGGCAACCCATGTCCTATTTGCAACTCTTCAGAGAGGGAGGATGTTCTTCTCCTGTGCGACAGCTGCGATGCGGCCTACCATACGCATTGTATAGGTCTGGATGCCATTCCAGACGGTGATTGGTATTGTATGGAGTGTTCTCACCTTTTTCAACTGGTGGAAGAGCCAAGGACCACTGAATCTGGCGAACAATCTCCTCGTCCATCATACGTGCGACGTCCGAACCCCCGAAACGCCCGTGGTTACCACGTACGAACTCGAGCACGATTAAGGCGAGCCCGTCGACAAGCTCGAAATGTTGAGTGGCAAGGCGCCTGGGGTCAGTTCTCCGGGCGATTCTACGAGATGAGCGACTTGGATTTGGACAACCACGATGATGAGGATGAGGAATTAGAGCAATACAGGAGATTCCAGGAACTCGGGCGACGCGAACTCGAACGCTGGCAGCAAAGAATGGACATTGCCCGCCGTCTGGGCGCTCGTGACGTATTTATAAACAACATACCTTCTGCTATCAGCGAACGGCTTCAGTCAGCACCAGAGCCAGTACAAGAAACGGCTGACGAAAGACGAGCTTGGGGCGCTTTGGAACGTGCTCGCGAAACAGATGAACCCAGCACCACTTCTCGCAAGCGCAAAGCACGGTCTGTGACTGCGTCTCCTCGCGAACCTGTTCAAGAACCCGAAAGGAAGCTCAAGCGCCCTCGAACACGTCGCTTGCCCACCCAGAATGGTGAAGGTTCAAGCTCTGTATCTTCTCCAGCGCCGGCTGGGCCCTCGTCAACACGAGCTGTCCCCAATGGATCGTCATCCAGAAATGGTACTGTCGACCATAGCAGTATCGACCCTCCCTTGGTTTCATCACTACTGAAAGAACTCGAGCCCAGCATCATGTCTGAGGACGAAACAATGACTACCAATGGGTGGCGGCATGCGCCAGAGGCTTCATCCCCAGCCCTCTCACCGGCGATATCTCCGTCCCCATCAAATTACAGTAGCCCACGGGCTCTTTCTCTTACCCCTCCTCCTATGCCAAACTTCAACGGCCGACCAACTTCACCAACACTCTCGCTCAGCAGTACTATTCAACCTCGTTACGCCCCCGCGAATTATTCACCTACTCGTTCAAACCGTGACCACGGCGACTCAGAGACGCGTTCAACCAGACCCCATGCAAACTATTCCCCGACTCATACAAGCAATGACCAGTCCGATTCAGAGACGCGCTCGGTGAAGGTCCCAGAGAGCCGACCGTTAGAACTACGACAACCACGGCCACGCCGTCCATCTGAGGTAGCAGCACAAAAAGAGGAACAACCGTCAGCAGACTCCAATATCACCCAGGAAGATAAGATCAGCATAAATGAGATTGTCAAGGGCGCATTACGACCACATTGGCGGTCTAGAAAACTAACAACGGAACAATACTCGGTTATCAACAGAGATATTTCAAGAAAACTTTATGACGAGGTGAAAGGCGCGGCATCATTGAGCGATGAAGCCCGACGGCAATGGGAAAACAGAGCAACTAAGGAGGTTGCTCAAGCAGTTGCAGAATTGTCTGCTTAGCTTAATGATAGAATGAATCAAGGCGGGAAACAAGAGTTAAGCAGGCGTTCAGGCATCATCAAGGGGATCCATGTGGTTTGATACCCAGCATCTTTCGAAAGGCGGGCATGATTCATTGCATTTTGATAGCGTGGTGTCACAACGGAGTTGAGATCGGGTATCAAACGCGAGTTCGATATATGTACAGATATCATAAGTTCGGGTCATGTTTGCATATGGCTCTTATGTCACTAGGTAGTCTCTTGTTCTAATACGAACCTTCTCATTGGCGTCTGCCACTTTTGTTGTTGTTTGGTCAATGTCATTGAGAATGGTCACCTTTGGCTGACAAGAGTGATCGGCTTGGATCCAAAGTCTACCACATGTACGGCGTTTGCTTCTAGTGGCGCAGCTACAAGTACTTGAAACGACTCCGTTAAAAGGAGTAATATTTTAGTCGGTTATCAAACCATATTGAGATGACACGAAATGTCAGCAGTATCTATCTAACAGAACCCGGTAGGATAAAGAATTTTCTTGCAGGCCCCGCTAGCGAAAAAGACTGCGGAATTCTTCTCGGCACACGTAAATGATCGAGACGTTCTGGAGGTGGAAACAGGTCTTGACGATAAGGAAATGGTGCCTTGAGAGGAAAAGAAAGAAGAAGAGGAGACAGAGGCTAGGAAATCTATTTTAATGATATATGTCTTGTTGCCTCAGGCGCGAATAATTCATCGACTCTGGGGCCCTCCACTCGGGCCTGTCGCTCCGCGGTACGTACCGTCCAGGCCCAGACGAAAAGTTCGTGAAGCCGCTGTTGAATATCACCATCCAGCTTCGATCACCGAGTCGCAACGTTCGGGAGTCACAACCCACGGAGCGAAGACAGACAGCATGACAGCTTCAAGCCGGGGTTCGAAAGCCGCTCAGGCTGTGCTATCTAGTGAGTCCATACAATTCCCTCATCTGTCCTGCTCTTACGCTCAACAATTGATCGCCTTTAAACCCACTCCAAGACTCATATAACTAACAGAAAACATCTCAGCTTCTCCTAATCTGTGCACACGATGCGCTTCCTCTTCTTCTGTATCTAGATACCCAGCACGGCTCTACTCATCTCTAGCCGCAGCCGTAGCGAAAACCCCCACCGATACCTCTACTCCTGCACCCGCTCGCTCTCCGCCGCCCTACGACGTTCGCTCTGGTGTAATTCTCACGCGACCACCTCTGGTGACACGGAAACTCCATCCTTTTGAAAATGCTTTCTTTTTCTACCAGAAACGTCTCGAAGAACGTCTCAACACTCCCTTTATCACGAGTATTTACTTCAAACCTGATACGGCTCGCCGTCTAGACTGGAACATCAAGGTCCAGGAGCGCAAGGGCACAGTGGCCAAGGAGCTGGGTGTCTACAATGGAAAGAGTTCCAAGGCGTGGGATGACGAACTTAAGGTTGGCGATGAGCTTAGCAACCAGGAGACTATTGTCAAGTCCTTGCTCAGGGATGCTGAGGCACGTGTCAGTGATGATGCTGAGATTATCGCTCCTGAGGATGTCATCCCTGTTGAGCCTCCTGCGGATCGTGTGACTGAAGCAGATCGTAAGGGTGATGTTCAAAGACTGGATCGTCAACTCGATCGAACCCTGTATCTTGTGGTCAAGGGTAAGGACGGTTGGGGCTTCCCCGCTGATGTGATTCCTAAGGATGAAAATCTTCACGAGGTAAGACATGTTCGAAAATGGTTGTTGGATAGTGCTAAATCTTC